GTTTTTTTTTTGGATTGAATTAAGTATGATCGGGAATCTAATTTTAGGGTATTGATTAATAAATAGAAAAATTATCTTCAAATTAATGTATGATTGGAATAAATATTTATTTTGAGTTTTCTAATTTGATATAAATAATTATAAAGTCAGAAAGAAGTAAAAATATTAAGATATAAATAATTAATATTAAATAAACAAAGAATTCAAATTTAGGTTTTACTTAACAAATTAAATTATTTTATTTAATGAAAGTAGTTCAAAATCCAACATAATATTTCTTTGAGCAATCAAATAATCCACCAACTGAATATTTACCAAAAATTAATGAATTTGTCAGCAAATTGCTTAATTAAAGATAATGCATTTTATGCAAGAATGATTACAATATGAAAGACAGATTACCTAGAATATTGATTCATTGTGGACATACAATTTGCACAGCTTGTCTCACAAATTTTTATAGGTAATTGAAAATTTTAATAATATTTTAGAAATAGAAGAGTAAGATGTCCACTATGTTTAAAATTAATAAAGCATCTTGATTCAGTTGATAGATTGCCAGTAAAAGAATAATATTAAACATTAGATAAATCATACAATTTTTACCAGAATGGCAGATGATATCAATAATAAGAGTAAATAACATGGAGGTACAGAAGTGATAGATCCATAACAATATTTGTTTACATAATTTTAATAATCAGCATTATAAGCATAAAAAGCACGTCAACAGCAATAAAATACATATCCTTAAGTTGATCCAGATTCAGGATTAGAGTTTTGTGAATTTCATAATGACAGAGTGAAACATTTCTTTTGTATGAAACATAAAGTGACATGTTGTAGAGTTTGTTCAGAAATGATTCATTAAAAGAAAGTATTAAAGATTATAATAATAAATAGGATTGCATTGTTGTGGATTTATATGAAATTGAAGATGTGCCATAATTTTTGAAGGAAGCATACAAATTGAATGAAGACAATGCATAAATGCAAAACTAAAGAAAAGAGGATATGGGATTTATTTAAGATGGAGAAGCAAGTATAATATTGTCATTCATAATTTAGATGATGGAGAAAATTAGTTTAATGATGATGATTTAGAAGATGAATTTGAAGGAAATAGTATTCAAAGCATATGAATAATTCATATATTAATAGTCATTTATATCTATAGTTTTGTATTTATTCGATTCTCTAAAGTTTTTTATTCTTAATGATCTCAATATAGATGAAATCTTGATCATCTTTTTAATTCAATTTTCTTGATAGATATAATCATAATCATGAACTATTAAAAGGTTGAGGGTATCCTTGAATTCTTGAAAACTTTAATTACTTTTGTGTTTTAATCTTTATAGTAAATATGATAATACTATTAGGCATAAATAATCAATTTTAGTTTGAGACAATCTATTATACTCATAATAATTATAACAAAATTAAGCTCTTATTAAGAAGTATCATAATTTCATCATTCATCTAATCACTCATAAGTAGATTTTAATAAAGGAATCAAATATTATATTTATTTAATAGAGTAACTTTTCAAATTTGATAATCTGAATTAAATAGAAATATGCAATCTGAATTAGTATTATTATGAATTTGATTTACATTTCATTATAAAGTTGTAATAGTTAATCTATATATTAAGATTGTCTTTAATATAATCAATGCTGATTGGTTTCATAATAAGTTTTAGAATGAAATCATTAGCATTAGTTATATTAATTCATTTTATCAAATTTTATTAATATTTTTATGGCTCATAAATTATCGTAAAATTGGGTATTTTGGTATGCTCCAAGAGGCAGAAAAGCAATTGCAGGTTCAGATCATTATGATGTAAACTTGAAAGAAATAGGTGAATTCAATACAGTTGAAGAATTCTATACATATTATTGTTTTTTAGGCAGACCAAGTGAAGTACTTATTTGATTTAAATAATAGATTGAAATTGATAATAAAATTATGATGTTTAGAAAAGGTCATAAGCCAATGTGGGAAGAATGTCTTGAAGGAGGTACTTGGATTATTCATTTTAAAAAAAGAGAGAATGAATTATTGAATAAGAAATGGGAAGCTTTGCTTTTGGGTATTAATTATTAAATCATTTTAAGCATGTATTGGAGAAGAATTTGATGATGATAATGTAATTGGTGTAGTATTATCAATTAGAGAAAGAAGAAATTTATTAGAAATTTGGTTAAAAGACAGAAAAGAGAGTGAAAAATTAAGAATTGGAGAAAAACTAAGAGTAGCTCTAGAAATGGATCCAAATAATCTTACATTTTTCTTTAAAGAACACAGTAAAAGCTTGAATGTATAATTTAAACTATAAATTAGGATAAATCCACTATGAAAGGAGCTGAATCATATACTTTTGTTAAGACTCCATTAGAAACTCCATAGACTGAACCTAAAGTACAACATCCTGATCTTGATCAGTTTAAATTATGATTAATTATTGGCACAAATATATTGGTTACAAATTTAATTATAAATCCACTTCACTATCTCTATGAATTTTAATATGTATTATTGATGAGATATATAATTATCATTTATAAATATTTAAGAATTAAATTCCAATTTAGAAAATTCCAATTTGACATCATGTAGATTCACTCTGAATACACTTTTAACTTTGATTGGGAGACTGTAATTAAAGGGTTCTGGAGGAAATATCCATGCAAAGAATTTGATTTTATCCAATTCAACTAAGTTGTAGATATGATCGTTGACGATGATAATAAAATGTAAATAAAAAGAATTGTAAGAACTTTTAAATAGATTTAGGTTTATGCACGCAAATTTGCTATTTGGTGTTTAACATTAGAAGATATCACTTTTGATCTTGAAAACAGAAGTATGTAGATGAAAACAAAATTACTTAAATCATGCAAATTTTATCCTAATCTAACAGGTGATGAATCAATCATCTATAAATCAATAGATAATTAACATACTCATTATTCTGTACTTTTATTTTATATAAGTAGAAACTTTTATCGAATTTTCATCAAGGTTTTTTTACAAAATTATTATCACAATTCAACAATTCATTTAAAAAGGGTATAGATGTTGTAGAGGCACGATGTAGAGAGCTTTAAAATAATAAATGAATAATATTATAATTAACCTATTTATTTGAATTATTATGATGAAATAAAAGAATCAATAAATTGTCTAAAACAATGACCAATTATAAGTAAACTCAAACTTATCGAACAAATTTTCAAAATAAAATCAATTTAAATAATCCTAACTAAATCAAGATGAAGATGATTAGTTATCTATATACTTAAGTAGCAAATATGATCATTCAAAACCGACATTTCTAAGGACTTTTCCATAATAACCTGTTGATTGTTAAGGAAGCGAAGATTTCATGGCTCCAACTATACTTTCCAATATGATTTCAAACAAAAGTGCAGAATAAATAGCGTTTAAGTCTGAACATAAAAAATAATAGTAATAGACTTATCGTTATGAATCTTCAAATATATCTTACTCTTAAGACTCTGTAATCAATTTTTTATTTATCACATTCTTTAGATAAGATCTATTTTGGAAAGTAGGAAGTACAGATAAATTAATTAAGAGAAAGTCAAAATGATCATAAACTAAATTAAAGTCAAATTATTGAATTTAATACATTATTCAAAATATAATGATCCATTATTAACAAAAGAATATAAGGAATGTAAAAATCTATATTCTAATGTATTTAGTATCACCTTTGAAATACCATTATTATACTATGTACATATTCCTATCTACTACAATTTCAAATATTCTGACATCTATCTTTATACCTATAATTCAATTTTTTGAGGTTTCAGAATAATTTTAAGTATTTTCTCATGTAATATTTGGATTTAATTTAATAACCATTTTTTAAGATTTATTTTTTCAAAGAGGTCCATATAAGATGTTTCGTGGAATCATCAAAGTTAATTATTAGGATGAATCAAAAAAATTCTTAGATACTAGTAGGATGTTACTTTTATTATTCAATAATTTCTTTTAAATTTCTTAGGATGTGAAATTATTAACTATTTTATTAATGATGTTTTTATCATTGTTGAGATAGAATGAAATATTTGAAAATATTTATAAATCAACTCATCATTTAATTTTCATTTGTTAGCTTTGGGTGACTGTGATAATTTCATTTGCATGTACATATTAAGGTATTGTATTAGAATAAATAGAGTTTTTTATTTTGATGAAGAGATGCCTCTATCTAATAGTATAGTATTGGCTATATCTTTGCTTACTCATTGTTCAAATATTTGTAAATTATTTAAAATAATCTACAATTAGCAATAGATATATCTAGTAAGAATTGTTTTTTAATTTCAATTTATATGATTATATCATATGTATGTCTTGCTTATACATCAATGATATTTTATATTTGGTTAAAACCTGATATAGAAATTTAAGAAGAGAAATAGAAATTACTTAAAGGATTCGTTGAAAGATTTAGAGAAAAATGTGAAAATGATGAATTATTAAGGAGATGTTACTCTTACCTTGAATTTCGAATTGATGTAATAATGATTGTTTTTACTATTTTTAAGGAAGATTTAAATAAAGCTAAAGATTAACTTACTAAAAAATTGAGTCCAGATTTAGAGGATGAAATAGATTTATCATTGAGATCTACCATGATAGATAAAATAGAATTAATGAATAGGTTTTCACCTCATTTTAAATAATAGTTATTATATGAAATAGAATAAGTGTAATTTAATCCTGAAGATAACATTATAATAGTATTAAAATTTTTAATAAAAAAAGGAGCATTAAATAGAAGATTTAGGATTATTCTACATTTTAAAAGGCTAAGTGAAAGTTTAATTTTAAGGTTCTTCTTTTGGAACAACAAATAAAAGAGAAGTAGCAACTTTATAAGAGGGATAAACATTTGGATAATATTCATTTATAACTGGAATTCCATCAAACATCAGCATTTTTAGTTCAGGATCAACAATATTAATGAAACTGAAAAGATCGAATTTTACATCCATAATATCTAACTATCCTAATGACAATGAAATATTTTGCACCATGAAGGATAATGCATTTTATAATTAAAAAATATTTGAATGTTATTATTGCAAAATCAGTGGACATTATATTATTGAATGCAAACATATCTAATACTTTCCATAGAGATTAAATACAATAGAAAAATATTTATATACAGAAAAATAATTCAGATAATAATGGACTAGAAAATATCGTAAATGTTTTGCTTGGTAAGATCTAAGTTTAAATTAAGATAAGGCAAAATTATACTTTAATAAATAAAGTTAAGAATAAATATCTGAAGAATTACCAGATATTTCGTAATTGCCATATTCTGAAAGTAAATATTTTAAATATTTTAGATTAAACATATTAATCTGTCAGTTTTATTAGTAATTCATTAGGTTAAAAAAACTAAAGTCCTGAATAATATTAAACATACAGTAATGTAGAGAGTTTTGAATAAATTAATATAGAATAAGAATATTAGGATGAATAAACTATACCTTTTTAAGAAAATTAAGTTAAAAATATTCGTAAGAATTCAAATAAGAATACTTTAAAAACTGCTGGATTTGCAGTTGAATAAAATCAAATCAACAATTTATCACTTGTAGAAAAAGATGATAAAGACATTTTAAGTCAATTAGAACATTAAATGAATAAAGAAAAAACAATAGTATATTAAACATCTAGAAATTATCATGGAAATAAATTGACTTTTCAATATTAAAAAGAATAATCACATGATTTAATCAAAACAGATGCTTATTAATAACAATAATCATTAGGAGTTTATTAATAACAATCTAATCTGAAATCATCAATTAGGTAGACTTCTAATAGATCTAATACTTACTCGAATTCACACTCAAAAGATATTTCAAATAATCCATCTTCAAACTCTAGATAAAATAGATCATTAAGATAATCTATGTAATCAAGTTAAGATAGAGTAATGGAATAAACAGGTACTAGAAAAGTTAATAGTTCAAGATCTTTAACAGAATAAAATAGGCTCAAGAGTTTAAAGTCTGGAACTAAGAGCACTCCAAATTAAATGTCTTAATTCCAAGCTTTAACAAGTCCTGAAGTAAATTAAATTTATAAAATTAGAATTAAGGATATTACTTGAATGACATATTATTTAATAAATTCGAAAAAATGTGTGAATTCAAGATTTATAATCCTCATAATAATTACAATCTAGTTATAAATAGATATACAAAATATATTGAATCAATGAGAAGCAACCATTTTAATAGAAAAAAACATTTAGGCACTCAATCCTATTCTATTAGATGTTTTGTTGCTTCTAAAATTAGAAAAGTTAAAAAGTTACTTTGAACTTTAAATTTATTTGTTTGCTTATTTAACTATTAATTTCAGATTAAAATAAAATAGTTCTTAATATATAAAAATAAATAAAATAGGTTAATGTCCTTGCAATATAATTATATTTGTTGTGAATAATAATATATAAAATTTGTTAGGTTGTGTTAATAGAATCTAGAATAATAGTTTTTCAAATTTTAATATTTGAATTGTTGAATTAATCTATAGATATATATAAAATTAATTATATTTATGCTACAAAAGAACGTAGTTTAGTATCTTCTGAAAGAACTTTAAATATATTTGGCCCTTCTATTAGGTATTGTTTGTTGATAAAATAGGATTCTATTAATCTTAAGGATTAGATTCAATTTTACCAATAATTTTGAATTCAATCATTGAAATAATTTACCTGCTTTTAAAATATAAGAATAATGAACATATAAAATAGATTTGGAGATTAAAAATGATCTTTATTTTGATACAAATTTCAATGAATATAGAGATGTGTTAATTTTGTTTGATAATTGTACATTTGATTGAAGATATTACTATTTAAACATTTATATTAAGCACAGTGTTTCTTATAAATATGATATAGGAATAAGAAAATAATTATGTAACAGAAATCCCATTCAATTTGTTATATTTTTTTAATGTAATATATTTGATTGGATTGATGTTTACAAAGTGGTAATCAGTAAAATGTAGTGAGGTTTATTTAGAGTAAACTTTTAAGTAGAAATCATTAGAAAGTATGGAAATAGTTATAATAAAAAATTATAGTAAAGGAATCAATAAATAATAGAGATTTGATAAGCAAATCAAATTAATAGTAATCAGTTAGTTAAGAAATAAATGCAATAAAAATGGAATGCAATGAAGATGAATTAATTTTATAGAATGTAGCTTGGATTTAGAATTAGTCTGCTTTAATTTATAATAAGAAGCTAAACATAGTTTATTAGAATATATTTTTAGGGAAATTGCTGAAGTAATCTAATTTAGATGAATAATAAACACAATAATAATCAAAGCCAGATTATGAAGAATTGTTTTTAGATTGTCAAATATTAGTAGGGAGCAAAGAGTTATTGGAAATAAATAGCAATAATAATGATTAATCTGTAAATAGCGAGTAAATAATAAAATAAATAATTAAAAGTGGTTCATTTTTACTAAATAGAGTGAATGATTATCTTAAATGCCGGATGAAGTCAATTCTAACAATCAGAGATTTGAGTTTGATGATGCAAAATGAGATAGATAAGTAGTTTACTTGGAATTAAAGAGATGGCGACCGAGTATGGTGACATTGTTTAAATTGAGAAGCGAGGTGTTCGATTTTGAGAATATCCAAATCAAGGCATTTGTAAATAAGGTCAATGAATCCACCTATCTTATTTTCCTTTTTGAGTAGCAGCCTCCTTAAAGAAAAAAAGATGATACTTCTTAACCTATCATCAATATATTTTCGACTTTTGTGCATGAATCTGTAAGCTATATAAATTGTATTTTAACTCTAATTCTACTCACATAACATGAACATGAAAATAATAATAAGATATCTTTAAAATAACATTATTATTATATGCCTATGAGGATGATGAGTTTAAGATATATACTATTTGTTAATAGTATGAGAGATTATATCTTTTATATATAAAACTAACTATTTTTAAGAATTTCAGCATTCAAAGTCAATGATTTGATTGATGAATTATTATTAGTTTATGAAGATAACTTAAAAATAAGAGATGTAAATTTAACAACATCTATAGATTTAAGTGATAATAATCAAGTTATATTTACTGATTTAGATAGAGTAAATAAATTATTATTAATTAGTTAAAATAAATATTGGCATGTTTATTATCTTATTGTTTAAAATATACAACTGCTTCTTAATTGAAATTAGATATCAAAAGTTATACTGTAAGTGGTATTATGGTATCATTTAAAGACAGTATGATAGCTAAAGATGATAATATGAGAAAATCAATAACTAATTTAGTTAGACTTCTTAATTCAACTTTAAAAATGTCTTCATTTTATGATGTTGATTTGAATAATCCATTAGAATTATAAATTTGTGTTATTCTATGTTGGTAATTATCTGGTACATTCAAAAGAGGTCTAGAATTTTTGTATGATAGTTAAGGATATGGTACTTTTACTTTTGTAATTGAATCATAAACAAATCAATAAAGAATGCAATCTCGTTAAGATACAGGTCCAATTAAAATATTAGGTTAGAGAAAATATTATGAAACATCATTATCTCTATTATTAGCTTAAGATAGTAGTGGTTATAGAGAAGAATCTAAGTAATTATCTACATTTACTATTAAGGTATATTTCATTGACATAATTATCTAAATAATTTTCTATGAAACCTGGAGATCCTTTTGATGTATAAAGTGCCTATTTCTCATAAATTTCAAGAATTAAATAAGATTCTTCTAATTCTAAATAAGTTTAAAATTCTGGATCTGTTCCTAAACAATCTAAAGAATAGAGTAATAGTTTTTCTGGTACTTGGAAATAAGGTTTTCCTGATACTATTTAATAACCTTATAATAAGAAGACTAGAAATGATAGAAATGAAAAAAGTGATTCTTAACATGATTCAATGAAAACACATTCTAATTTTGATTTTGGAGTTGAATAAAGTAATCCATCTATTCATCTTCCAGAATTAACACCAAAATTATTATCATCAGTTATTAAATATAGATTAAGATTAACTTGTTGTTCAAAGGTTTTAATTGTAGATAATGATCATTATAGTGTTTTCTCATTATAAAAAGTCTTAGAAAAATACAATATTAAATGTGATAAAGCTTTTAATGGAATTGAAGCTTAAAAATTAATATAGAATAAACAAATTAAACCATGTCATTGTGGCAATAAGTCTTATCTATTATTTTTTATAGAATTTTATTTACCAGTAAAAAACAATTAAATTATTTTAGATTTTATCAGGAATAGAATTAGTGAAATCACTAAAAGAATAAATGAGAAATAGTTTGATAGATAAAGGTTATGTGATAGTAATAGCAACATTTGTAGATCTGAATTCTAAATTAGAGTGTTTTAAGAGTGGCGCAGATTATTTTATAGCAAAACCATTTGATTTAATAGATATTGGAGCAGCAGTTTAATATTTAGATTTTTGATAGTTAATTATAAATCATTTTTATTTTTAGAAACAATTAGATCTCTATCTAGTCTAAACTACTTATTCAAATAATAATTCCATATGAATTTATTTAGAATGTTTCAATGATTTTTTGGTCATATCCAATTCTTCTGCTTTAAACACTTATTCTTTAGGGGAAAGGGATACAAAATTAGTATTAAACCAAGCTTATAATATCTTGGATTCTGAAACTATAGATTTATGAAATATTTAAATAAGAACATCTCCTAACAAAAATATATCATTAAATGCAAAGATTATTTCTTTTTCTGAAACAATCTAAGCCTTCTCAATTAATTACCTATCATTATTTTAAATTCTAATCATTGTTCCATAAGATAAACCAACTAATCTAACTGATACCAATTCAATTTATCTAAATGGCATTTTAATTAATTCATGTTTTAGAGCATAACTGAAATAATGAACATATCGAATCTAACTAGGAATAGTAACTCCTTTTTTATTTTATGTTCTAACTAAACCATAATAAGCTAAAGCATCTTAACTTGAAGTATATTTTCCACTATATAGCAAATAGCAACAAACCATAACACCAGTTCTTCCTTTACCAGCTTTACAATGTATTGCTACAACATGATTAGGATTTCCATTTAACCATTCATGAACTTTCTAACAGAATTCAACTATCAAGTTAAATGGAGGTGCTTAATGATCATCAAAAGGAAACTCAGCCACTTTATAGAAAGACTCATGCTTATACTTACGTTCTGAACATCTAGTTAGTAGTTGTATGTTTACAAGTTAAAAACCATATAATTATTAGTATGACGACTATTTAAAAATTTTTACACTTCTGGCATCGGATTTCTATATATTGCTTCAAAACTTTCAGCTGGAAATCCCATTGCAATTATATTGTCAGTTATATCTAAATTTACTATCAATTTTACATGTTAGATCTAAATTAAATCCATCTACCTTAAATCTCTTCTTCGATTTTGATACTAATTCTTTTATTATCTCTCTTTAATAAGCCTCCTTTGCATTCTTCATTGATTTCTATGTAATTTCATCTGCCTGGTTTTATAAAACTATTGTTTAATTTATTCTTCTGTCCATATTTTTATTAAATGATAGATCACTTGGAATCTATACTATTGATTGTTCATAATCATTGTTTTTTTATTACTATTTTATTTCTACAGAATTTTAATTTATTAAAGGACTCTCCTAATCATCCTCATCATCACTTGAAATCTAATTAAGAATCATTGATTCCTACACATCTTACATTTAGATCATCAATTAAATTTATTAAACTTTACTATTTATATTATATTTTTCTATTAATCTTTTATTAACATATCAAAATTATTATTAAAACAATCAATTTAACTTCATACTCTTGCTTCTTAGTAAATTATTTAATATCTATCTTTCTTCATTTTCTTTTTCAATCTCATAATATTCACAAAAATACTAATAATTTTAAAAAGCCACCACCTTCTTCAGATTTTTTACAAAAGATAAAAGTTCATCAAAATCTTCGTTATATAATAAAAATTCTGCTAATTGATAATTCTACCTTTAATTAATTAATTATATTTGCTAATCATTCAATTTATAAAGATTAAAATCATATTTTTCAATAATTGTTTTTACTTTTAAAGGAAAAGTGAATTTAGCTTTTCTCCAAGGAGGTAATTCTAAAGTTATCATATCAAAAAGTAATTCAACACAAAAAAGATTATTACCATTTAACTTTTCAACACAAGCATACATTCCTTTATTCTCCAAATTTGATTTTAACGTATTTAAATTAACATTTTCTAATTTTGGAAGCTATATTCTTTATGGATTTTACATTTATCTCATATACTAATCATCATCCTTCTTATCAAAATAATTTAATAATGCAGGAGCACAATCAATAAATAATTTATTGAAATACCTATTGACTAATCTAAATTCCATAATTTCTTTTGATCTCAAAAATACTACAATATTATAAAAAATGGCTTTATTAAAATATTTCAAGACTTACTATTTAGGCAAACCTTATTATTTTTATTATTAGCCATTCTTAAACTATTTTAAACCTTCCTTATTCTTAATTGTATTATTTTACTGTTAACCAATGTTCTTAGGTACTTACTTAAACATAAAAGTTTTTAATAAAAGAAATTAATTCCAAAAGAATAAGATATGCTATCATAAACCCTGAGAGATTCTGATCAAATTTAAAATGAAATCAAACCAAATTTATTATATTATAAATATAAGAATTGAATTTTTGTGACGTAACAATATAAATTCATTATAATCTGATTCATTATGAAGAATCTTATAAGATTAAATATTACGATAATAATAATTATCATTAAAGAATATAATCAGATTTCGAAATTACAACAAAAAAAAAATTTCTACCAGAAAGATTTTTAATCCTTTGGATTTTCATCTTTAAACTTTGTAATTGGTAACTAAACATTTTAATTTTATTGAGTAATATAATGAAAGTCTAATTTTGTCACTTTGAGAGCAAATTATGTAATATTTGTTTATCCTAATTAAGTTTTATCAGAAAAAGCTTTATTGAATATTAAATAATAAAATACCTGGAAAATCTTCATTTGGTTTTCCACTTTTTTTTTTTGGAATGTACAATTCATAATGGAGTGATCCATCTTCAGTGAAGGGGGAATGAATATAATCATGTTAGAAATTGAATTCTTTTATAACTAACACAATAAAATCAGAGATTAAAGTTTCTTGTGTTGCTGATACAACAATTTCATACTTGTTATCAATATTTTCATCATACCAAAATACATTGTATAGATTTGGTTTTCCAAATTAATGACTCTAATAATAGACATATGAATAGAATGATTACTTCTTCATAAATGATTTAAATAGGTTCTACACAGGATTGAGACCCTCTTCTTTAAAAAGGAATATGATTTAGTTATAATAAGCTTTCTATAAATTATAGTTATTAGAATTACTTTGAGTTCTTTTTAATTTAAAATTTTTAGAATTATCTTATAACATAGCTATGTTTGCGTTACTTTATTTGGATTATGTAGATGTTGATTATTCTATACTAGATAGTTTATCATCAATAATGAGATCAAACTATTCATCCTTTTCGCATAGTTATTTCATTCAACTTAGTTAATATTTAGAAAATTATTTGTAAAATAAATATAATTCAATAATAAATAATTTATACTAAATAAATGGATTTAAATTGTAGAGTGAAATGTGCTTGTGTGATAAATTTAAGTACATTCAGCAAACATGGAATCTTATCATTGGTAGCTGAAAATCCTGTATTCATAAATGATTTGTAATAAGAAGCTTAATTATTATATTAACAAATTTCGAATTAACAAGATTAATAAAACATCCCCTCTTTACCTGTTTAAAAGATTTATTCATAATCAGGAGCTTGGTATTGTTCATTAAAGAACAATATAGTAATTAGCCTATTAGTTACATCTTCATATCCAATGCCTAGTGCAATGCGATTGTTAAAATAAATTGAAGAAATATTAAAAAAGTAAATTTAAAGTGGAAAATATGAATTTCATCCTTTAGAACCAAATGTGAGACATGTATTTTTATTTTATTACAAATTAGCTATTAACATAATATGATAGAGATCCTTTTACGGATGATAAAATAGAAATAACTTGTAAATCTGTTGATTCTATCCAAGGATTAATGGAAGAAAACATAAGGAAGTTTTAAATGAATCAAGAATAACTACATGTTATTCATCACAAGAGTGCAGATATATCTCAAATGGCAGTTTAATTTTAAAAAAGTGCAGCAACTGTAAACACTAAATAAAATTGGGTCATTTACGTAGCAATTGGAATATTCACTACAATTGTTGTTGGAGTAATAATTTACATTTTCATATGATAATAAATTTTAGTATATAAACTATCTATCAATATCATTTTGCTGTATGTAATCTAATATACCCAGGTTCTGTAGGATTTCGAAATTACTTTACAGAAGAGGTTTTCCCGATATTTGTACTTTGAGTGACATTCTGAAAGGAATGCAAGAATGATGTTGTAACATGGCTATTTGATTAAACTTCTTTTGAATTACTTATTGAATGAGCATTTTTATATTTCAGTAGTTCTAAATTTGTTTCAATTAAGAAATCTTTTAAATCTGGTCTTCTATTAAGAATACTTTTAGATGGTTATTATTTAACAATTCTCTTTAATTATTTAGAGACTCTTAATTTAGCTCCTGAAATGCCAGGATCTGATTCACTATATTTTAAAAAGCAACTTTCGCATATAAGAACAGATTTTATTAAAAATGCATCATTGACTTTTAATTATTAAAATAGTTGCACTGTTAAATGTGGATAAAGCTTTAAAATAAGCGGTGGAATATGTGAATGTATATCTCTAAGATGACCTTCACATTATTAAAAGGATTTAGGTTTAATTATTTCAATATTATTAACAAGTGGATGTTGATTTGAATCTTAATCAAAATGCTTCATTATATACTCATAAGTCAAATGGTATAAATCTAAATAATATTATGAAATATTTCACCTTTTTATTAACATAAAACTCCACACTCAAAACATTCAATGTCTTTAATTAAAGCTACTGGATGCATAGTATTTACTGTGAGCATATTCTTTATTGAATGAGGTTTCTAAAAATTCGTATTAAATGGAATTGGTGTATTATTTTTCTTAACATTAGTATTACCCCATAAAGGTTTATACAACTTTATTTATGATTAGGCTTCTCCTTATAATCTTATTGAGGAAGAATATAAGAACCATACTTTATTATTCTATCATAGATTCATTATTAAATACTTAGTCTGCTTTAAAATAAAAAACTATTCTAGATAGATTTGTTTATCCATAGCTTAAATTCGTAATCTTCTAAACTATCATCTAACATTGTTTTCTTATCTCTTATGAAATTTCCTTACCTCTTAAAGGAATCACTCGAGAGTAAGCTTCACCTCCATCAAAGGTTGTGCATCTTTCTATTATAGATAATATTTTTACCATAAGGATCATATGACATATCATATAAATCTCGATTGTTTTGTTTCTTTGATAATATGCACACTGAAGGACTCCAAATTGCTTATATCAATGATTCATGATATCCTAATGGTTCTATAAACTTTTATAATATCCCAGAAGGTGGTTTATTTGGAGAATTTACAAACTCTGGAAACATTTGTTTCGTTAGATAATATATGCATATCTTTTCATCAAAGTCTAACGGTGGCTTAGCTTTTTTTTATTGATTTGGAAACGATTTCTCCTCTTTTGGATCAGGATGATTATATTTTTAAGGGTATATATAGTATGCAATGACTTATCCATTTGGTTTATCACCTTAACAAAAATGTCTAATTAGATTTTCAGATTTTCTAGCTTCAGATTTCTTAGTCATAATCTCACCTTCCTTACTTGTAAAGTACCAAACCTAATTTAAGATTAGTTTTACTTAAGGAACTCCATTTTTATAAATTAAAGTATCTGGTATTCTTATCTGAAAAGACTCTTTCAATAAAGATTCATCTTTAAACCATAAAAAATGATATATGTTGTATGAAACTCCATTTGTATTTGTTATCATTTCCAAATTATTTATTTTCAAAGAATAAATTATATTAATATAAGTTATTAGAATAATTATGTCAATCATCTTTATAAAAAATCGAAAAAATCAAAATTTATTGTTGAAGATTATATTTCTTAGATAGAACATTAAATTTTAAAAAAACTTTATGGCTTTATTGATCCATAAATTTCTTCAAAATTAAATTTCATAGACAATTTTAAACTAAAAATTGATATAATATTTTTGGATTAAATAAAGCTAACTTTTTGTAATAATAATAATAATTGTAGAAAATAACTTTAATGAAATTGTTTTAAATTTTTATTAATGTATTTTGAGCTCATAATTATATATGCTCAATAACATTCAATTCTGTTTTTTTTTTATTTATATATTTTTATTGTTAACATAAACAGTAATTTATTTAAAATAAATTATACATGAATTTAAAGAATTCTTAACAACATAAAAAGTCTTAGACTAGCTACTTAAATTATATGCTCGACGCTCGTTTATCTAAAATAAGATAAAAAACAACAATAAAATTCAAAGAAAATGAAAGTAAATTTGATGATGATCGCTTCCAACTAAAAACAGATATTAGTGATTCTCATAATTGTTAAAATTGTTAATAACAATTATTGATAATAAATGAATTAAAGGCATAAATTTTAGAATGCTAGAAATAGATTGATATTTTACATATAGAGAAGGATATAATACAAAAAAAGGAAGAATAGACGATAAAGTTACTGATTTAGGAAATTGAAAAAGCAAAGTTAGATTAAAAGAGATGTTCTACTGAGTTACAGCATTCATTAATATAATTTGCAAATGAAAACTTTTATAAATAGAACTAAACTCTATCATTTTAAGATAGATCAGAGGAAACTTCAATTTTGAATATTCAACTAAAATAAATAAAGGAATAAAATGCAAATTATGCTGAACTTTTACATTAATAATATGAATTCTCAATAAATATAAATATTAAATTCGCATAATTATCAAACTCTTTAAATACTTTAATAACGTTGATTTAAAAATACACAAGAATAATAACTCATATATAAATGCAAAGTTCACCTTAGTTAGATTTGTTACTTCCTAACCCACTTGAAGACAATGTGAAATAGGATGAGCAATAACAATTACTTTTTATAGATTTACATGACATGACAACAAAAATTTAATAGATTTAGATTGGGTCTTTAATGGATGTTTAATAAAAATTAGAAACCTTGATTTAATTGGTAGCTGATTATTTATCTTAAGCATAAAGAATAGCAATAAATGATATGAGTAAAATAATTGTGTGATTATATATATATATACTAATGATGTGGGTATAAAAATAATAATAATCATCTGCTAAATTTATCAAATTAAGAAAAAGAAGATTGCATTTTATCTCTTGTTTTATCAAAATGATATTTGGGTATAATACCAATAGTACCTGTAATATAGTAGGATCCTGGACCAACTTCTTCTTTTTCTTGAGGAGGGAATCTAGATGCTTTTCCGAGACTTATTATTAATAGAAAATAAAAACCTTGATTTTAGACCTGAATTAAATGGTAGAGTATAACTACCAGGCCCAATATTTTTAAATTTCGAAAGAACTGGATCAGATCTATTGCCTTTAGTTAGATTTGCATGTGGTGTTTATGATTTTGTATAATGTTCTAGAGGTTTAGTAAAAGAATTTGAAGCAAGTTGAGAATCTGGGTCATATTATCCTGGCCCAGGTGTATTATTATGATTTCTAAGATCATATTTAAGTCGAATTGAATAATTTGGACCTTATAAACTTGAATTAATATCATATTTTCCTGGGGATGGAACTCTATCTCTTGATAATCTAAATTCAGTATTAGGATTATATCTTTCCCCAGTTCCCATACACAATTAAGATTTACTATGTGAAATTCGAGTAAGAGGCATTTAAGGATCATGAGTTCCAGGTCCAGGTTTTAATTATGATTCTTTAGATACAAGTTAAGATCTATTTTATTTAAGCATTTTTATTTCTTTAGCAGTTGAAGGATTTGGAAGTTTTGGATCATGAGCTATTATATTAGAATAAATAAACCTCCAGGACCAGGATCAAAATAATCACTAGTCAAAATTGGAACATATTTATGACCAAAACTAAAGGCTTTTTTAAATTAGTTTATTGCTGGAGAATAAGTATCCGGACTAGGAACAATTTTATGAGATGGTAATTCTCTATCTCCTTTAGGCATAGAATATTTAGGTGCCAAATCTTGATTTACTTCTCTATAATCTCCAGGACCTACATCAATTGATTTAGGTTATTATAATTTTTTTGAAGTTCCAAATCCATTTTTCTTTATTTTATTAGTAGCCCAACTTGTAGCTGTTTTGAATTAACTGAAGGTTTCAGAATTAAAGTATTAATCAGGTGAAGGTCCTTCTTTTGCCCATTTTGTTTCCTATTTGTAACCAAATCCAAATATTGGCTATGAATGTGAATTAGATAATGATGGATTATATGATCCAGGACTAAAATATTTAAAGTATTATATTACCCTATTGGATGTTCTTTCACAACTTCAGGTCTGTGAACTGCCCAAGTTTAATGAAGATCTAAATCACCTCCTGATACTCTTTTTCCCATTGATGTTTGAATTGTATACATTTGTTTAATTTTATCTTGATATTCTTTTGTTTAATTCTTCTCTAAAAGAACTTTAAGTTATTCTTCATCTATAACTTAAACATTATGAATATTGTATGCTCCAACAGGAGGATTAGGCGCTTTTATTGCTTTCATTTTTTCATCTTATGGCAAATTAGATTTTCTTCTTGATACTTTGCTAGATAATTTAGATTCAGTTCTTCTAAGCTAATCATCAAATTTCTTGCATCCCTCAATTTCTAATTTACTTGCAATTAAATCATCTTTCTTAACCCATGGTAATCTTTATGATTCTCCAAATGTGAATGCTCCTGTAAATACTAATCCATAGGGAGTGGTTCCCATTGTACTCTAGTTCATTTTTGTATAATTATTATTAATTTATTCTCATAATATAAATTTCAATAGATTTTTCAAAATTAGTTGTTAATATATTTATTTGGATTATCGATTGCTTATTTTAAAAATTTATCAAAATCCTCTTATCCTAACCTCAATTTTAATGCCTCATCCCACAATATTACAGCAGATAATTTTTAAACTTAAGATTTTTTAGTATTCTATAGTTTTAATTTTAATAACTTTGAATAAAATAACCTTTAAGAATGAGATTCACATTTTTGTGATTATTCTTCTAAAAAACCAAAATCATTTGTTGAAATATTTGTGAGTATTTCACTTTTTGCATTTACTTTCTGTGGAACCTATTAAGTTAGCATTTTTTTATGAAGTTGCCTAGGTAAATAAACTTAATCTTCCTCACCATTCATCCATTTAGGACGTTAATTTATTTATAAATTTTTATTAAGGAGATTATTATAATATTACTATTCCATCTTTAAAGTATTACATTCCTAGATTTTTTAATTTATTTAATCAACCAATTATCCCTTTGATACAATAGGAGTATCTACTTAATCAGCACTCAAACAATATACTTTATTACTATATTTATTTGATTAATTCTCCTAAATCAATTAATTTTCAAATTTATTCTAAGGGCTAGAAGTATACTAAATTAAATTATCCTATTCATTTTATATATCCAAATTCTCTTTCAATATTTTTATTTTCTATTCAATAAGTACTTGAATTCTTTCTAAATATAAACTTATATTTAATGAGGATTTTGGCATGTATTTTAATTAGTTTATTTCTGCTAAATATGTTTAACAACAAGATATTTCTACTTTACCAATAGTTGAAATTTAAACTACTAGTTCTATTATTCTTATAAGTCTAAGAGCTAAAATATTGTTTTTTTTTTCCATCAAACTTAATCGAATTTTTTATAACTTAAAGTGATTCTCGTCTAGAAAAGAGTAAGTTTTATCAATATGATCGATGTTCTCAGTTACTTGATTGCAAACCATAGCATGTTTATTTGTTAAATCTAATCTTATATACTCTTAACAATTCATGCAGAGAATCAATAATTGAGAAGGTTCTTCTTCAGCTTGTTAATTTGTCTTACATCTTTGTTTATAAGACTTGAAGTAATTCATTGTTTAGTATATATATTGTAAATTTTTATTGACTTAATAAATGTTATAATTTGCAACAAAATATCTGTTTAAATAGAATGAATCTTTTGAGATCCTTCTATCTTTAAATAATTAGCTATATATTTAAATATCTTATAATCATTTAATTGTACTCCACTGTAAGACATTATAATGTAATTACAATTTGTCTGTAAACAATTCATAATGCACATCCAATCCAATGCATTAAAGTTACTCTATGCAATTTTCAATTTATTTCTAAGTCTATTGTTTTGTATCTTGAAAAACTTATTTTATTAACTAGAATACTTTAGAATTAATTTTTTAATTTATTCAAATCTATTTAATTAAGAATATTTCAATGTATCCAATTAGAAAGGAATTAGACTTATTTCTTATTGTCTTCTAAAATATCTGATGAAAGTCCATAATTAATTTAAATTATTATCGTTAAATAAATGAAAATAAATTATTAATGGAATTATTTTTTGTGATAAATTTAAATATAATATAAAATGATCTTATTATCATTGGTTATATCCATCGTTATAGGATGCAAGTAAAATATAAGAATTATTTAGTTTAATAAATGAATCTGAGTCTATAAATTTAGAGAATGGTAAGACATAAGCGTTGTGTTTTAAGGTTAATAAAAATTTGCCGACAATATTTTAATTGGTTAAATATGAAGATGAAGGTTCAAAGAAAAAAAAGAAAAAAGGAAAGAGTAAAATAGATGAAGAGGAAGAAGATGAAAATATAATAATTTATGGTATTTAATTTTGTTTATAAAATATAGAGGATGTTAGTTTAGGAAAGTGTAAATTAAAACAATAATAAAGAATTTGTTATTTTGAGAAAGGTAAGGATAGATTGGAAATTGATCTAAAATGTACAAAGGGACCATGTAAATTTAATGTAGTGGCAATGTAAGAGGAAGAAAAATAATTACAGATTGGGAAACAATAAAGAACTAAATTAAAATTATTAAAAATAGAATAGAACTCAAATTATAGAGTAGTGTATTCAATAAAATGTAATTAATGTGTTATGAAAATTGTTGATGCTGATCTCTAGTTTTATGGGGAATAAGCAACAATAATGGAAAGTGATACAAAGTTTATAGCAGTATTTTATGATGGAATAAAGAGTGAAACAATAATGATTTTGATAGGAGAATAAGAATTTGAGATTTAAAAATATGAATATGTGATATAACAGAAAATAAATGTAAATTAAATTATGGTTGATGCAGTTGAAAAATCAAAAAAGAATGAATATATAATTGAAGGTGAGAAAGTGATATAACTTAAGTCATATAAGAATGATTTGATAAAGATTAAGGTTAGAAATGAAGAGGGAGATATTATAATAGATTAGATTATTGATACAAAAAAACATGATAATTATAATTTGTTGTGGAATGATTATTTTAGAAGTTTGGAAATAAGTACAACCTTTAAAGCATGTTATTAGATAGAAGTTAGAGAAAAGAGTGATTGGATTGCAATTGAAGATAATAACTTAGCTATGGGTTTACAAAAGGGGATTGTGAATTACAAATTAAAATTACTTTAAATAGAAGATAGTCATTTTGTAGTATCAGTAGACAGTATTGAAGATATTTCAGTTTAAGTTAAACCCTGTAATGGAAGTAAGTGTAAAGCCATTGAAAAAATAAAAAATGGAGAATCATATTAATCAGTAGAATAGAACTGTGAAAATCCTGATAATGAAAATTACTGTTGGTTTGTAATTGCGGTAGAAAGTTAGGGGTTATATAGTCTGAATATTCATAATAATCATGAAGCAAAGATTATAACAGAAAATTAATTAATTAATTCTGAATTAGATGAAGAAGAGAAGCATCATTTTAGATTTAATTTAGTTAATTCAAAAAACTATAGTTCTGTTATTTTCAGAGTCACTTCAGAGAATGTTTAAATTTTAGTTAGTAGATCATCCAAATGTTAATTAGTTAATTGGAAATGTTATGAATATAGTGGAACTAGTGAATAACCAATTAGTTTAAGGGATTCTTAATTAAAGGATGGGAAATATTCTATAACAATTGAAGCTATTCAATTAGTTTAATATGGCTTTGTTATAGAAACTCATTCTAAAGATAAGATAAATCTTATTAATATAAAAAAAGGATAAATTTATAAATCATCTGTCAATTCTAATTAAAAAATATAATGTTTTAAATATGAATCTGATAAAAAAGGTTTTTTAACACTTTTAGTACATGGTCCCAATTAAAAACTTGTTAGTTATGCTAATATAGATATTGATACTGATGATGAAATTCCAACCAAAACAGATAAAGATATTATAACTGGAAATTCAGCTTTACAATTAGAAACAAATAAATTTATTGCATGTGTAGAATTGTAAGTCTAAAATAATTAAGATGTAAGTTCTGAAATTCTTTATAATGATATAAAATTTTCACTCATTTTATATGATGCTTAATCTGTCATAAATTTAGAATTTAACTCTGCCTATTATGGATAAGTAGCATTTGCAGAATAGTAAAGATTTTCTTTCTTGAGTTAATATGATGAAGATGTTGTCTATATTACTAAAAACATCTTATCAAGTGGCGATGTCAATAAAGATTTATAATTATACATAGGAAATATGTTATATGAAAATTTAGATGAATATGAATATAAATTTTTTGATGATGAAGTCAGTACCTTTATATTGTCAAGTGATAAAATGAAGAAATTATGTGATGTAAAAGAGGATAAGTCAGTTAGTTTTGAGCATGATCGAATTAGTCATCTATGCGAAATCTTCATAGTTGTAAAAAGCATATCGAAGAGTCCGATTAGATTTACATTAACAATTCACAAATAAGATTTAGCTATATAATTAACTGATGGATTACAACAATCATACAATTTATAACATATTGAAGAATTTATGCATTTTTATTATCAACCTAATTCTAAATCTATTGACATCAATTTATTTGCATCTACTTTTTATGGTAAATTTGTTTTACATTTAAACATCTGGAAGTTAAACAAGATTTCACATAAATCTGATTGGCCATTTATTGATAAAGCAGATGATTCAGATATTTCTAGTGGATCAACAAATCAAATTCATAGAAGTATTAAATCAACAGCCTTGGATCAATGTTGGCCAGATTGTGTATTATTGATATCTGTATAAAGGGTCTCAGATCCTTAGATTGGTGAAAATACTTTTAATGATTAGTTTCATATTATGATAAATTAGGGTATGCAAGATGTAATTGAAGGTCAAAAATATGAAGTTTCAATTAAAAGTAAAGAGACTATTTACTTCACATTCAAAAATTTACAAAAGTTTAGAGATGATGCTTATTTAACATTCTCTTTGTTATAATTAATGGGGAATGGAAATTTAGCAATCACTGTTAATGGAGGTGATAAATTTGAATATCCTAGTTTATATGGATCTTATGATTTTCATTCAGATGGAAGCTATCTTTAATTGTCAAAAGATAAATTAAATGAAAAACTCAAAGAAAAATAGATATCAATTTAAGATGCTTATTTAATCATTTCAATATCATAATCTTAAAGTTATTATGATTAAAGTCTATAATCAATTAGATTAGAATTCACAATCTCCTATATGAATATGGATTACATTCAAATTATGCACAGTCAACCTAATACAATACATACTAAATATTAATAACCAACTGTTATTTAATTTTATAATTATCTTCATCAAGATATTTTCTTTAAATTACATAAATTCTTTGGATATGGTTCAATGGCTGTTTTTATTTGCAATCAACAAAGTAATATTGCTGAATGCGTTAAAGATAGTAATGAGGCTGAATTCAAATATCTTGATAAAGTTTTTGCAGCTGGAAATGAGAATTCACAAATTTTAATATCATCAAACGATAAAACGAAATTCTGTATCTACTGCACCTATATTATTAAAATTGAATCTTTAGACAAAGAATTATAAGGATAATTAACTGTAGTTTTAGAAAATGATTTTGTCAGATTGCCAGCTGGAGTTTAATATAGTGATTATGTAGAAAAAAAGAGTTCATCATAATTTTCAATTATTTTTAGTTAAGATAGTAAAATTGAAATATTTATTTAAATATTCACAGGAGATCCTATTGTCTAATATTCATTCAGACAAGATGATCTAAATAAAAGTAAATTGATAAAGGCATAATCAAATGACACTTATATCCATATTACTATACCAAGTTAAAAATTAATGGATGAGATTGTAGATGTTACTTCAGTATAAAGTAATAAAAACAAAAAAAAAGAAGAAGAAATTGGTTTATTACCTTCTCATTTCATACATGATGAATTATTTATTAAAGTATCTACTTAATCAAAGGAATCTTGTAATTATACAATTTATTATACAAGTGATTTAATAAATGGGAAATTATAAGATGGTAGAATTCATTTAGCTTTTATAGAGTAAAATCTCACATTTTTATATGAAAATTATAATGAATAAATTACTGTAATTAACATGTCTCCTTTAAATTTAACATCTTTAGAGGATGTTGAAATAAAAGTTTTTTATATTTCTAAATAATAATTTGGTGATTATCATTATGAAGAGTATAAAGAAGTTTAAATTAAAACAAGATTGATACATCCTCTTTCTAGTAGTTATGAATTACCAAAAGATAATGGAATTTATGAAATAATTTTGATAAATAAGAAATATGTAGAAAATGGTGGAACAAAAAATCCAACTTAATTTATAGAAATAAGTGCATCAACAAATGATATTAGAATTTTACCAATTCAAAGACATCATAGTGGATATATTCAACCATCTGAATATGACTTTTATGAAACTTATTCTCCATCAAAAGGATATTTAGTTACTGAACTTTACTCATGCTCATCTGATATCAACTTTAGTTTCTCTAGTTAAAACATTAGTGCTTTTATTGATGAAAATTATGATCAATCTATTCAAATTCCAGAAAAGGATTATTATGTTGAAACAATCTAAGTTGATAAAGGTACTTTATGGATTGCCATCAAAGGAATCTCTACTACACCTGCTTATTATCATATTACAAATCATTTCTATTCAAAAAGGAAAGATATCCCCTTTGGCAAAATTAAAGCTGGTAATGATGGTAATATTAAATGGCATCTAGATAAATAAAAATATGATTCTATTTAAATTGAATTTGAACATGCCATTTGTAATGAATGCAATTTAGATGGAGTTTAAATTAATTATCAGATATTTATTGCATAAGATGAAAAAAAACTATAAATGTTAGGTTATTGTGGTAATGAACAATTCGAAAATCATAAAGCCAATGATGAAAAGATTTTTTAAAAAAGTTTATAATCATATCGCTTAGCTGATCATAATGGAAGTATTGTTTATGAAATTGAGTTTCCTAATTTACAAACATTTGAATATGCTTCAGTCGGAGTTGTTGCCACTGTTGATAATTTCATGAAGTATTTCTTTATTCTTAATTTAGTTCTACTACTTAAATGAAAATATTTTACAAAACCATACAAGTACCTGTGCCAAATTATTTTGCCAAATTTTTAAACCATAATAGAACATTTTTTACCTTTTTAATCATTGGCATGATTTTCTTAATATCTTTATTGACTCTTTGGTTATGTTATTATATAAAACGGTAAATAAAATTATTTATCAATTTAGATATAGGAATACAAAAAATAAGTTAGATTTTTAATTAGAATAGGGAGCTAAAATCATAGCCTCAAGTAAATTACCATAAAATGATGATGCAGCCTTTTAAAATGATTTCAAAATGAAATACTAAACTTTTGAGGAGGATTGATTAATTTAATAATTTTAATATAAAAATATGATACTTTAATTCAAATGTGAAAGATTACATTATTTACTCAATACTCACTATGTTGTCAATGTATATAAAGATAGACTAACTATTGGCAAAAATGTATAAGTTTATATTTATGCATTTTAAAGAGTCTTCCAAAATATGAGTACAAATTTACATTATAAAATGTGTTACATTGGTATATAGAAGGATATAAAATTCAAGCATTTGGAATCTAACACAAAAATGTTATCAAATTCTTTAAAGCTAATCACAAAGATCTGGATTAATTGAGAGTTGTGTGTAGTAGTCTTATCTGTTTTGATAACCTTGCCGAATTCTATAGACAAATAGATGTAGATGATTCTTCAAAAATAATGGATTAATTTTCTCATGAAACTTATACATTGAAATTCTTAAACTACGTACAGTTACAAAGACAAGTTCCTCTATTAAGATCTTTGAATCATCCAAATATTCTTAAAGTCAGAGAATGCTTCATGTATCATCAACGAACTTATGTAATCCTAGAATTTGTTAGTGGAATGACTTTAGAAAATTACATGGTTAAAAATCCAAATCTCAGCCATCTCTAATGTTAATCAATTATTGTGGTAAGTCTTAAAGTCTGACATAAGCAAATCTTGAGGGCACTAAAAGTCTTACATGACAATCACATTATTCATTCTACAATTCAACCTAAATTTCTTCTATTTTAAACTGATTTGATCAAATTTATAGAATTTTCTTAAGCTCTCTCATCAAAAGAAATCGATTCTTAAGATATAAGAAATTGTGGAACAATTCTATTCTAATTGGACTCATATATTGTTTAATATATATTTTTAGATATACTGACAAAGTTTATAATAATTATGATTATGCAGATGTAACTTAAAAACTTTAGATAAGCTAAACCCCATAGCAAGCCTAGGATTTAATTTTAAAAATGCTTTTTGACTAATAATTTACTGTTTATTAGTCTTTGGAACATCCTTACTTTTCAAATACTTTAAATTCTCTAGAAAAAAAGAAAAGGTTTCAGAATTTTCAAAAGGCTTTACGATCTACTTTTGAAATCGATGAATCAGAAGCTGTTTCATAATATATACCAGAATTGCAAATAAATAAAAGAAAATCCCTTTGAAAATGGTAATGATTACATATAGATAATATATTGAATAAATATTAATACATAATTTTCTAGAGTAAAATATCTTGTATTAGATAAATTATATATTAATGAATAAATTAATAAATTTTATAATAACTAAATTAACATTGTAATAGGAAATGAAAAAGTGAAAATAAATAATATGAAGTAATTATTTTATATATTATTTGATGATTTTTATTTAATAAAATTAAATAGGATTTATTGAGTTTTATTCTATATAAAAAACTATAGATTAGGATTGGGTTCGAGAATATTAACTTCTTTTTCAACTTTTTTATTTATTTGGAAATTNTCAAATTCTTTAAAGCTAATCACAAAGATCTGGATTAATTGAGAGTTGTGTGTAGTAGTCTTATCTGTTTTGATAACCTTGCCGAATTCTATAGACAAATAGATGTAGATGATTCTTCAAAAATAATGGATTAATTTTCTCATGAAACTTATACATTGAAATTCTTAAACTACGTACAGTTACAAAGACAAGTTCCTCTATTAAGATCTTTGAATCATCCAAATATTCTTAAAGTCAGAGAATGCTTCATGTATCATCAACGAACTTATGTAATCCTAGAATTTGTTAGTGGAATGACTTTAGAAAATTACATGGTTAAAAATCCAAATCTCAGCCATCTCTAATGTTAATCAATTATTGTGGTAAGTCTTAAAGTCTGACATAAGCAAATCTTGAGGGCACTAAAAGTCTTACATGACAATCACATTATTCATTCTACAATTCAACCTAAATTTCTTCTATTTTAAACTGATTTGATCAAATTTATAGAATTTTCTTAAGCTCTCTCATCAAAAGAAATCGATTCTTAAGATATAAGAAATTGTGGAACAATTCTATTCTAATTGGACTCATATATTGTTTAATATATATTTTTAGATATACTGACAAAGTTTATAATAATTATGATTATGCAGATGTAACTTAAAAACTTTAGATAAGCTAAACCCCATAGCAAGCCTAGGATTTAATTTTAAAAATGCTTTTTGACTAATAATTTACTGTTTATTAGTCTTTGGAACATCCTTACTTTTCAAATACTTTAAATTCTCTAGAAAAAAAGAAAAGGTTTCAGAATTTTCAAAAGGCTTTACGATCTACTTTTGAAATCGATGAATCAGAAGCTGTTTCATAATATATACCAGAATTGCAAATAAATAAAAGAAAATCCCTTTGAAAATGGTAATGATTACATATAGATAATATATTGAATAAATATTAATACATAATTTTCTAGAGTAAAATATCTTGTATTAGATAAATTATATATTAATGAATAAATTAATAAATTTTATAATAACTAAATTAACATTGTAATAGGAAATGAAAAAGTGAAAATAAATAATATGAAGTAATTATTTTATATATTATTTGATGATTTTTATTTAATAAAATTAAATAGGATTTATTGAGTTTTATTCTATATAAAAAACTATAGATTAGGATTGGGTTCGAGAATATTAACTTCTTTTTCAACTTTTTTATTTATTTGGAAATTTTGCTGTCAAATAAAGATTGATTATTTGAGTAACTTAAACTTAAAAATTTATACTTAAGAGAAGCTTTGAATGCGTTATTGAGAAAGTTAAATAAAAAGTGCACAGATATTCTATGAGTATATTAATGAATAATGATAAAAGAAGAACTGATTTTGAAATTAGTTTATAAATAATTATAATGGCCTTTGTTTATTAGGCTGATAGAGATCTTAATCAATCAAATACTTAGGTTCCAGTTAATGTACAAATGAATATTGATGGAATAGGTTGGTCCAGGATCATATACTGTGTAGAAAACTTAACCTGCTAGATAATCAGTTGCACCATTTAATACATAGACTCTTCGTAGCAAGCCTATAAAATAGAATTCTCTTCCAGGTCCAGGGAGTTATAATATCAATTTTGTGAATGCAGGGTATATTTTGGGAATAAATTCTTAGATAAAAAGTAGTTCTACAATCTACTTAATCAGAAGTGTAAATACTGGAGATGCCTAAGCAGCATTCTGTGTTTGCATCAAAATGTAGAAGATTTTAAGAAGGGTGTAATAATGAAAATCCGGGGTAAACCTAAATAAATTATAATTCAGTCCTGGGTCATATGAGCCTGAAGTAATTCAACAATAACGGTATTAAGTGGCATCTCAAGAGAATCTTGTAGAATAGTTAATGAAGTTAAATAAATACAAATCAATTCCTTCTATTCCTAGTAATTCTCAGATTCATGGTTATACAGATAATGGAAGTAAATAATCTAAATTAAATCAAAAAGCTTTGGAATTGAATAAAAGTCCATAAGTAATAATCACAGGATTAAAAAATGATTCAGTTGGTCCAGGCCAATATGAATTAAAGGACCTATTTGAAGAAAATAAAAATAGAGGATTTAATTGGCATAAATCAAAACAACCAAAATTAGCTCCTGTTGTATCAAAAGAGAAATAGTAATTGGTAGGTCCAGGCAATTATGATGTTTAAGAAGATAATTAACCTCTATATAAATTGATGCCTTCAGGTTCATTTCAATCAAAAACATAAAGATTATTTGATTTGGAGAGAGGACAGAAGGCTAGAAGCTTCATGAGATATCAATTTGAAAAAAAGAGAAATTAATTGCTCTCAAATCCTTAATTTGCAGATTTATAAGATGAAGAAATAGAGTACATAGAGGTAATCAATTATTTATATATAATAATATAGGATGCTACACCAGGTCCTGGATATTATTATAAAGATTCTACAACCGCCTCAACATATTCTAAATCAGCTACTAAAATAGATACATAATGTTTTGGTTCTAAATCTAAAAGATTTGGAGAAGAATAAGTATCAACTTCTATAGGACCAGGAGATTATAAAGTGGATCTTTAATTAGCTAATAAAAGTTTATCATATAAATATCCTCCCTTTATGTCTTCTAATAGTCGTTTTGAAGCTAAATTAGCTGAAAAAAGACCAGGTCCTTAAACTTATAATCCTAAATAAACAGTATCTACTTAAATAATATGTATTAGTTAGAATATAATTTGGTTAAGAAATTAGAGAGGGCTCCAGTTGGTAAATTTGGATATAATTAACCCAGATTTGATGATAATTAATTTTAAGCTCCATTACCTGGACCAGGATCTTATGATTTTAATAATAAAAGTCCAGATAAAGGGGCATAATCAGTTTTTAAATCTTCAACTAAACGACATGGACCAGGATCATAGAGTAAATCAGAATTACCCGCTCCTGGTTCATATGATCCAAAAAATTATACAATAGAATATAGAACTAAAATGGAAGAAGAAGAGGATCCTTCTTTAAAGATTTAAAAACCTCCATTTATGTCTTCAATGCCAAGGTTTTAGCATAAAGATGAAAAGAAAATAGAAGAATTAGAAGAAGATGAAGAAAGTTTAAGAAAAAGTCCTTAGAAAGAACCTTATAAGATGCCCTTTTAGATTAAGAAACCTGCTCCACCTTTTAATATACAAGTTTAATATCTTTTCGATATTTATAATAGGAGAAAAGATTTTAGTATGAGAATTCTAAAAACCAATCGCCAGGTCCAGGAGAATATCATGATCCAAAAAGGAATCCTTGGGATAAAAAAACTTATAATATACAATTCTCTGAAATTTGAGTAATAAATAAATAATACAACTTTCATTTTCTGTTTAGTCTAAAATCTGATCTAGTATGTTTATGCATCCTTAGAGGAAAATGTATAACATTATTTATTTTTAATTTTTTGGATATGGAGAGACTCTATTATTAGTTTTTTGTTGATGATATTCTAGCTTAAATTTATATTTACTTTGATTTCAATTGGATGGTAGTGTTATTATAATTATGATTTGATGGGGAATTTATAATAATTTTTTAAACAGGAGAGAGCATTTTCTGAAGAGAATCCTTAATGATTTTCCTTTATGTAAAACCATTAGCTTATGATTGAACATTTTGTCCTGGTTTTGGGGATAAGGGAAAAGTCCATTAATTTTTCTAAGTTCTCGAAATGATTTATTTGATTGATTACTGTCTCATTCCTAAAGAAGGTTCATTATAAGTTTTAGGGGAGTTTAATTACATTTGTTGAGTGATAGTTTTCAGTTTATGTTTATCGACAATAAAATGAATGAAGTCTTGCAACTATTCTTGTTCTCGATTAGATGGTAGCAGATTTAACTCGCCAACATTCATTTGTAATGCATTCAATTTATTATTTATTGCTTCAACAGTTGTTGAGGCATCTTAAATCTCAGAAAGGATCTTGCTATACATTTACAAAGGTTTCGGTGATGTTGGAATAGTATCTTAAGGTAAATTTCCAACAATGGTTTTTTTTGGTTTACTAGGGTTTTTCTTATTTTCTTCTTCTATTATCCGTTTGATCCTGTAGTATTCAATTCTTCTTCTTTTGTCATGATAACTGGTGTATGTCTATGTATAAAATACTTGCTCATGATCTTGCATAGTTTTGGCATAAAAAATCTAGGTATCTCATTGTGATATTTGTAATACTCACTGAAGAGCCGAAGCTTTTCGAATACCTCATCTAATAAGTATATTTCATAATACAAACTTACTTAAAAAATATAATCTGCTTAAAAATTCAGAATCATCTTGATAGTCTATAACTTAATAGAATCTAATCACTTCAGAGGTTCTCCTAGAACTTACAAAATCATCTAGAATTTTCACATCATAATAAGATTGGCTGTGTGAATATTTTGTCTAAAGTAACCTTTGTACATCATATTTATTGGCCATTTTTAATAATATGTTAATCGATTATTTTTTAGTAATTGGATTATAAACAAAATCAAATGGTATGTTATTGAGGTACATTTAGAAATTTCATTAACTAATATACTTAATAAGAAACAAGAGCCGGAAATAATCATCATGCATCCAATGGATTAGCCTGCTCCAGATTACATTGAAAACATAAAAATGGTTGATGCAATTTACAATTATATAGTGGTGTTTTCCTAATGGAGTGCAATATTACAACCAGGATTTGAAAAGAATAGATCTTGAGAACAAATCAGAATAAGCTATAACTGAAGACATTCGAAGTCAAGATTAATTGAATCATTTTGTACTTACAGATGAAAAGGGACAACAAAAATTTTGTACTTCTTTACTCTACTATGTATTATCAATAATAATCGAAAGGAAAAAGTCTATGTGAAAAATAAACATAAACATTTTTAGAAACTATCTAAATCATTTCCAAAAATTGCAATTAAACAAATAATCAAGAATCCCTTGATATTAGATGAAGATACATAATTAATTTATGCTCCAAAAACAATCACATTAGTCTCACATTCACCTGCATTCGATCTACAAAGATAATTTCTTGTTTTCTTTTATAATAACTACATTATAGATCGTGGATTGAATTCTATCGGATTATGTGAAGATCATCTTAAATAGTTTGAACGTTTAGTACTCACTCATGGTTTAAATGGCGCTGAATAAGAATGGAATTAATAGGAAGTATTACATCTGAAATAACTTGAATAAGATTATATAATGGATAAAGACATCTTAGAATTTTATATTAGTGTACTATTTACTCTCAATAAAAAAACATTACTCACAGATGAAGAATAAAATCATGAAATTAGAATTACAAAATGCGAAGTTCATAATGAAATCCTTAGATTTAGAACTAATGATCAAGAAATTCTATCTTTAACCAATTTTACTTTTCGCCCTCTCTTTAGTCGATTATCACTTGTAAACATTATGAGAATTGTTATGTGCATCATCTCAGAAAAATAAATACTTTTTTTCTCTTCCAATATCAGTATTCTCAAATACTATTCAATCTAGGCGAAATTCCATAAATTACTGAAGGTTTGCTTTCTTTAATCAAACCTCTAAAATGGTCCAACATATATATTCCTTGTTCAAATATTGATATATGGGAGTATGCACAAGCCTTACAACCTTATATCATTGGCTTTGAAAAATAACATAAATAGTTTGTATATTAATATCAAATTATTCATTTAGATACTCACTTAGATATAAGGAAGAGTTACAGTTGATCTTGATGAAGATTCAATTATTGATCATAGTCATTCTATTGATGATGTATTCTATTCAATCATTTATTATTAGTTAAAAATACCTGAAAAATGGTTAATTGAATTAAAAAATAAATTAAATCAAATTACTACTTAATTGAAGTATTCACCAAAATAAAAGATTTATTAATGGATGGAAGCTATTCTTAGAACAAAAAAAGCCTTTTTTAATTTTATCTTATAAATTGTTTAAAATGTTCTGCCTTTTATTAAATCTTTGAATGATAGAGAATCTCAATAATTTACGCAAACTCTGAAATAGTGTTTTGATCTATAAGGGTATATCAAAAATCATCCTGAATAAGAGTTTATTACAGTAATAGCCAAAAATACAATGACATTTAGTACATTTATTGAATAAGTTGATGATTATTACACTTTAAGTAAATAAGTTGATCCTATGATTGTTTCTTATGTTGAATATATGAAAGTTTAAGGATAAAAAAATGAATTAGATTTTCACAAATTGATAAATTCCTGTTTAGATAAAGAGATTGAAAAAAACCTCAAAAATTTTTCTAATCCTGCTACTATTGATTTATATCCTTGGATGATCAAATTTCGTAAATTCTAAGAACTATTTAAAGAAAAAAACAGTGAATAAGTAGAGTAAAAGGAAAATCAATAAATAGTTTTACATTTTTATGACGAAGAATCAAGAATGAAGACAAGATAATTATTGAATTCAAAAGAAAACATATTTTCAAAATTCAATCAAAAGAAAGTTATTAATTTAAAACAAATTTTTACTCATTAAAATGTTTCAAATTTGGTTTAAAACTATAAACTTATCTCAAATTCTTTGAAGTAATTAGTAAAAAAACCATCAGAGAATTTTGATTTAGATCCAATCCTTTAAAAACGAAAAACTTAGTTACGTCGTCATTCTACATTAATGAATGAATAATTAGAAGGAACTAAAGAAGATATTATGAGATTAGTAGAATCATTACAAAAGCAAGCTTGAAATGAGTTTATATTTATAGTATAAATTAATTGATTAAAATGATTTCCAGCAACTAAACGAAATCATTACTTGAAACTATGGAGAAGAATGAAGATCCATTAGCATTTGCAGATGCTTTAGGTCTTTTAGAAAAATTAATTACCAAGTATTTTAAAGCGTATAAATTAGTATTATAAACAATCCCAATGAAGATAAGTTTAAACATATAAAAATGACAGTTAAGACATTGGCCACTCGACTATTCAATATAAAATAAATGACAGAGTTGTTAACATTATTGGGGTTCATTTAAGTATAGAATTAACTCTATTGAAATTAAGTTAGATTAAGAGTATTATTTACCTGACGAAGAATATGGAAGATTATTAGAAAATTTCAATACTATAAAGTGGTAGCATATTTTATCATAAGGAAGAGCAGATGGACCTTAATAGTATCTAAAAGCTTAAGAAATGTAAAATAATTAATCTTCTATATTTTTCTAGAGTGAGATAATAATAAGAAGTTTAAAGATAATATGAGAAAGAGTAAAAAGAAAAAGAGAAAATACAATAATAAATGAAATATGATAGATAAGAAAGAAGTTTAGTAAAAGAGAAGGATTCAAAAGCAAATGATTTATAATTTGGTGCTAAAGTGAAAACTTGTGAGTAATTAGGTATAAATAAGAATACTGGAAAACGTGGGTGAGGTTGAGCGAGGCGAAGGTTTAATAACTTTCGCCTCGCATTATAGTAATAAAGAAAATAATCGATCACTTAATAGAAGTAAGAAATTACTTCTTAGATGATCAAAGAGCATTTAAAATTAATTGATGCTTTTTGAGAGAAGGATTGTGAGTTTTCTTTATATATATGCATGGTGAAGTCAATAAGAAATCATTACGAGTTCCTATTTAATTTATACCACATTTGTCTTAAATCATCTTTTGTTTTAGTTTTGATTTCAGATGCTATTTCTGTCCATTTAATAGTAACCCCAATATTTGGAGGTATTTGAACAATAGATTTTAGTTAATTAAAAATCTCTTTATCTTCTGATTTCATTTTTCTATAATTAAGTCTAAATCTAACTTATTCAAAGTCATTTCCAAACTTCTTTTTGAGAGTTTAATCATAATTAGGAAGTAAGAGAGGATAACCACTTAAAGAATGAATATTGTTGATAAGAATAAGAAATTCTTAGATTGTCCAAAAAGATTTATTTCTAAACAAATGGTTTTACTCTCCAATTTAATTATATTTGTTTCTAATATTATCAGGTGTTCTATTAATATGTTTACTAATTTCTCTCCATTGTCTTCCATACTATTAGACATATTTAATTAATTCAGCCTCTTCTTCTTTATTCCAATATCCTTACCTATTTTTGCTATCCAACTTACGTCGAATTAGTTTATATACTGAATCAACTGTTCTGGTTGGAATATATTTTGTAATTTCTAACCAAATCTTGGAATGGCCTAAACTTTTCAATTCAATATAATCCTTTAATTATTGATCACTTAAATTATTTTAAGATTAGTAATTATGCACAATTTTCATAATTTATTCTTTTTCTTCATCAGAGAATTTACCATTCTTTATTTCTGATGGATTTATTAAATTATCAAGCTCTTTATGCCAGGATCGTTTTGCAACAGAATTAGGCTCTTAAGTAATAGGAATTTATTGCTAGATTGGTTTGTTAGTAAAGACTATACGAATCTTAGATCTTCTCTATTATTACTTTTCTATAAATGGCAAAGTTTATGGTTCTGTTTTTTATTCTTAAAATATGTCATCATATTCTGATTCTTAGAATTTAAGATGAGTATTAAATTTCTCTTATTATTTCTAAGTTTTCTTCATCATCTTTATACAAATTAAGTTGTATTGTATTATTAATAATTTTTTAGTATTAATTACAATTCATATTAATTTAAATTACGCACTAAAAATGCATCCTACAACATAATTACTTTAAGAAGCTAGAGATAGAGTGACATTTCCGATTTAAGAGCTAACCAAACTTATCTATGGAAATGAAGAGATCTATCAAACCTTTATGAAAGCATAAAAGATCATAGAAAATGAACCAACTATTAAAAATCATCCTGATTATCACAATTGGGGACGCAAAGAACAGATTATCAAATCATATGAAAAAATAAGAATTATGCATTAACATTTTAATCTAAGCAATGCTGCTCATTGGGCACCTATGTTAAGTTTATTCTAAGGTACAACACCTTCAGCAGTATCATTTGGAATGACTGTTCCTGCTTTGAGGTTCCTTGGAACAGATGAATAATTCAATCTCTGGGGTCCTAAATTTCTTACTATGGAAATTGTCGCTGCATATGCTTAAACAGAAATTGGACATGGAAGTGACGTCTAAAATTTAGAAACCATAGCAACATATAATTCATAAACTAATGACTTTGTGTTGCATACACCTTCAGTCTCAGCTGTCAAATGTAAACATTAAGAAATATTTATTAGTTTGGCCAGGAGAACTGGGATTTTTATCAAATTATGCGCTTGTTTATGCTAAGTTGATTTTTAATGGTAAGAATAAAGGAGTCCATCCTTTTATGGTTCAGATTAGAGATAACTCAACACATAAGCCATTAAAAGGTGTAGCAGTTGGAGATATAGGACCAAAGTTAGGATATTCTACAAAAGATAATGGATTTTTAGCATTTGATAACTATAGAATTCCTTTGAATAGTTTACTAGCTAGATACGTTAGGATAGAGAATGGATAATTTTCAAGACATGGAAATGAAAAGGTAAACATAAAATATCATATATTAGATATCATATGCATCAATGATGGTATCTCGACAATTAATTATTTTCATTTATCCTAGAATGGCCGCTTAAAGTTTAACTGTAGCCATCAGATATTCAATAACTAGATAATAATTTACAAATGATAAAGGTGTAGAGAACTCAGTACTAGAATATTAAACATAATAAGACAAATTATTACCAAGATTGGCCACATGTTATGGGATGATCTTTGTAGGTTTCCGTATAATGGAATTAGTGGATGACAATTTCCATAGAGTGTAAAAGAAAGACTTTAGTACTTTGTAGTAATCACATGCAATTTTAAGGTATATAAATTAAAATATTATCTATAGTGCGTTAAAAGCTTGGTCTTCTTAATGGGTTGTTGATACTGCTGAATGGTGTAGATTGTCATGTGGTGGTCATGGTTATGCACATTATTCAGGAATTCCAGCCATTTATTTTGATACTGCTCCTAATGTTACATTAGAAGGAGAGAATCAAGTAATGTACCTTTAAGTAGCAAGATACTTACTTAAAGTCTTATAATATGTGGAAAAGAATCCAGAAAAAGTTCCATTTTATTTTAATTTTGTACTCCACATAAAAGAAACTTTAGCTAATTAAAGTACAGAATATGGATAGTTATTAAAATTGACTTTAACAATCTAATTAATAAGTGTTGCAAAGAAGATTAAGGATAGCATGAGTACAGGTAAGAATTTTTAACAAGTTTGGAATGAAGTAGTTGGAGTACAATTATTATCAGTTGCATAAAGATATGCTGAATATTTTACATATTTAGTATTTTAAGAATAAATTTAAAGTGCGAATTCCTCAGTAAAGGAAATATTATAATAATTGTGTGATTTGTATTCATTGTAAGTAATTTTGGATAATCCAAACACTCTAATTGAATCTGGTAGGATTAATGGTGAACAATTTAAGTAGCTTAATGAAGCTAAAATTGAATTATTGAACAAGATCAAACCTTAAGCCTTGGGTTTGGTTGAAGCATTCAATTTTAGTGATAATGCTTTAAGAACTTGTATTGGATGTCATGATGGAAAACCATATGAATATATTTATGAATGGGCCACAAAAGAGAACTCAGTTAATATTAAAGGAGTGCCTCAAGCTGTTAATGATTTGATGGGCACTAAAATCAAAGCTAGATTATGATATTAATTATTTTAATAAATGAGAAAAAATATTTAGATTATTGCTAGATAATTCACATCTACTAAACCTGAACTTTTTAGACCTCAAAAGATTGATGTCAAAACATTTGAGTATGAGCCATTTAAATTTGGAATCGAAAGACAATCTATGATTCATGGATATACTATGGAAGAAATGTATGGCAGGTAAATAAAATAAATTAGACTTTAGATTTTATGGAATTAAGCATTCCCCTTTAATTTAGAAAGAGTTGAAGAAAGACAATCTTATCGCTTTGGCTATTCTTTTAGGAGGATGTGTGATTACATTCTATTATAATGAATGGGGAGTTCAAGATTAAGCTAATTGGCTTTAATATTATTATGCTGATTTAACAACCAAGAGAAACAATCTCAAATGATTGACAACAATTTAAATATATTCATAGACATAAAATATTAGCATTTTTATTATGCAAATTAAAATTGCTGATATAATAAATAATATATTATATTTCTATTCATTATCCTCCCATAGTCAAAGAATCTAGTAAAGCTTATTTTTCTGCAATTATTAATTTCAACTATGCTATTTCTTTAGCATAATTCTTAGCATTATATGTCATTTCATCTTGTAAAGCTTCTATTCTAGCATTTGCTTTATGTAATTTTACTTCTAATTCCATTTTCTCTTATTCCCAATCAGCTCCACTATTACTTACAGGTCTTTTATTTCTTAACTCTTCTTTCATATTTGCAACTATTTTTTCTAATCTTTAGCATTCTTATTTATAACGTTCTAATTCTCCAATATCTTCTCCATACACTATACCCTTCAATTATTTCTATAAATTTAAATTCTCACTTTTTAATTATTCAACTTCCAATTATGCTTATCTAGCTTTTTGAGCATCTTTTAGTGATGTTTCCATTAACTTTTCTAATTTCGATATAACGGTTTCTTATTTTTTTACAGCTTCTTTATAAACACCAACTTTTTGAATTTCTTATTGCATAACTAACATTTTTTTAGCATTTTCTTAATGCACTCTTTACAAAGATTCTAATTCAACTTCAAGTTATCTTGCTGAGGCAATATCTTTTTAAGCAGTTTTTAAGGCTTTTTCAAATTCTTCATTTCTTACTCTTTCATTTCTATAAGCTTAAGCAACCTTAATAATTTTTTATCTTAATTCTTCCATGGACATAACAGCAATTTCTTTTGTAATGATAGATTAAATTTCAAGTGATTCTTCATGTGCTAATCTCTTTCTAAGAATAGAATTTTCACTTTATAATAATTTAACTTATCTTCTTAGATCAACAATTTCAGTTCCTGTAATTTTAAGACTTTCTGTTTTATCATCTACTTCTTTCATTAATCTATGAATCATCTCTTATTTTTATGATAATTCTTTTGATAAAATATCCCATTTTGATCTATCAGCTCCAGAAACATTTTCAGCTAATGCTTTCATTTCAGGTGTTCTAGGTATTAATCTATTAGATTTTTTAGATGATGATACTCTACTTATTGCAGTATTGTCAGCTGCTTCCATACAAGTTAATTCTACTTAACATCTGCTATTCATAAATAAAGGTCTTTATTTAGATTCATCAGACCAAGTAATTGGAAAAAAAGCTTACTTTTTCTCTTTGGAATAATATAATTTACGAAGCCAATCATCAATTATTTCTGAATATCCTACTATTCCATTTGGCATAGAATGCATTGATTTTATAGTATCATCTCTAGTGGCTAAATAGAATGCTATTCCACTCTATTAACATGAACATAAACAATACTTCCAATTAAGATTTTGGCAAAGTAAATACAGCTACTGCATTATATACTTTGTCTGCCTTATGAGGAGGAATCTTCATTATTGATGATATAAAAACATCAGATTAAGCATTACTTAAAGCTTAAGCTAAAGTTGGGGCTCCCTTTAAATCTATTACCGAATAAGGAACTTCCTTTATTTTTGTTTAATTTAAAGTCATTATCAAATTAGTTCTACTTGAATATGGTAATGGATCATAATGTACCATCTTAACAATTATATCAATTAATTCATCTAAAAATTTTTATTTGTCAGCCATTTCCAGTGTTATTGACATGTACAAACGAGGTCTAGCTTCATATTCTGCATATTTAAACTATAATTCAAAATTCATTGGTTAGAAAGGTCTCATTTAAGAGATTGGAAAATAAACACTTTCTATTTCTCTCTATCCAACATCATCCATTAAACAAAGATATAAATATCCATCTAAAGTTGTCACTGTTTAAGGATTTGGAATTAAAAATTATTGGTTCCATATAGGATGACGATTTTAATCTCTAATTTTAGTTAAATGCATATGATGTTCGGATGGAGGTTAATTATCATATTATGACCAACCTAATTTAACAAAACCTCTAGGTAATCCTGATTAAGAATCTCTATGCAATGGCATATCTATACAAGCTCTTATATCTACTCTCAATCTCCATACAAAACTCATAAATGGATCTGATGCTGGAAGTGGTTGAAATATTTCATCTGATTCTAATGGTTTCTCATCATTTATTGGAATTATTTGTTCTCCTACTAATTTTAGATTTACAATAAATCTTCCTACTGTAACTTATTTATCATTTCGACGAACAAATTTCAAGTGCTACCTAACTCCTGTACCACTTATATCTGTTAAAGGACCTGTGAAATCACCTACTTTTAATATGCACTCTCCTAATAATCTTGCTTAACCTTGATTATCCAGATCAGGTCCACGTCCTTATTCACGATCAGTTACAACATAGGCTTCAAACTTTCACTAATAACATATAATTTTACATGCAAATAATCATTTATATCCAATTTAAAATTAGACAGTGGTATTATAAAAGTACTAGCTGCAAATACTGGTGCTGCCACTTATGCACTAACATCTGTTCTTTTCTATTATATAATCATTCTTGCATTCTACCTTCTCCCCATCCGCATTTAATTATACAGTAAGGAAATAATGATAATCTTTTGCAAACTCTACATTATGTAGACTTACACAAAGGGATGATCGCTGTTAATCCATAATTTTAAATATGACAGATAAAAATTAGTATAAAAATTATACCTAATTATTCAATTTTTTATTTATTTTTCTCTTTTAATGCTATCCCTAAATGCAATTCTTTCTCAAAATCAATACTTCCTTCCAATTTAATAGTTTTATTTCTGATAATTCATTTATAATACCTACATTACATTATTTCTTTACTATTTTCTAATCATTTTGTTATATTAGAATCTAAGAAAACTTTAAAAGTTTATTATTATTCTTAATTTATCCAAACTTTTCTTTGATCAATCTGTTATATGATTTCTGGTTCCCCACTTCAATTCAAGCTTGATATAAAGATCAATTATAATAATTTGATAACTTTAGACAAAATTATTTTTCAAAATACTTATTATTGATATATCTTTTTTCAATTTTATCTTCTATTCAATGAAAAGTTAGTTTGTTAGATGAAAAAATTGAAGAATAAATAAATATTTTTTATAATTCTTAAGATCTCTCACCTTTAAAATGAAAATGCTTTGATTATCTATTATGCACTCTTAAATGAACTAGATAAAAGTTCTTTATCAGTTTTATTAGCCTTCGTTATGATATAATCATTTATTTAATTACTTGAAATCAGTAAAAAATATAAAATGTTGAAACGATACTAATATATTTTACTTGATATATAAATTAAAATAATCTAAATCAAGTATATATATTTTATTAATGAAATCTAAATTCTCTATAGATTCGATTTTTCATCAAACAGATTCTGAGTTTTGGACTAATGAGCTTATTTAAATAAGAGAATAAGATTTTAAAGAAGATTACTTTCTCTTCTACTCTAATAACAAAAAAACATACAAAAATAAGGCTTTGAAAAGACATGGTCCTATTATAAAAAAACTGAAAAAAAATGTAATTTTATTGTTAAGTAAAAAGGGATAAGAATTATGGTGTGATGTTACAAATGCTATAATTTAGATAATAGAAATATAGCATGTTGGTTATGGATTGAGAATTACTAAGAATTAAAGTAATTTGGAATTCTTTGGATATGTAGATGGTTGGTTTAAAGAATTAAAAAAATTCTGTATTCAGAAATAGATAAAAAATTTATTCATTATCAGTAATAAATTAGGTAGTGGGAACTATGCAGATGTATAATAGTTGATTAATATTTTGATAGGTTCATAGATTGATAAGGAAGAGTGATGAAAAAGAATTTGCTGTAAAAATTTATGATAAATTATCAAACAAATTTGATTCTGAATGTGTGATAAAGGAGTTAGAAATTCTTAGAAAAATGGATCATCCAAATGTAATAACAGTATTGGAAACATTTGAATCCTAAAAATACATATTCATAATTACTGAATTATTGATAAGTGGTAATTTAGATGATATTCTTTCAAAAACAACACTTACAGAAGATGATGCTATAAAAGGTATCTTTAAAATTATTGATGCTTTGACATATATACATTCTAAGGGAGTAATACATAGAGATATTAAACCAGAAAATATTTTATTTAGAAAACCAAATCTTGAAGAAATAGTCATTTCTGATTTTGGATTGGCAGAATTTTACAATGAAGAAGGTCATTACAAATATCATAGATGTGGAACTGCAGGTAATATGGCACCAGAAATATTGAAGGATCAATCCTATGGTTATAAAGCTGATTGCTATAGTGCAGGAATCATATTTTTTTAAATGTTAACCTAAGGGCAATCTCCATTTATTGTAGAAGATTATGAAGAAACACTTCAAAGAAATGAATAAGGTTAAATAGATTTTTCACTAGTTTAATCATCTTTAGCTATAAAGAATCTCCTTTAATAAATGTTAGAGTTGGACCCTTTTAAAAGATGTTCTGTCTAAGAAGCAAGATCCAATATTATTTTTAAGAAATATAATAGGCAAACTATTATTATCAAAAGAAAAAGAATTCAATAGGATCATACTGTTTCTAGTTATAGTCCAAGAAGTACATCAATTTATTAAAGCCCTACAAATTAGACTTCTCCTCACTTCCCTATTAGCCCTTCTTATAAATTTATTGGAGCCAAAAATTTTCACACTATTCCATTAAGGCTTAGAAGTCATGAAAGAAAATTATTTTCATCTCCTAATTCAAGCAATTCTGGTGCAAATAGTGCTAAATTATAATAAAAATAAAAAAATTCTAATTTTAAAATCAATTAGAAAAATAACAAAACAAATATGTACACAGGTATGAGTTCAAATAAAGCCATTTGAATCATTAATCAACTTATTATGGTTAGTGATAAATAATATTTATATTTCAAATGTTATACAGCTTTTTGTATCAATGATTAGATTCCCTAAACTTTCAATTATTTTTATTATACTCAACAGGAAAATAATCGTAAAGTAAATCAAGAAAATGCATATGATAATTTATTATTTGAATAAATCAATTTTTTCTCTTCTGTAAAAAAAGTGCGTTTTAGGTTCCCATCTAAATATCAGGCTTATCACTTAAATCATCTTTTGTAATTAATGCATGTTATAATTCAGCCTCTGTCATTACTTCATTAGAAATCTAACTTTAAAAAAAGGAATACGCTATCTTAAATAAGTTCTTAGACTAAAAATTATCTATCTTTTGTTTCAAATGATTCTTCTTTAACATTTATCTATTATGAAATATCTTATTATGAAAACATGAGGTCATTTGGATCCAATATTTCAGATTTTTCTGTTGTTGTTAAAGCAAAGGTTAGACCTAAAATTAATATCAATTGCAAATATTTCATATTTTAATTATTTATGTCTAATTTCAAATACAATGTAGAAGATGTAATTAAAAAATTAGAACTTTAAATTTAAGAAAATCGCAAAAGAACTAAAACTCTTAGCCTTGTTAAATAAAGTAGCTTCAATAATCAAAGTAAAAAAAGATTAAATACTATTCATAATATTCCTGATTAATTTTTATTGTAATAAATAGATGTTCATCCTTTGCAAGATATAACGTAAAGAAAAATGATTGTGAATCAAAGATTAAGAATATAACAAAGAAAATATTACCAAAAATTATTTTCTGGTAAAATAAAATAAAACAATTAGAAAACAGAATTTTAGAATCCTCTATCATATATAAACTTAAAACAAATACATTAGAATTCCTTGCTCCTTCCTATAGTGTTAAAATAAAGATAAGAAATTAAAAAATTAATAAAACCTAGCTCGAATTTTATGCTAAATTGACTAACCTATTATTATTGTTTGTAATTTATTATTCACATTATAATTTCAGAATGGTTCCTCAATTTTCTGTTCTAAAAATCTGATAATTAAGATTGGTTTTATTTTTATTCTTTTATGATGCTCCACTTCCTCTTAAAACCTTTCAAAATTATCACTCAAATTTAATGCTATTATTTTTAAGTGAGACGGTGTTGCTAAAAATCTACTTATTTTCAATGAATACCTTTTTTTCCTGATTTTAGGAGGAATACTATCTTAAGTATTTTAGTTTACAAACTATAAGTCTAACATATCTAGCCTCCTAAAGTTTGGAAAAATAATTTATGAAATTACAATCTTATTATCATATTAATAATAGTTCAAATTCAAAAAAATAAAAATTTTCTAATAAGACCTTAAAGAATAATTTTTCCCAAGTAAACTGCATTATTGATCATAAACGAGAAATATTTCATTCATAATTTTTATAATATTTTTTATTTATTTCGACTACAGTAAAATATTTTTACTTAGATCAAGTTATCCAGAACTAATTATAAAAAAGTATTGTATTGTGAATATCAAAAATCCCTTTTCAGTTTAGGAACCAACTTCATTAATAGATTTAAATAACATTTTTTTTTAAATATTAAATTCAATCATATTTTGTTATAGCTTGTAATAGCATTATTTATTACTTAGCTTGAATCATTTCATTTTTTTATTTTTACTTTCTATTTTTATCAAAGCTATAATTTATGAATTCATAAAAATCAAGATAATTGCCTTATAAATTTTATTGGGTATTTAATATGTAAAAGTGTATTAATGAGGTAAAAATTATGTAAAATTGATTAAATAATTACAAAAATTTTAATTGCAGTAAACACAGAAAATATTCTATTTATCTTATTGTTTTTACTGAGAATTAATAAAAAAATATGAAATTTACGCTTCTTTAAGAGCTACCCATTAAAAAAATTATTTTAATAACTACTATTTTCCTTTTGAAGTTGAAAATTTTGATGTTTAATTTTATGAACAGAAAAATTAAAACTCAATCTATTTAAATCTATTTAATATATAAAATATTTTGATAAAGCAAATTATTTTCTAAATCCTAAAAGATTAAAGATATATTTGAAGTATAAAAAATTAAAAGAAAAAAAAGGTTATTTTAAGATATTTTAAAAGTAATGTTTTGTTTTTAATATTTATTTAATTGATGAAATTATTGAAAAAAAGTGCCACCTCCAGGAATTGAACCTGGGCTTTAGCGGCCACAACGCTAAGTACTAACCACTATACGAAGATGGCATTACATTAGCTTTAGAAATAATTTTATTTGTATATTCCTAACTTTCCATCTGAAAAAGAAAACAATAAACATAAGTTAATGAAAAATTTGATTTTAGTTTTATAATATATTGAAATGCCAAAAAAATTCAATTAGTCAAAGCTTTTGATGAATGAATAAGATAATTATTAATTATATTCAATAATTATTAGATAAAATATAATTATTAAATAATATATTAGAATTCATACAATATAAAATCTAGTTTTTAAAAGATAAAACTCTATTAAAACATCGAAAATTGTAAAATATTCAACATAATTCGATATATTTTTTCATTAAGAATAAATATAAATTATAGCATTTAATTAATGAGAAAATAACTATTTTTATAAAAGAAATATTTAAAGAAAAGCATAAATTTTTTATCATATTTTCTACACTCCATGTGAATTTGAACTCAAATTTACAAACAATACTTGAGGAAGAAGGTGGAACTATAGATATCTTTTTTTGATAAATCAGGTCATTCAATGCATGAAGATGAGCCTTTAAGAATGGCAAAACATATTTCAGATTTTATATTCCATGAAAAAATTCCTTTAAATTCTGAAGAGATAGAATAAATAATACTTCAGGAGTATTAAACTTTTAATCTAGTGCTTTATCATATGATAAATAAATAAAAGATATTTGCCAGTGTGTGATTGATAACCAACCCATCGTTCTTTAACTTTGAGAGCAGCTATGAGCTTGTCATATAAAAATAAAAATTATTTAACAGGGTCTTAAGTGGCTTAATATTTGATAAAATTATTAGAATAGACTCCTAAAGATGCAGTTTATGCTAAACCAGCTGTTTTAGAGAATGTCAAAAAAGTAACATATCAAAATGTATGAAGATATTTAACAATAGTCAACTACATTCTTAGAATGAATAACAAATAAACTTTTAACCATCATTTTTAAATGAAGGAATAAAAAATCTTTGTGCAGATATGATATTAATAATAGTTCAAATTCAAAAAAAATTAGAACTTTCTAATAAGTTTAAGAATAATTTTTCCCAAGTAAACTGCCTTATAAATTTTATTGGGTATTTAATATGTAAAAGTGTATTAATGAGGTAAAAATTATGTCAAATTGATTCAATAATTACAAAAATTTTAATTGCAGTAAACACAGAAAATATTCTATTTATCTTATTGTTTTTACTGAGAATTAATAAAAAAATATGAAATTTACGCTTCTTTAAGAGCTACCCATTAAAAAAATTATTTTAATAACTACTATTTTCCTTTTGAAGTTGAAAATTTTTGATGTTTAATTTTATGAACAGAAAAATTGAAATTCAATCTATTTAAATCTATTTAATATATAAAATATTTTGATAAAGCAAATTATTTTCTAAATCCTAAAAGATTAAAGATATATTTGAAGTATAAAAAATTAAAAAGAAAAAAAAGGTTATTTTAAGATATTTTAAAAGTAATGTTTTGTTTTTAATATTTATTTAATTGATGAAATTATTGAAAAAAAGTGCCACCTCCAGGAATTGAACCTGGGCTTTAGCGGCCACAACGCTAAGTACTAACCACTATACGAAGATGGCATTACATTAGCTTTAGAAATAATTTTATTTGTATATTCCTAACTTTCCATCTGAAAAAGAAAACAATAAACATAAGTTAATGAAAAATTTGATTTTAGTTTTATAAGATATTGAAATGCCAAAAAAATTCAATTAGTCAAAGCTTTTGATGAATGAATAAGATAATTATTAATTATATTCAATAATTATTAGATAAAATATAATTATTAAATAATATATTAGAATTCATACAATATAAAATCTAGTTTTTAAAAGATAAAACTCTATTAAAACATCGAAAATTGTAAAATATTCAACATAATTCGATATATTTTTCCATTAAGAATAAATATAAATTATAGCATTTAATTAATGAGAAAATAACTATTTTTATAAAAGAAATATTTAAAGAAAAGCATAAATTTTTTATTAAATTTTCTCCACATCCATATGAATTTGAACTCAAATTTACAAACAATACTTGAGGAAGAAGGTGGAACTACAGATACTCTATTTAAGAAGAAGTAATTATAAAAATAAGAATGGGATAAATTCTTTGATAATATGATAATAGTTAATGTAATGTAAATTTTCAATTAACTTAGGGTACTCCAATTTATACAATAATGAAGCATGAACCAATTATATTATTAATTCATGGAGCCGGTCATTGTGCTATGACTTTTGCTTTGTTGTGTTAGTAATTGAAAACATTTTGTAGTTGTGTTTCTTATGATTTAATATAACATGGTTAATCTTAAAGAACAGAATCATTAGAAATTGATAATTTAATTAAAGAATGTGAAGGTGTAATAGAGTATATAAGATTGATTAAACCTAATACAAATATAATATTATTAGGACATAGTTTAGGAGCAGCTATTGCTTGTAAATTGATACCTAAATAATTTATAAGAGGTCTAATAGTTATCGATATGATTGAAAGTAGAGCTATAGAAAGTGTTTAATAAATGGTATAAGATTTGAGAAAAAGACCCTCTCAATTTTATTCTTATTCTAGCGCTATTAGTTATCATTTATCTAATAATCTTATTAAAAATCCTTAATCTGCTTAGATTACAGTTCCTCATTACTTAAATGATAATTTAGAATGGAAGGTAGATCTAATTTAAACTAAAAAATATTGGTTATAATGGTTTAAAGGTATTTAAGATGGTTTTGATAATTTCCCTTATCCTAAAATGTTATTTGTTGCTGAAATGAATAGATTATGTTCAATCTAATTTAAATAAAAAAAATATACAATTCATCTTTTTGATAAATCAGGTCATTCAATGCATGAAGATGAGCCTTTAAGAATGGCAAAACATATTTCAGATTTTATTTTCCATGAAAAAATTCCTTTAAATTCTGAAGAGATAGAATAAATAAATACTTCAGGAGTATTAAACTTTTAATCTAGTGCTTTATCATATGATAAATAAATAAAAGATATTATTTGAAGTTTTACTATAATGAATTATTAATTTTGATGTATTAATAAAATTTTCAGTTATTGAATATATTTTCTAATCAATATCTATATAATTTTTAATCAAATATTTTTTTGGTAATTTATAGATTCTAATAAATAAAGAAATCATTCTGTTTATTTTGATATTTTCTTAATAATTTACCATATATAGTGTGAAATATTAATAATGATTTGAAATAAAAATATATTTATGAAAATTTTCATTATTTTCTATCTGATCTAGATATTTACTTTTTAAACATAAGCCATTCATTTGTGTGAAAAAGAGGATGCAAACAAATAGTGCACAAATTGTGTGCCTAATTCTAAATTAGAAAATGGAATATGTAAATGCTTAGATGGGTATGTTACACATGAGAAAGTAAATAAATGCTATCGTATAAATATCATGTAATAATAAAATAGCTTGTTTACCTAATTGTAAAGAGTGTAATCCATTTTAATTAGATTAATGTGAAAAATGTTTTGGTGAGAATAATAATCGTACTAATTAATGCATTTGTAATTAAGACTTTATCTTTTATGCATAAGGCTAAACCTGCATTCCTTGTATAAATATTTTTAAAATTTTAGCAAATAAGAACTTAGATTTATACCATCTTAACTTTCTAATTTAATAGAAGACATTTGAAAAATCTCGATTTGATTTTTGTTAAAATACTTCATAATTTGCATAAATTGATTCTCTATATTTATTGTAAAAAAATAATACCACTGAAACTTTAGATAAAAATTTTACAAAATTGAATAATCAAATTTAAGTGGCATTTAAGTCAAGTAATGAAACATTGGTATTCAACAAATATCTCAATGAAAAGATAAAATTAAAAAACTCTATCATAAAAGATGAGAATGAAATTATTTTCGAAATTAATTCCGCTTTCGGATTTAGTGATTTTGTAGGAAATAAGGACGACTAAAATCTAATTCTAATAATTGAAATGAAAAATATCATTACAAATAGCTATTATTTCTTGTTGATGTAATGCTAATCATAAAAGAATCAATCTATAGAAGAATAAAAATTTTCAGAAAATAATGTCAATCAGATAGTTGATACCTATTTTAATTTATTCTATTAATGTCCTTCTAATTGTGTCAAATGCAAATTTGAAAATTTAGAGACAGAATTGAATGTATAATGTTAAAAATGCATTAATGGAATGAAAATATAGGATGGCAAATGCATTTATGAGAGTAAATTGATTAAAATGATGGAAATAAAAGAGAATAATGATGAAAAAGATGAAAAAAAAAAGATTGGCTGTGATTCTAACACATATTTAAAAGATGATAATTATTGCACATTATGCAATATCTAAAATTGTTTAATTTGCGAAACCGAAACAAAATGTAAAACATGTGAATAGGAAGATAAATTTTATCTCAAAGAAGATAAATGCTAATGCAAGAAGGATGAGGATTGTTAAATTAATTAACCAGTCATCAAAAACTGTAAATATTTTAAAGATAATATTTGTTGGGAATGTGAGTAAAATTATTATCTATATAAAAATTAATGTTATCAAATGCTATCAAATGAAAATTTAATATGCATTAAAGAAGAGAAGTGTGTTAATTGTTTAAATATGAAAAAAATTGATAATTTATCCTTAATTCAAGATAAAAATCATTTTGAATGTAAATGTAAAGATAGATATTTCATCGATTATTAATTATTATAATGTAAGTAATGTGATAAAAACTGCAAAAATTGTGCCGATAGATCTAATAAATGTATAAACTGTAAGGATGGGTTATATTTAGAAAATCAAAAATGCAAATAATGCCCAGAAACCTGTCGCTAATGTGATTCAATGGATAAATGTAAAAATTGTTAGGATGGTTACTACTTAGATGAATCTAATTCACAATGCAAACAATGCAATATTAAGGAATTCGGTGTTGATAATGATTAAAATGTTTGTGAAAAATGCTTAAGTGAATAAGTATGTGAAAAAGCCAAAGAAGGATATTACATTGATGAAGTCGTTGTTAAGAAATGTAATATAAATAAATGCAAATAGTGTGAGAAAACTGAATGTAAATAATGTGAACCTGAATATTATGTCGAAAAAGGCTAATGTGATAAATGTTCAACTGGATGTTTAAGTTGTGAAAAGGATTAAGAATCAAATTAAATTAAATGTTTAAAGTGTGATTAAGGTTTTAGTCTTAGTGATGAAAAAGTATCAAGTTGTTAGATATGCCCAGATAATTGTTAGCAATGTCCTAATAAATCTAGTTGCAACAAATGTAAAGATGGATTTAAATTATCATCAAGTAAAAAATGTGTTTGTAAAGATGATAACCAATATTTTAAAGATGGTATATGTTAAACATGCATTGCAAATTGTGAAAAATGTAAATCACAAAATTAATGTGAGGTTTGTCATTAAAAATATGATTTAAATGAAAAATAAGAATGTGTTAAAAAGAAGTGTAAAATTACTAATTGTGAAGAGTGTAATGATGAAAGTTCATGTGAAAAATGCACAGATTCAATCTTTGATTAAGAAAATAAAATATGTGGATGCAAAAACAATTGTGAAAAATGTAGTCTGGAAAATGAAAAATAAAAATGTTCAAGTTGTAAATAAAAATTTTACTTGGGAGCGGATTTTGAATGTAAAAGTTGCACTGATAAAAATTGTTAAAATTGCGATTATTCTGCTTCATTATCATCTGATTAATGTTTAAATTGTTAAGAAGGTTACTCTCTTAAAGAAAATAAATGTTATAAATAAAATAATCTATTTCCTTTGCTTTCCCTTGTATTTATAATTGCTTTAATATATGGAGCCTATTACTTTAAGGATTAAATCTTATCTCTTTGCGCTAATAAAGATTCAAGAAATTTTTCAGGGGGTATAGAATTACCTGAATAAGAAAAAAATAATGATTAAAAATTTAATATTTTAGATGATTGATTAATAATGAACCATTAAATATTTAATTTCGATTTTTATTCCAATACTCTAAACTTTATTATGTATATATTATATTTCAACATAATATATATATTTTAAATCCAAACATAATATAATATGGATATGTATTATATATAAATATATTATTTATATTTTAAATGTTCACATAATATGTATTTTAAAAATATAAACATAATAATGTATTAATTTGGATATATTTAAAATATATCTAATTCTAATAAGAAAAAGTTAGGAAGTCTAATAATTTTAATTACTAAATATAATAAAAATTTTAAATTTTTTATCAACAACAACTTCCTGAAGAATTCTGATTATTTTTTTTAATTTAGTGATCTGCAGCTTTTAAGAATGAAGCATTTGAATTTTGTCCCTTTTTTTTAGAGTATTATGCTGCTGTTTATTGGAATTCATCATCATCATCTTGAGTTTCTTATATATTTCTTAAAATTTCTATATTAGAAAGAAGTTAGACCTTCAGTTATTTATTTAAATGCAAATTCAATATTATGTCCAGTTAATGCTGATGTTTCTAAGAATCCCATTTTTTTAGATTGAGCATATTTGATAGCTTCCTCCTTACTCACCTTTCTTTCTGTTTCTATGTCATTCTAGGATTGTTCTAATTTAAAAATACCTTATTTCCAATAAGCATTAGAACAAGATTTTATTAATCAGAATATTCTTTAATTTCTAACAACCATCTATCAACCTCTAGGTATGAACTTTTATTTGTAATATCATAGACTAGGAAAGCACCAACTGCTCCTTTGTAATATGCTTTTGCAATAGCCTTATATTTCTCTTATCCTGCTGTATCCCAAACTTAAACTCTTATTTTTTTATTATCAATTTCCAAGACTTTTGCACTAAATTCTACACCTATTGTATTATTAGTAGATAGATTGAATTAATCTTTTGTAAATCTCAATAAAATCTATGATTTTCCAACAGCAGAGCTACCTATGGTAAATCATAGAATTACCAAGTAAAATTATTTTAAAGACATGATCGATTACGTTTCCATTCTATTATGAATCCATTAAATATAATTAAATATTATCACAAAAATATAATGAAAAGTGATAAAGAAAATTTTAAGTCAATCATCAATTAATTTTATGGATCGAAAGTTATTGAAGAATTGCCAGAAGAAGAACGTCAATTTGAATTAATTATTCAATAACCTGATCAAACATTAATTCAAAAGATGCTTGTATAATCAATTTACATTCCATTCCTTAGGACGATAGTTTATAGAAGAGATAATAGTTTATAAAAAGTACAGAGTGTAAAGAGTACTCTTAAATGCTTATTATCTCATAAATTAGAATGGACTTCACAAATGATGATCCATTTCTTAAACATTTAATAAATGTCGAAAAAGCTATTAAAAAGGCCATAAGAAACATTCTTTTGTAACTCTCAAAAATTGATAACAAATAAGAATTTAAAGAAGCCTGTGATAAATTAATAAAGATATTTTATTAAGATATAAATATTGGATTTATAACATCAACAGGATAAATCAAATCTACTGCATATGCTTTTATATCTAAATCTATAATTGAATCAATAAATAGGAAGAAAATTAATTTATAATTCAAAAAGATTCCCTTAAAAATAACTTTGACCTTCTTTGCTATTGATTCTTTATAATAAATCAATCATTTACAAAAATAATATGATCCAAGAACTGCTTTCATTAAAAATAATAAATTTATTAATGATTACATAATCTTATCCTAAACAAATTAAGATGAATTAAGAAATGGAGTCTCAATATTTTTTGTCTATCGTCCAGAAGATGATCAAATATATGCTCTTAAAAGGGTATCATAAATAAATAATTTAGAGTAAATTACAAGCAACTTCACTTGATTTCTTTTCTGTCTTCTCCACTACTGCTTCTAATACTCCAATCACACCTGATATTAGAAAAATTAGAGAAGCAAAAATTTTATCAAAATTGACTCATCCCAATATCCTTAGGTATTTTTATTAATTATTTTTAGGCTATTTGCTTGGTGGATAGAATCAAATAATGATGGATATTATCTTTATATGTAACTTGAATATTGCTCTTTTCCTGGATATAAATATTAACCTACAGATTTATTAACATTCTCATATTATTATTTAAATGTTATGTAAAATTAAGAAAAAATCAATAAAATTAAATCCATTTTAAATTAAATTTTAGATGGATTAGAATATATTCATTAAAGAGGTATTATTCATAGAGATTTAAAGCCTGAAAATATTTTTGTAACAATTAATGTTAAAGGAGATTTATAAGTAATTAATGTTTAAAATTAACTGGCTAGGTTGTCTTGGCAGATTTTGATTAAGGAAAAGATGTTAGAGAAGAAAAACTATCAATTATTACTGATGAAAGACTTCCTGAAGAAGAATTAAATTCTATCAAATCTTAGAATACAATAACAACAGGAACCATTGGTTATTAAACAGCTAATTATACAAAAGATTCTCATTATGAAATGGCAGATGAATTTTATGCAATTGGAATTATTTTATTACATCTTGTTATTGCATTTCCAGGAGAACCAAAAAACAGAAATTTATATACTAAGACATTCGTGATGGCTGACTCTATAAAGGATATTTTATCCCTATTCGATTCTTGGGCTAATAAGTTTGTTAAAAATAAAAGTCATGATTTTTCATTCACACATTATTAAAATGTTATGGATTTAGCAAAACTTCTTATAAGTTCAAGAAAACTAACTCATGCAGATGTGAGAAAAATGATTAATGAGTTATGAGTTAGCATTTTATGTAATTACAATTTATATTTATTTTAATTATGATAACTAATTTTGGAATTCCATTTTCCTAATTTTAAGATTAAGCCCAAAATTTACCAACTTTAGTCAACTTTGAATCAAAGTACTTTGTAATTGAACATAAATATGTATGACCATGTTGAAATAGCTCCCATTAGATTAAAGATTTATTCTGTAATTGAGAACAGCAATTTCTCATAATTAGAAGTAAATATAAGTGACAGCTCAACTTATATATAATACTTTTATCAACATACCTCAATTTTATTTCACTCTCCAAGATTGTGAATGTAAGCATTTTGTAAGATTTAGCTTCTGATTATCTACCTATACATGAATTTATTTCAGATGAAACTGAATTATAGTATTTCATAAAAGATGTAGAAATTATCTGATTATATAGATAAATCCTGCTACAGGTTTAGCTATGATTACAATGCATAATTGTTTATTGTCAGAATTTATACATTTTGTGAGTTAAGAGAAATCATTTTTATTAACTTTGATTTCTTATTACTTTTCTAAATTACACATTTATATTAAAAAAGAAGAATATAAAGAATGAAATAGAATTAATATATGATGAAATTTAAAATATAAAAAGAGATATAATATTATTATTAAAACAATTAACAAAAATTAATATGATAAAGGCAGTTTTATTTGTTAATTAAAAAGAGAAATATTTTAAAATAATAGGTTGCAATATAATAAAATAAAATTTTAAATTATTCGAACAAAATTTTCATCCATTATGAGCTCCTTATGAATCTGGACTTAATGGTAAAAACATGAGCTTTTAAGATGGACCTTTAGCTAATAATTAAAGTGTTTCTAAAAATCTAATTTGCATGGCTGCCTTGCTATCTAAAGCTTAAGCAGCTTCTTTCATTAATTTTGCACTTTCCACATCAGCTTAAGCAGAAATAACTTTAGCTTAAGCAATTCTCTTATTTTTAGCAGCAGCAGCTAAATCAGATTACATTTAAGGTGTCAAAACCATATCCTTTATAAATACTTCTTCTATATAAATTCCCCATTATTCAGTTTATCTATCTAAATAAGCTTCAATTGCATCCTAAACCATTTCTCTATGTTCTAATAAATCCTAAAGCTGATGTTCTCCACAAACTTATCTTAAGGCAGCATAAGTCATATCTTTAACAGATTGTGTCAATCTTGAAACTCTATATGTAGCCCTTACAGGATCTATTAAAAAAAAAAGAATTTTAATTAAATTACATACCAATTATTCTAAAATACATACATGTGTCAATATTAACTTATATGTTGTCTTTTGTTAGTATTATTTATCTATCTAAATCTAATACTCTTGTTCTCATATCCACTGGTATAACCGTATCCTTAAATTCAAATAATATAATACTGTGCATGGATTGATTTGATTTAATCCTGGTGGCAGGCTCCTATGATATTTTCCAAATTTTTCCACTAAACCTACAGAGCTTTGTTGAACTGCAAAGAATGGATTTTCACAACAGCAAAATATACATGGAAACCATGCCTTTAAAATTCTATATTAATATATTTACTCTCAAAAATCCTGAAAAACTACCACAACAATCCAAACATGATTCATAGGCAGTCAATTCTCTTCTCTATGTCAGTTAATCATCGTTAAGGTTTTGCTTTTATTAAAAAAAATGAATCTACTCTTTAATTATTAAGTTTTTACTATTCCATAATTTAATTATAATATATAAAATTTTTATATTGCATATGTTTCATTATAATGAAACATATAGTAAATCATGAAATACTATATCTTTTGAATGATTTCGATTTAATAATTATACGATATAAATATATTTACTTCAATTGTTACATTTTATTTAGATTCTTAATTCTAGAAACTAATTAAAAGATACGCGATTAAAATTAATTTATGAATTATGTTCATTAATATTTCAATTTAAATATTTTATACATTAATAAAAATAATATAAAAATTAGAAACCCTTTCACTCTATGGATAATATAATCGAAAACTCACTTAATTTTTGGTAGCAAAGACTCAATAATTCATCTTAAACAGAAACTAAAATATTATTCAAGAAGAAATAAAGATCAATAGTTGACAGAGTAGTGATAGAATCGGCAGAATATTGGAAAAAGATAGCTGATGAATTTTCATCTAAAAGTTCCACAAATAGATCTGTTTAAAGTTTATCATCATAACATAATTAATAAATTTCTGATTGCTGATTATTATAATATATTATTTAATAAGATATTTCTTCATAATATAGATTCATAAACAACATTGAATGTTTTAAAACAAAAAAAATCTATTTTTACATTAAAATCTTCCAAATTTTTTCTAATTTTATGTATAAAATCCCTATTTTTTCGAATCAAAAGTATAATTTACTCTTGATACATGCTATTAATTTATTTAGTAAGTTTTGATAATTGTGAATAAACTGATTTTAGATTTCATAAATTTTTATAATATCAAGAAGATATTAACATTAAAAATTAACTTATTTTATTTAGAGTAAATAATTTTTTGAAACATAGAACCAAGGAATAGAGAATGAGTTCATTTTTTTTGTATGTTCCATCCATGACTAAAATAATCAAAGTTCCTCTCTTTATTTTATTTCATTTTAAGAACCAAATATTATTTGTAAATTAGTAAAATTTTTAAGTCTTGATAATTATAATATGAGTTATAAATCTAAAAGAAGGATAGCAGTTAATCGAAAAAATATCAAACGTGAGTGAAGGAAGGAAAAAGAAATTTAGATTGATAACTAAATTATTTGTATTTATTTTAATTAAACTCTATATAAGATGTCAAATTAAGGAATGCTTAGAATAGGGACTTAAGATTCATTTTCAAGAAAAAACTAATTGAATTAATTTCATGCTACTCCTAGCCATAGGAAAACTTCTCTAACTAAGCCTCTATCAATTGATTAAATCCCAGACAATGCATTAGAAAAATTTTATTTGTACAAACAAAAAAAGAACGATGTGAGATTGAAACAATAATTGAGCAAATAAAGTTAACGATCATCATAGAATTCAATAGCCTAAACAAATTAATTCTATATTAATGCTAATTTCGTTAGCAATTCAGGTAGTTAACAAAAGCGTTCAGGTCAATCTGTAACTATTGAAGCAATAGAATCAGTTAAAAGAACTATAAAAACAGATATGGGAAATCCTGCATCATTTTTAAATAAAGCAAAAAGCATAGATCAAGAAGATTAATAGTAATAAGTTAAGCATCATAACGTTGTTGTGAAATTTGGTAACTAAGATTTTTATTTTTATTTTGAAGCTCAGTAAGAATATAATATTAATAAATTTAGTACTAATATGAAATCAATTTGGTTTTAAATTTTGTAAAGATTGCATGATAATACATTTGCAAATCCACAAGAATGTTATGCCAATATTAAAGACAAACCTTCAGTAAATTAAATTGTTAGTTTCATTTCTTAATAGCATTCAATACCTATTGATTATTATATTGCTCAGCCAGAATTACAATTTAACGTTTTTATGAACTCAGGTTTAAAATTGGAAGCATTTTTCTTATAAACTTAATAAGAACCAAGAGTTAATTTAAAAGATTTTATTTTTTTGAAGAATATTGGAGTTGGAGGTTTCTCTTTAGTTTATTTGGTTAGAAAAAAAGATACTGGAAAATTTTATGCTCTTAAACTTATTGATAAAGAATTTATTATAGCAAAGAAAAAATAATAGATTGTATTAAATGAACGAAATGTAATGACATTACTTAATAGTCCATTCTTATTACATTTATCTTATGCATTTGAATCAAGATAATTTGTAGTTTTTGTTTTAGAGTTCTGTTAAGGTGGAGAATTATTTTTTCAATTGAAATAAATTAAAAGAATGAGTGAAGAATAAGCTTGTTTTTATATAGCAGAAATATGTTTGGTATTTAATTCTAATTCATATTAAGGGTCTACATGAAATTCATTCATTAAATATTTTATATAGAGACATTAAGCCTGAAAACATTTTGATGGATATAGAAGGACATGTTAGGATTGCAGATTTTGGTTTAAGTAAGCCAGAAATAAGTAGAGAAGAAAAAGCTTATAGTTTTTGTGGTTCTCCAGAATATATGGCTCCAGAAATGCTTCTAAAATAAGGACACTCTTAAACTGTTGATTTTTATTGTTTAGGAGCCTTGCTTTATGAATTACTTACTGGATTACCACCATATTATTCTACAGATACAAATTAAATTTATCAAGACATTCTCTATTCTAAATTAACTTTTCCTAATGATGTATTATATTTAAATTAATTCAAGTTAAATTTATCAAAAGATGTTAAAAATCTATTGATATAATTGTTAGATAAAAATCCAAATTAAAGATTAGGATAGTCTGGAGGTATACAAGAGATTCTTTAGCATCCTTTTTTTTCTTAAATTGATTTTAAACAACTAATGCTAAAAAAAGTTAAACCTCCATTTCGTCCAGATCCTTTAAGAATGAATTTAGATGAAAAGGAATCTTAAAAAGGAGAATTAGACTTTAGAAAAATGATTGCTTCAAATAAAGGAGCAAATCTACCAGTTATTTTTGGATCATCATTTTATTATGAGTCTCCTTAAGAAGCTTAAATAAAATCAGTCTATAAAGAATGGATTGCCCACACAAATTTACAACCAAACACTCCTTGTGTTGGGTCTTATCATAGTTAAGGAAGGTATATGAATCTCATAATATTTAAAGATAGACTAAATCACAAGATATTGTACCTTTAATTTAATCCGTAAAAAATAACCCCAGATCTCGCTAAATTATTAATTAAAAATAATAATCGTAAAAGACAATTGGCTAGAAATCATCTTTAGAAAGAATAAATTAAGAAAGAAAGTTTTTTTCGAAAATTTGATTAAGATTATGTATTTTCCAATCGTTTTCTAATAAGTTTTATATTTGATTTCCACTTCATTTCTAGGACTGAAAATCAAAAAAATATTAATATTCTTAATTAAATTTGTATATGAATTCTCATTTATTTTTAATTATGATACGATCCTTAATTTTTTCTTGACCACTCTAATTAATTTACAAAGTTTGCTTAACTATTTTTTAGTTATTATTATTGCGTTAAGCGCTTTTAATGATTTTCATAGAACCAGTCTATGTTGGGGTATTTGTTTCTTAAATTGGGTGTTATTTATCTTAATTCACTACTACTACTCTTTTATTACTAATCTTCTAGATTACTATCTCAGCAATTTCTTCTTTTTTTTCAATGATAATTTCATTATTTTGATTCTATTGAGGAACTGTTTAAATACATAGCTAGGATATTTAAGTTTATTAAGGTTAAAATACTTAAACAGATGAGCCTTCAATTTTTTCTATAATCTTATTTTGATCACCATTATCTATTATTTATGAGATTTTTTCTTTTTGTGGAGACAATGATACAGATTTGCTATAAAATTCATTTTAATACTAATATTCTTTTCTCATTCTGACATCATCTTAATTCTTTTAAACTTTTGAATATGTTATTTTTACTCCAGCATTGATATTTTTTTAACTGTCCTCAGATTAAGAATTTTTTCTGGGAAATTCAGATTTTAATTATGATTTACTTGTTTTGTGCTTTTTGTCAGATCTATCATTTTCATTTCTTTTTTCTCTTTCTTTTCTATCATTTTAATTGTGTTATTTCTCTCTAGATCTATCCCTTGATTTTCTTCTTTTTTTATTCTCATAACGATGAATATGTTTATCTTTAAATTAATGATGTTCATCTTTTTTTTCATACCTATATTTTTCTTTGTCATTTTATCTATCTTTTTCTCTATATTTTTGTTTTTACCTTTCTTTTTCTTTTTCTTATTCTTTTTCTCTTAAATATTTTTCTCTTTCTTTTTCTTTCTCTCTCTCTTTCTCTCTTTCCTTTTCTTTCTCTCTCTCTCTTTCTCTTTCTTTCTCTTTCTCTTTTTCCCTTTCTCTTTCCCTTTCCCTTTCTCTTTCTTTCTCTTTCTCTCTTTCTCTTTCCTTTTCTTTCTCTCTCTCCCTTTCTCTCTCTTTTTCTTTTTCCTTTTCTCTTTCTCTTTCTCTTTCCTTTTCCCTTTCTTTTTCCCTTTCCCTTTCCTTTTCCCTTTCTTTTTCCCTTTCTCTTTCTCTTTCTCTTTCTCTTTCTCTTTCCCTTTCCCTTTCCCTTTCTCTTTATTTCTCTTTTTCCCTTTCCCTTTCCCTTTCCCTTTCCCTTTCTCTTTCTTTCTCTTTCTCTCTTTCTTTCTCTTTCTCTCTTTCTCTTTCTTTATCTTTCTCTTTCTCTCTCTCCCTTTCTCTTTATTTTTCTTTATCCTTTTCTTTTTCCCTTTCTTTCTCTTTTAATTTTTCTTTATCTTTTTTTTTGATTTGATCTTATTCATATTCAATTCTTTTTCCTCCTTCAGAATCAGCTGATAATTATTCATTTATTTTATCATTATCAGCTGTTTTCATCTATTCTCTATTTCTCTATTCTCTTTATTCTTTCGCTCTTTCCCTCTCTCGTTATTCCCTTATTTGTTTTTCTTTTTCCAATCTGTCTTTTTCTTTTAACTTGACTTCCGTCTGTACTTATTCTATATCTATTATGTATTAGTATACTCTCATCAACAAACTCATTATGAAATTGCCATTTATTCTAACTACTTCTATTTTTTCGATCTTAACTGCTGCTTCTATCTCTACTTCTTCTATCTCTATTTCTTCTATCTCTACTCCTTCTGCTTTTTTTTTGTCTCTCATAACTATTTCTATAACTTTCTTTTTTTTGACTTTATTCTAATCTTCTTTTATCTAATTCTTTTCCTTTATCATCACTTGTATCTTTGCTTTTTTTTCTCTTTTCATTTGATTTCTCTCTATCTCTATCTCTATCTCTACTTCTACTTTTGCTTTAAACTTTTTATGTTTATTTTGTCTTTGAATCATCACTATTTTTTGGAAATCTTTATTGGAATTATAATGGTAATCGAATATCCTGCAATGGTTAAGGTTTGTAAGGTTTTTAAATTCCTAAAAGAGAGTGAAGCTTAAAATTACAATAAATTTATACCTTTTCAGCAGTTTATCCAGACAATTCTTAAACTTCCTTAGATTAATTAACCGGCAATAATTCATTCAAATCATTTTTGATATTTTGCGTTTTTTCATAACTGAGCACTCCTTTTAGTGTCCAATCAACTTTGAAAAATGATTCTTAATTTCCTTTCAAGTTACTAAGATTTATTTTTTACTCCTCCTAATTTGTTTATATTAGGTAATACAGTTAAGTAATCAAATTCCTTAGATTATGTTTGTATAATTCCAAAGGCTAGGAATGATTTTTCATCCAAACAACTCAGAAATACTCCCACCTATTTGGACTTATCCAGAGCACGATCAATTTGTTTATCAAATTTTCTTTGTATAAAGATGACTTTGTTATTTAGACTAGAGTCAGCTTAAGCCTTTGATTTGTATTTAACGATAAAGAATTTACTTTGTGACAATTTAAAGATTTCTAATTAGAAACATAATTTACCTTCCATCTCTAATATCAAAAATAAAAATAATAAATAAATTGTTAATCTTTTTCATTAAATATATTAGATATAATTTTCAATTTATAATAATTTTTATCTTTTATTTCGATCATAATTTATCATCTAAAGCATTTGAGGATAAAATTATGTATAGTCTTATTCAATTTTAAAAAAATCTTGTTTAAATATTTTTACAAATATCTCTATTTCTATTGATCTATCCCTTGCTTTGAAATATTGGGTATTTTTCTATTAATTTAATATATATCAGAAGATATAAATTTTATAAGTTCTTTAATATGCTAATATTCAGGTGTTCTTTCTTATTCCAATAAAAAATATCAGATTAGCTTTCCTCGATATTATGTTCATTATATTTCGGGCTTATATCTATCAAAATTGAATAATAGATATCTAAATGTTTTAATTTCTACGAAATTATTCAAAAAAAACGTAATATTTTTGATTTATCTCGATGAATAATTTATTCTAAATGAAGGCCTTTTAGTACCAATACTATTTGGTAAATAATATGCATCAAATTTCATTAATTTCTAAAGTTTATATACCTCTGTGATTCTTCAATTCTCAAAAGTATCATTATAGTATTTCATAAAAATAATTTATTGATCCATAAAATTACAAGATAACAAAAAATATTTCTACAAACATAATTCTGAAAATACAAATTTCACTTTTTTAATGTTAAACTCTTGAACATTAAGGGTTCTGAAAGATATATTCAGTTTTAATATTATAAAGTACTTCTAAAAATTTTTTTTTTAGTAAAAACAATCACGTTGCCATTTTATTTACTCCAAATATATTTAAAAGAAATTCTTTTATAATATTTTAAAATAATCCTTATTTATATCAACTAATAATTAAGATTAAAACAGAACTTTACATAAATGCATATTTGAACTATTATATATTATTAAGTAGAATTTAATTGAATCTAATTAATGTTTATCCAAAATAAATAAAATTAATCAATTCTCACACTCATAAGAAATAATGCATTTTTTTTTTCTCATCCAAATACAACTTAAAAGAAAGATTCTTTTACATATTTTAGATGAAACATTATTATAGACAATCATTACACTTTTAATAAGTTCTAATTAAATTCTTTGTAGGCTTTATATCTCAAAATACTCAATTGTTCTCATTGATACTCCTTTAATTAATATTGAGCATTAGCTTTCCTATCTTTATACAAGTCATATATAATAGAATTTATAATTATTGTTTAATACTAAAATATTGTTTATGATTTATCTAGACATTATTATATCTTCTCAACAAAATAGAATTAGTATTAAATACTCATTTTTATTTTGGAATGATGGTAGTTATTAAAATTAATTTTTTTATTTCTAAAGCAAAGTGTTTATTAATTTATATAATAATTATTTACAATAATAAATAAAAATGGAGGATTTGGATTCTGCAGGAATTAACTTTGGAGTTATCTCTTTTTTTTATTTACTCTCAATTTTCTATATATTGAAATTCAATTCTAAAAGTTTTATGAAAACAATTACAAAAACTAGATAAGAAAATGAAAAATGTTTGGATTAAATTTCAGAGGCGTTTGTCTTTTTTTTTTTAGAATAAAGATAAGGCCATACATTGGTAAAATTTTTTTAATATTGAGATTTGTATCGAAAAAGTAGTATCTATCTTTGTAATATTTACAAATTAAGAAATGGCATAATCAATATTTGGCTCATATAACAGCATAATAAATGACAATGAAGAAAATTTAGAATATTTATATGTCTATCTGATTATACCATTAATAGGCTTTGGGGGATATTTTTTATAAAAGGTTTTTTATTATTTGAATTATTGCTTCTATGAGAAATTCATATATTAGAAATTAGTAATAAAATATCGAAAATTGTCAAAATTCGCATTTTCAGATCCTCGATCAAGAAGCATGTTTTTTTTTGGATATATTATTACTAATTTGATAGTAATTTTAGTAGTTTTCAGCGATTCAAATAATGGAATATTCAGTAGATGTGTAATTTAAGCATTGATATCATCTGCTATATAAATATTTGGATTTGAATTGCTTTTTGTGTTTTTAGCAGTCTTTATGATGAAAGTAGATGATAAAATTTATGCAATAATATTTTAATAAAAAAAGGAGAAAATAATATTATCTGAACACTCCTAGGTAATAATTAATTTAAATAAATGATAGATTAACTAAAATGATCAGGAATCAAATCCAAATTTAGAACCCCCATCATGAGACTAAATTTATCAAATATTTTTAATTTTATTGTATTTATTATTTTATAATTAAATTTAATACTATTAAATATTCTATTTGATAAGTTCTACCTAAAATTTATTTTTTTTGTTTAAATTTAAATATTCCTAACTATCTGAGCTAGTAAAAGAGAAGAATTGATTTTTTATTTAAATTTAATCCATTTAATCATAATTTCATCATTGAAAATTATAAAAAATTATTGATAGATTAAGTGATATTTAAATAAATGATTTATAATTAAAATGATGATCTAGAAAGTACAAAAGGTAAACTTTTAAAATATTTACAATATTTCTAATGGTAAGAAACGAATATTAAATAAATTAGAAAAGAATATAATAAAAGAGGATTGAGAAATTTTAGTTGAATTTGTTATTTTTTATAAAACAAGCAGATTTATATGAAGATGGATTAGATATATCATAGGATGAGCAATATCAAAATAACGATGAATTTAATATTGAAAGTTAAAAATCATATTTGATATTAAATTGAATAAAGACAACTTGTTATAAGCAAGAATACAAATAAATTAAGATAGACATTTTATAGATAAAAATCTAACTTATATGAGCTACCACAATGGAGTTTGTAAAAAGATCAATACATTTAAGGATGAATATAATTTATTAAATTTGGATTTTAATATTATATATATTTTTACAATAGTATAGTTTATTATTCAAAAAAGGTCTTAGAACGTTAAAAAAATTTGAAAGATTTGATAATAATAAAAAAAGAATATTAAAAAATTCTTTTGATTTATTGATCAATCTTTATTTTACTAATTTGAGAAAGAATATTAAATATTAAATATAAATTGATTACAATATAAGATTAATTATAATTCATAATTATGTTACTTAATTCAACCATTATAAGAATACCATCTTGTCTATTTTTTTCGTTCTCAAAATAATTTTATGATTCAATAATTAATCAACTGTTGCTCTCTCCTCTGGTTTTAATTTGACACTATAAATTAAATAGTTATATTACCACATAGATATAAAGTTTTTCATTTCTGCTGATATTTTGGCTTAAACATTTTCTATGTTAAATGAACTAATCTCATTAACCATATCTATAAACTATGTTTTCTGGATAGGATGTTTTCCCATTAAGCATTCTGCTGTTAAAATACCAATTGACCATATGTCAGAATCTTTTCCATACATTTCTCCATTCAATCGTTCAGGCTAAACTTTGAATAACTGCTTACTGACATATAAACTGCAGTTCCTACATAAGTCTTTCTTTATTGCATTGTTTCTATTGTACCAGAGATACCGAAATCTGTGATTTTGATTTCACCTTTCTTGTTTACTAATATGTTTTATGGTTTAATATCTCTATGAATGATTTTCTTTTTATTATGTAAATAATCAATCCCTAAAAGAATTTAATATAAAAGCAATGCCATAACAGGTTCATTTAGATTTTTCACTTTCTTAATCAAAGAATCTATAGAGCCAACATCCATATATTCAAGTATTATGTGCAAAGTTCCTGATTTATAGAATGCCCCATAACATTTTACAACATAAGGTGAACTACATTCTAATGCTAATTTTAATTCATCTGAAAGCTGTTTCAAATATTATGGATCTGAAGCAACAGGAATTTTCTAAATGAGAATTGTAAATACTTTCATTGCAAAATATTATCCTGTGACTTAATCCTATACTTTTTCAACTTAACCTGATGCACCCTGACCTAATTACCCAACTGTTATTAAATTTTCTAACGATAGATTATGAGTAGATTCAGATAGCGAGAAATCCCATTAATCATGTGTATGAGTGACTTTAAGTCCTTAACCATTTAAACGAAATTCCTTAAGAATGAGGGATCCATTCTCAGATCTAATTTTTTTAAATAAATAAAAACAGATTTAGAACAGGTTAAGCTTATTCTGATTAAAGACTAATCTTTGCAATTTAGGGTTTTTTTTTCTTCAAATCAGGAGTTTGCATTTAGTAAACTTAAATTAAATATATTTCATTAATCTTTGATTCATTTTCAATATTTACAGAAATATCTTTTCTAATGAGAAATTGTGTTTCGCAATTATATCAATAATCAAATTTAAACACATTTTAAACAAAGGAGAATTCAAAATATTTATTTAAAATGAATATATGTTTAACTAATATTCTCAAATTTTAGCAAAATTTTTATAATTGTTCAAATTGTTAATAAGATTTCATAAAAATTGTGATTATTGTAAATATGAAAAAGAGCTATTTAAACTCAAAAAATTTTATAAACTAAAAATTAGTGTAATTTTGTTGGAAAACAACAAAATATTTGATTTTAGATCTAGATTTTTAGAAATTAAAAAAAGTTGATCTATGTTCAAAAGAATCTTAATTAAAATTTTCATTGTAATTAAAATTCAATATATTGTGATCCATAACTTAAATTTTGAATCACATTAAAATGATTGAAAACTATTGATTTTGAGAAAATTGTATTTTTAACATCCGATATTTAATGGATTTTAACCATAATGATATAAGATTATGATAAAGTAAAATTAAATAAGAATAACACTAAGAGGAAAACTTTTAAATATTTTATTTATAATCATGAATAACATTATTTGATAAAAAAGTGAATTAAATTTTAATATTATTTTATTTACCTAAAAGAAAGTGATTATAAATTTAACTATTTATTCAGATTGGTTAGCTGATTAATAATTTTTTCAATAAATATTTTTATAAAAAATAATTAAACCAAAAAATAAATAAATTTAGCTGAGTCTCAAAAATTTTTTCTTAAATTATATATCTCTTAGCAATAGATTTCATTTCGAGCTAATACTAAAATTGATGACACTATAAATACAAATATTAAATTTTTACAATAAAACATCAAGGTATGTAGTTCTTGAAATTCTACATAAATAGCTATTTGATTATAAGAATTAATAATAGTTTCTAGTAAACTTTATTAGGCCATTAATTTCTATTTAAAAATATTACCGAAAATTATCACAAGTGAAGCCTAATTTTATTCATATGACTTTGTTTAAACTAATTTTCAAATGTTTGAAAAATAAATATTATTACAACATAGTAATCAGATATATGTTGATAAAATTAATTAGAAAACACGATGACATAAACTATGATTACCTTTATAAAGTTCTAAAGTATGATTTTTAATGAAAAAGATGTTAAAAACAAAAAATGAGAATGTAGTATTGATTATTTCGTCAAAATATAGAATTCCCAAATTATTTTAATTATTAAAACGTTCATTTTTATGTTAAATATATTTCAAATAAAGAATTAGGTAAACATTTAATATATATATGAGAATACTATTGATATAATTAATTTATAAAAATAAAATTAAGATTGACACTTAGATATATACTACAAGATTAATAAAAAATGTTTCGAAAGACCCCTTTTATTTGATCAGCTGATCTTAGTGATTATAAAGATATTTGAAATAGTTTGCTTTTATAATGTAAGGTGATTGATTTTTCTCAATATTTACTTTCTTAACAATATTCATTTAGCCACCTATAATGTACTTTGTTATTCCTATCTATCATTCAAATATAAATCTATATATTGATATAGATTGAGTAAATTTCGAAAATTAATAGAAGCTAAGCCAATCGAAAAGTCAAGGTAATCTAAGTAATATAATTAACTTTTAAAGTATTAAATCTTTATTCGCACATGCAAATCCAAATGTTGTATATGTCAGGAATTAAAAATATAAATGTAAGACTGATATAAAGATCTGTTGATCAAAATAGCATTTTCTAATGAATCTTTGGAAAATTTATATAATAATGAAATGTATATAAGATAAAAATTAATTTAAACATAATGGTAAACTTAAACCGCTCAAAAGGCAGGGTTAAACTTTTCAAATATTGGAAAAAGTATAAAAATTAATTATTTTGAAGAAGATAAAATTAGAAAAATGGTAAAAGATTCAATATCATTAATCTTAAAGTATGTTTGATTAAGCACTTATTAAATTAAAATTAATTAATACTTTCTCTGATTTTGAAAGATAAGAATAATAAAGAATAAAATCTATTATCTTAATAAGCATTTGGAAAAAAATGATTAAGGTTGCTGATCTTTATGAATCTCTAAATTTAAGATAGAAAACTAAACATTAATTTAGAAGTCTAAAATAAAAATTAAGATTTCTTAAGGAATGAATGACAGTGCTTCAAAATTAATACCGATATATATTAAGTTTAATTAAGAGAAGTTTATTATTTTCAAGATAAATTTTTTTTAAGTAATAAAAAAATTTTTGAATTAGTAAGGTGGATTATTAAAAGGAAAGTTATTAATTGTTGAACATCTATTAAAAGTTTTAGAAGTCAAAATTGTTGACATACTCCTATTATGAAATACATTTCACATCAAATTCTAATGTATTCATAGATTTTAGATTCTATCATTTTCTTAAGTATTTGTAATAAAAGCATGGATAATTGCATAGATTGAGTCACTAGATTAAATAGAAAATTAAGACAGTAGAAAAAATTATCATAAAATATAAATGAATGATTTAATGAATCAATAATAATGCTAGAAGATTGAATAAATATTTAGGAAACTCAAATTTGATTTTAATCGCATTTGTTCTGGTTTTAATGATTAAAATTTATGAAAATAGATGAACTCTTTCCTTTAAAAAGTCATAAAGTAGTTTAAAGCAAATACTACTACTCCTATATCAAATCTAGTCTATTTTTTAATCAAATTTTGGCGATATCAATTTCATTTTAATAATGTAAGAGTTGTGTTTGAGGGCAATTCTTTAAGAGAAGATTTTAAAATATTAGTTTGATTGTAAATTATCTATTTATGTCTTAATTAATTAATTATTTTATATTTTCAACAATATATGTATTGATATAGATTAATAAAATAATCAAATTACTCGTCATTGATCTTTATTAGGAACAATTGCTAACATTAAGCATAATCCATCTCCTCCTCCAATAACACATTTATTTGATGTATTTGCAAAATCCATAGTATATAAACCTATTATATTGATAAATAATATAAAACCTTTATTAAATCCACCTAACTACATAGCTTCTTTATATGATCCTTTGATTCTATCAAACATCTTAAACTCATTAGTTCCATGAGCAACCCCTCCTACACAATATCCTTTTCCTTTTCCAAATTAAGATCCATATATAAATGCTCCAGCTGTGTCTACTTTTTCTTCCCATTTTATATTCTCTATCAATTTCTATGTACCCAAATCCCATATTTATAATTATTCACCCATTCTGTTTGCTCCTGTTAAAATTGTACCTTCTCTTATATCTATTGTATCACCTGCTATTTTTGGACCTACAATACATCCAGATTAAGATTTCTATCTTAAATCCTTTAATATATCTTTTATAAAACTACCCATATTATTATATTCTGATCCCAACCTCCACTGATAACTAAATTTTTATCATAAGGTACAATCTTAACACTGAATAATCTATTATTATGACCAGGCTAAACCCATTATATCGCTTCCAGTGTTGATTATAATGTTTATGCCTCTATATCATAGATTCTAACCTATAATTACTAGAGAGTCTATTACTTTGCAATCCTTACCACAAGTTGCTAATTAGTTTTTTAAAGCATCTATACAATAAACTTCATTATCATCTTCTTCTTTAAATTAATAAATAGTAGAATCGGTTTTCACATTTTTATACATTATCGTACCTAATTTAAAGTATTATAATACCATCAGTGTTCGCTGAAATTAGGACTTATCTCATTTTAGTTGATTTTTCACTTGAAAACCATCTAACATTATTTTATATATTAAACCTAAGGGAAGTACAAGGTAATTTCATATTTGATTTAGAACTGAGATATGTATAAAATGCTGTCTTTTCGCCTCAGATTGAATAATATAGTACTTCTAGTGAGATCATATACACAGACTAATCCATTAGAACATCCGAGAGCCAACATAATGTCATCTTTATCAAATCGGGAAGAGTGTATTTCAGAATCTGATTTAAAATATCCTTTAAGAAAGAGACGTGATTATGGGTCTTTTATTCTATTTGATTGTTCAAATGATTTACTAAATATTCAAATTAAACTTAGCCTTAAGCTCTTGCGTGATCATATCATTTCGATTGTAATCCATAATTATTTAATATGAATTTTTTTATCATTTCTACTATTGTACTAATTTCATATCTACTATTGGATATTTTGTTTGACGATTATCTCTGGAAGATTAATATTGATTTTACAGTATATCTGTAAAATAACACATTCCTCGGAGAAAAATTGCTATTTTAATTTTTCTCATTTGTAATTCAAGTACCAATTATTTTGGGAGGATTGCAGTTTATGTTGTCGAGCAAAAAGGTTGAATCTATTTTATACATATTTTTATGTATGTTTGGATTTGCAAGTAATGGCTTATTAAAAAATGCATATCATCAACCTAGACCTTATTGGGTAGAAGATGAAATAAATGGGTATATAGAATATTAATGATATTTCAGAATTGGATGTAATATGGAATTTGGTAAACCATCAGGTCATGCTCAAACTGCAGTCATCATTTATTTTTCTTATCTTTTCATTCTATATCCTTCTACTTTCAGATTAAATAAACTAAAAGTATCAGATGAGAATAATTATGAAGAACCTGATTTATAATATGGATTAGTAATATTCTTGAATATTTTTGCTTTTCTATGCATTATAATGACTGGACTCTCTAGAATATTTTTAGGTGTTCATACAATAGGCTAAGTTACTTTAGGATGGATATATGGAATTTATATAGTTTTAAATTATCAACTCTATTGTCACAAATTCTTATTGCAGTACAGATTCTTTATAATACAAGATATATTAAAAATTAATTACAAATGAAAATTGATGAGGAAGTCAAGTTTTAAAGAATGTCAATTACCATTTCTGCCATTTTCATTATTTCCATTGTGATTGATGTCACTTTATTGGAATTGAATAGAAGAGTATTTAATTAAAATGAAAATCAACTTAATTAATGGTTATTTAAGATAACTTAATGCAAACACAAAGAAATAGGTTATTACACTAAAAATCATACTAATGTTTTATATAATGCTTGTTTCTTGCATGGAACATTATTCTCTTTCACATTTTCTTTTATTTAAGGATGTTTCTTTAGTTAAGGAAGCTTTAATTCATTATAATACTCCAATTCAATGGATTAAAAGACTGTAAATTTTAAGATATGTAGATTACTCTTTTATCTGCCTATGCTATTACCATTACCGTTATTGTTAATATAGACATATAATATTTATTTGACAGCTTTTTTCATTGTAATATCTTTCTATTTAACTTTAGTTCATCCCAGTCATATTTTTTGAATGTTTGTATCTCACACTTGTGTATCCAAAATTATTGAAAAAATGCAAATATGAAATCAAAGGAGAGTTCTTAGAATCTAATAAAGGTTATTATGAGTAATTATCTTAAAGTTGAGGAAATGGAATTGTCATTATTTTGATATAAATATTTATGTTGTTAATATAAGCATCCCTAATATATATCTAGACTATCTAAGTACAAGTTTAAGGATACAAATCTTACGATTGCTATTTATGATACAATCTCATCGAGGTTAATCTATACATCTGAATTTTAGATTCTAAAAAGAGAAAACTGTTTTTGTGATCTTATTATTAATATATATGTTTGCTTTGATCTCAAAAACACTAAAGCCTTTATTACTGGATAAATTTAAATAGGAATATCTTTTTATTAAATATTAGACAAAGATTACTATTCCAAGAATGCAAATTTCTTGTCGATGATTTAAATTTTTTTGATTGAAAATATCAATTCAATAAATTAAAGATATTTTTGTGCAGTGTCTCAAAGTCACCTTATGAGAATATATTTTCTAAATATTGATGATAAGGAAACTTTAGCATAATTACAAAAATTTTATATAGTGTATGTAAGAAAAATACTAAGCACTTTAATTACCTATTCTTTTCAAACTGAGATAGTTTCAATCTCATCTGATATCAATAATTAAAATTTTTAATTTGGCTCAAAGATAGTCCTGGAAACTTTTATTTTATTAGAAATAGGGTTCATAAATTGATAATTAATCTAATGAATTTGATATTAATAAACAAATAAGGATAGAAAATATTAAATCTACATACTCAAATATAAATTATCTACAGAATAATTAAGATTGCAAAGTAAGAGTTAAGTTTTTTTTTGAACTAATTGATTCTAAATTAAATCAAATTTTTGGAAAATCTTTTCTTAGATACAATTACTCCTCATGTAAAAGTAGATTAAGATATTAATATTATTGGATATAGTCTTGCCTTAAACTTCTTAAAAAATCTATTTAGATTTGGAGTGATTTTAATTTTCTTTTTGATATTAATAGAGAATAAAAACATATAAGTTTGATAATGATTTTATAATTATTTTTTTTATGATATGGGATATATTAAGTTAGTAGTACGAATTCATTTCAAGCGCATTACTTAAAGAAACAAAATCCATTTCCATCATTTTTTTAATCATTTCCTCCATTTTTACTCTAAAGTTAATGGTAGATTTAAATTACCTTCTTATTATTACTTAAACTATTGCTATAAGATGTTCTTTATTTAATTGAGGATTCTTATAAGTTGTTTTGAGATTATTGAATCTAATTATTTTAGTTTGTCGGAGCAAATGTTATCTATTTTTCTAATTGCTATTATTTTTGGTTTAAAACTAATGCAAATACTATTGCACCAGTATCAATAAGCTATTATTCATTATCCAATGCTATCTATAGAGATTGAATTACCTGGTAAATCATCTTTTGGTTTACCATTCTTTTTTGCTACTTTTAATTTAAAATGATCAGAAGAGCCTTACAATTTCAAAGCTAATAAATAAATTAGTATCTATATATACAGGGATCTTAGATGTTAATTTATTCTATAGAAAAATCTATACAGTCACCAACTGTGAAAATGTTTGGCAATTCAAGCACAATTTGTTTAGGTTCTTCATCTCCAGGTTTTTAATAATAGATAGCATATTTTTTATTGTATTAGGCTTGATTGCTCTAAAAATAATGATGAATTTTATAGATACTTCTGAATGATCTTAAGGTCGAAGATTCATATTATAATTAATATAATATTAAAAATATATTTTTAAATTTAGATGTCTTATAGGTGTAAGCTTATGTTAGTAGAAGAATTTAATTATATTTAGTATATATATAATTGTTGTGTAATTGAAATTGTTTAAATAAATCAATTATTTAATATAAATGGGTTTGAGATAATTGGATTTTTTTAGAAAATTAAATACAGATATTGGAGACACTTCATCATCTTTAGGAGGATTCTTAACTCTTGTAGCATTTTCAGTAATCTAACTAATATATTTCTTGATAGTTGGTGACTCTACTAACAATTAATGAATGTAGATTATTTTTTAGCACAGAATTAAACTATTAAACAGTTATTGACAATGACACAGAATAATTTATCAAAGTTTATTTGGATATGATTGTTGGAGCTCCTTGTATGGTGTTGTCATTGGATTAATAAGATGAAGTTGGAGTGCACGTAATGGATGTTTCTGGTACATTAAAAAAGATTAGTCTTGATAAATAAAGACATGTATTGCCCTCAGTAATTAAACAATAATATTCATATTAAGATTGAAAATAGTGAAAGTCCTAATTATATAGGGAGTGAGTAAGAATTAATAGATGCTATAGAATCAATAAATGAAGGAGAGTAATGTTAATTAAAGGGATACTTTTAAGTAAATAAGGTCCCAGGTAATTTTCATGTTAGTTATCATGCTCATCATCATTTGATATAAAGAATACACTAACGAGATTTATAAACATTTAGAAAATTAAAATTGGATCATTCAATATATGAATTAAGATTTGGAGAGATTTAAAAATCTTAAAAGATGAGGAAATATCCTAAATCTCTCTAAAAATTTTAATCTTCTTGGAAATCAATTGCAAAATCAGCATCTGAAGGAGAGAAATAAGATTATGAGTATTATATCAATGCTTTGCCAGTAAGATTTTATGATGAAAATGAAAAAAATTATTAAACGATTTATAAATATTCGATAAATGAAGCATAAATGGCAAGATAATTTACAGAAATAGATTCGATATATTTTAAATATCAAATAAGTCCAGTTAATATGGTTTATTCAGTATAAAAGAAATCTATATATCATTTTATTGTTTAATTATTGGCTATAATAGGAGGTGTATTTGCAGTTGTTGGAATTCTCAATTCAATAGTATAAAAAGCAATATGAGTTTATTTTATAAATATGGAAAAACAATTATATTGATATGAATTTATACATATATAATCATTCATTTATTATACATTTCTGATAACTAACTAGGCTTTGGAGGTCTATAATTACTTTATTTAATTTCTAAAATAACATCCTCAAAATCGCTAGTCTAATATTTCTTGGTTGTATCTTTAGATAACTTTCTAGTTCTTCCAGGTGTTCTTGATTTAGCAATTCCTCCTTTCATTATAACTGTTGGTATTGGTTGCATAATAGCTTCCTTTTCTATGCAATCATCCTCATGCATTGAAAAAGGAGAAGTAAACATACCATTTTTCTTTTGTATTGGAGATAATATCTTTAGAACTGATGAATGCTTTCTTGAAAGTTGATTCAAACTATTTATTGTATTATTATGTGTTTATTCCTCTACAGTAAAATATTAATGTTCTAAAATTGATTTTGAATCTATTCTTTATGTTGGATCTATTTATAGCATCTTTTTTAATAAGTCAATTGCTTATTTTGGAATCTTCTGATTTCCATTCAACATATCAAAATTAACATTGCATCTTGCATTATTTTCTAAAATCTCTTCATGATTAGATCCTTAAAATAAATCATCTAATGTTAGCCTAAAAAATATTATTATAAGTTTTACATTTTATAAAATATTACACCTAATGAAAATATGTCACATTTCTCATTGTATTCATTAATTTTTGTATCTAAATTCAATATTTCAGGAGCAACATAACCAGGTGTACCACATTTACATCTACCTGAATCTCTTGTTGTCAAACCAAAATCAATTAGTTTCAAAAAATATATACTATCGCTGAACATTATGTTCTCTGGTTTTAAATCTCTATGCATAAAACCATTTTCATGCATAAAATTTACAGCTGTTACTAATTATTTAAATATTATGTGGATATCTTCATTATTCAACTCTTTTAAAATATCAGTAAATTCAAGATCATAATATTACATTACCATATAATAAGACACTTCGCCTTCAAATACTTCTAAAAGCTCAGCAATATTTTAATGCTTCAAAGCAACCATTGCTTATATTTCATCAAACAATCCTTACTAACATTATTACAATATTTATTACTCTACCGATCTTTTCATGAACTTATGCTTTGTCTAAACATTTACAAGCAAAATATTCTAAATTGTTTAATTTACTTTGTAATAAATAAACATTAGAAAAAGTTCCTTGTCCAATTTATTATAATGGATTATATAATGTATTTACCCCTTTAAATACTACTCTTGCTCCCAAAATTTATTTTAAATTGATCAAATTTTCATTATCACTATAATACCAATGATGCTTATTGGTTATCAACCCTATAGCATAAAGTTATTATTTCTTAACTTTAAAATCAACAAATAAATTATAATTTATGTCCAATTCATTTCTCTTATTAGGTTAGTCTGAAATGTTTGTTATTATAATTTTATCTGATGTAACTTCTAATATGCATTATTTATTTCCTAATAATTTGTGTCTAAAGCACTCCATTTTGAAATTTGATTCCATCTTTAGATATTTTTCAATTAAATTTAAGAATTATTTATACAAATAATTTTGGTTCAATCATTTATTACCAATATATCAAATGTTATAGTTGATATTAATACTTTATTAAACATTAGTTAATACTAGTCATTTATTTAATATATTTTAAACTTTTAATAAGAAGATTATAAAAACAATAAAAGAATTTAATCAAAGAGGGTTATCATTATAATAATTGAAGAGATCTGTCATTATTTTTTCTGAAAATGGCTTAATTCTATTGAGTGAACATTTTAACTATTCTTCGTTAACTTTTGTATGGAAAGATAAAAACCTTGTATTTAAACCTCCTTATTTATAAAATATTATGTCAGCAGCTATTTTTATAGTTATTGCTATTTAAAGGTTTATAGTTAACTTGCCAATTAAATAAACTAATTGCTTTTTTAAAGTTTCACATACTCTTGAAACCTATTCATCAAAACCCATTTTTTAACAGACATTAGAAAAATTAAGGTTTTATTACTGTTCAATGTATTTAATGACGTATTCGACTTTTTTATCCATTGTTGGCAATTTTCTATTTAATTGTTTGAGACAGTAAAATATCACCCCTTATGATGAAGTCACTGTATTTTATAGAGGAATTGTTTAAACTATTCTGATTGCTCTCTTTTCAATCTCACAATCCAAATTCATTTTAAAAATTAAATGCTGAACTTCTTCTATCAAAGACATTTCTCTCTTTGGAGTTAAACATTCATCATTGAATTTTGGGACTGGAGGTCTTTGATTTGACATTAGTAAATTTATTATTGAATAATCGATAATTACATTTTTGTTTTTAATTGATGACTCAATTATTATTAATGTACAATTGCATTCTGTATTATTTAATATATAAAAAATAATTTATATATAATAAAAAATATTTCTTCCACCAAATCATCATTTATTTTATCATTAATCATAAGTTTTATTCTTTTTACTTCTTAAAAATAACAATAATGGCTGAATTTCAAGAAATATAAAAAATATAGACCCCTTGAATAAATTCTGAAATTTAGAAAATAATTTGCTCATCTGATTATTTAAATAATACTGTTATGTTTAATTGAATGTAATTAATTGATTATTGTACAAAAAACTTGGATGTAAAATTTGTTAAAACTTTTTTTTATTTTTGTTTGAATTTATAAATATAAATTTTAGGAAATAAAGAGTTTAAAAAATTCAAAATTCTCTAAAATTTATATGTTCACATTATAGAGCAACTTTCACAGCAGCAACATTTCTTGATTTAAGGTTTTTACATTCTGTTTGTTCCAAATAACTAATTTTTTTCATAGTCAATTTCCCATTTCATTATTCTTTATCCATCATTAGTTATCAAATATCCACGATCTCTTATCCAATTGCAGTAATAAAATGTTTATTGCATTTCATTATTATAAAGATGTCCATAATCTTATTAAATTTATTATGAATCATAAATAATTATTTCTTTCTCTGTTGACACAAATAAGCATTTTTCACTTAAATTAATTAAGGATAATACACATCCAGTTTGAAGAGATAATGTTTATTTAATTTCAAGTTTAATCCCTGGTTCTTTTTATAAATGAGATATGTGTAAAATTAATATCTCATTTAATTTTTATCCATTAACTACAATTTAAGTGTCATTCAATAATTCTACATGTTATGCTATGTAATCTAATTTTAAATAAGAGCTTCAAAATAATTTAAAATTAATACAATTTATTGCTAAATATAAATCTAACACTTAATATTCGAGAATTATCTGAAGTTATTAACAACTAATTGATTTTATCAAAAAAAATTAAATTAATTTAAGCTGTATGATCCTTCAATGTATTTAATACTTTAAAACTTTTGTCAAATTATAATACTTGCACTTCTCCATTTCCTAGACCAATCAGAACATTAGCTTCTCTCATTTAGCAAATAATATTAATTTATTCTGATGCATTTGGTAAACTAAAGGGTTGGCACATCTCATCATCTAATACTGAAATAGTATTATTTTCAAATAACCCTATAATTTTTTATGGTTATTCTGTTAAACATACACATTTTAGATCTTATAAAATTATTATCTAAAATAATACTTTATATTTATTTTTTTAGAATTGTTTATCCTTCAAAGTTAATTTAAATTAAATAATTGTCACTAAAAACAATGATACTTTAATCGTCTGCAATCTAACCTTTAGTAATTTCATTCAATTCTTAACAAAAAATTTAATTTATTTTTCTGAGTTTAATTGTTTAAGATTTATTTGTAATAGTTTTTTCATAAGGGACGTGTAATGCATAATGTTTTTCTCTATTTTAGAGACTTCCCCCTTAATTTTAATTTTATTATAAGCTTCCATTAATTTTTTCTGAACCATTAAGACAATTAACTGCTTATTGCCAAGTAAATCTAGATTTTTCATCATAATTTAACATTCCAGTTAATAATTCTTTAATTTTCTCATGATAAATTTTTTGCAAAAGATTTTAGATTTTATTTTGTTTTTAATCATTCAATCCAGCAATATCTGGATCTTATAAGAGTAAATAAGTTTATAAAAGTGTAACTCCTAATGAAAATACATCTGATTTTTCTAAATTATGTCTTAAATTATTAAAAACAATTACTTCACATCATTATATTATCCATTAATATAAGCTTCCCATAATTTTGGTGATAAATAAAGTGGTGTTCCAACAAGGGTATTTTTAAAATTATTTTTAAAGTGTTCTAATGCTTTGCTTACACCAAAATCAGCAATTCTTGCAATAATTTTTTCATTTTCTTTATCATATAGAATGTTCTCTGGTTTAATATCTCTATGATAAAGTTCTTTTTATTGTAAAAATAGAAAAGCTTGCAATAATTGATTGACAATATTTAAAAAACTTAATTCTACAAATTTTGAATGTAAAAATACCACCAAATGTTTTTCTATTTGCTTTGATTTCATCTTCTTTCAAATCTTTTAAACTACCTTTAGCCAATTTCATTTGAAACACTAAAAAATATTTTTAAACTGGAACAGTTTCAGACCAAGCATATATTTTATCAAAATAGATAATATTAGGATGGATATTAATTTGCCTATTCATTTAAACTTCTTTTAAAGCTTGATCATATGCTTTTTTACTAAAATTAAAAAGAAGTTACTTAATGCATTAAACTATTTTAACTGCGCAACTTTATGAAGGATTAGATTTAAATGTCATTTTATAAACTTATCCATATGATCCGGATCCTAATAATACTTGATTTACTGTATCAAAATCATTTTAATAATCTTCTGCATTAGGGAAACATAAAGCATCAATACTATCTCCCTCTTTTTTACTCATAATAATATAAAAATATTAAAACAATACAATGAATAATAAGATCCGGATAGGCATAATGTCAACAGCTGAAATAGCACACAAAGTATGTTTGGCAATAGATAATTCTTAATTAGCCGAAGTATATTGCGTAGCCAGTCGATCCCTAGAAAAAGCTAGATAATGGGCAGATGCTCATAATATAAAAATAGCATATGGTTCATATGATGAATTGTTAAATGATCCTAATGTTGATGGTGTATATATACCTTTACCAACTTCATTAAAAAAAGAATGGACAATAAAGGCAGCAAATAAGAAAAAACATGTATTGGTTGAAAAACCATTGCCTGGTGCAGATTCTTCAAAATGTTTAGAAGAGATGATAAAAAGTTGTGAAGATAATGGAGTTTAATTTTTAGATGGAACAATGTGGTTACATTCAATTAGAACTTAGATTGTTAAATAAAAGAAATAGGAATTAGGAAAAGTATAAAAAGTTACAGCTGCATTCACATTTAAAGCTCCTAATGAAGAATGGTTATAAGGAGGGAATGGAAGAACAAATAAAAATTAAGAACCTTAAGGTTGTTTAGGTGATTAGGGATGGTACCCTATTGGAGCAATACTTTTTGCATTTGATTATGAATTACCAAAGTATGTTTAGTGTCTTTAATTTAAATTAAATAAGGTTGATACAATAATAGAATTTTCTGGATTCTTAGAATTTTCAAATGAAAGATATGCATACTTTGATTGTGGAGTAACTTCTCCTCATAGATCTTTTATAGATATTGTTTGTGAAAATGGATAACTTAGAATAGATGATTTAGTTGGAGGATTTGGTAGAACAGGAAATTTTAATGCATATTTTGAAAATTTCATTGGAAGTGACAGATTTTTTGTTGATGATTTAAAAGGAAGAGAGGAAATTATTAAAGTTGAAGCTAGTAATCATACTATTAAAATGATTGATACTTTTGCTAATATTATTTAATCAAAGTAGACTGATCATTCTTGGCATCATAAAAGTTTAAGTACTCATCAAGTTTTAGCAGCATTATTTAGAGCAACATAGAAAGTTGGAGAAAAAATAATAGTATAATCATCATGAGATTTATAAATATATATTAAATAAATCAATAATTGTTGTACACTTATTTTCTTTCATATTCAAAGAAATTATTCGTTTTAAATTCTGATACACTCAATCTTTCCTAATTTTACTGAAGTTTCACCTTCCTTAAATGTTGTTTACATTCTATCACAAATTCTTTACATTCCTTTTTAAAGTTTTTTAACTTTTATTGATTGATGGTTAATTTATTTAACATTCCAAAAAATTTAATTTACTTTCCATTCAAACACACCAATTTATAAATCTCAAATAAATCAAATCTCTATTCATTATTCTTATTGTTTAAATCTACTATCAATTCTTTCAAATAGTCTATTTATTAACTTTAAAATTATTCAAGATCTTTCAATATAAGTGAAAAACAATAATCTAATTTTGGACATTTCTAACCTTCAATTATTCTTAATCCCATAGAACAAATGTTTTATATTACATATAATTCAATTATAGGAATTCCACTTGAAGAATAGTGGCATACTCTTTTCAAATATGTGTAATACAATTATAACATAGATTGATATGACAAAGGTTCTCTTATTATGTGTCTCTCTGTTTTTTATTTCTCTGAATAACTTTAAAAACAATCCATTCTCTTTGTATGTACTTTTTACTATTTTGACTCTGTTTAAAAATGTGGATGATTTATATCTCCCTATTACTGAGAAGATCTCAAAGATGAAAATTAACTACTTCTTGCAAAAGTGCTAGAAGAACTCATTTCCGTTGACAACCTTTCCATTATAAAACTATTATTCAAGACATTTGTAATCCAATATATATTACATTCTTAAAATACTTAAACATCAAGACTTTTTTTTTGTATCATGAAGTGAAATACACAAAGTAATTTTATAACTTACTCTGGAAACACTATTTTTGTCACATCTGATTTAGATAAATAATTAAAAACGTTTTGAATACCTATACTATATTAAAAATTATTCAACCTGCTTTTTCTAATTGTGTGGCACTTTCAGCAAGATTTATATTGTTCGTATTTAGAATTTTTAAGATTGTTTGACTAATCATTAAGAATTTATTATTAATTATAAAAATTAGATTATTATAAGTCTAATAATTTGAAAATTAATCAAAATGAAATTTTGTTAAACTTAAATTCTTAAGATTTTAAGAAAATATCCATATTTATTAGGTTTTTTAAACCTTTCTCCCACTGAATACATTTCAATCTATTAAACATTTATAAATCAATAAATCATTTAAATTTATCTTTAGGATATTGATTTTTATCCAAGTGTTGAATCTCTAAATCATAAAATAATTAGTACTTTATCATAAATTACTATTTACATTAATTATTTTTTTATATATATTATTTGTAAATGAATAAGTCTAACTATTAATACTATACAAATGATTCTAATGAACTACTCAGAAGAGATAGGTAAAAAGAATATAACAAATTATTAGAGACTTTATGATACATTAATAAAAATTAGAAGAAATAAAACGATCCAAAAGTGCTATTGGATATAGTAGAAGTAAAACAATAAGGTTGCCAAAATCAACAAATATTAAAGATGAATTGATATAGGCTGATATTTATCATAGAAATTAATTACTAGCCTCTAATTTAGCAAGAATACATTCAAGACCATTCTAACTCCCTCAAAAATCACAAAATTTTTAAGCTTTGTTAAAATTTTCTTAATCGAAAGAAAAAGCCAAGGAACAGACCTTCAAAATATTAGATGAAAATATCAATTTATGCAAAAGAATATTAGATTAACAAAGTTAGATAGATTTTAAATAGAAGTTATAAGAATATAAACAACATAAAAAGATAAAAATAAGACTCTTAAAAGTTAAAAGATAGTTTGAATAATAAGAAAAATTAGCTGTAGATTAGAGATTTAAATCAAAGTCTTTTAGTTAAGTATAGATGAATAAAATTTGAATTGATTAATTTTAAAGTAGTACTTTAACTTATGATATATATTCAATTTTGCAGCAAGAATTTATCGCCGTATTAAGCTTTAAGATTAATATTGAGCATTTTTAATCGTTCCTTTTTAATTTCAATGGGCTCATAATTATTTTAAAAGTTTTTGACGTAAGGTGATTTGTGAACCATTCCTGGTAAAAGAATCTTACTGCCAAAATATGGCATAGAATTTTAATTTTTTTTACCACTCATGACTCTCTCAAATCTTTAATTTTAATAATTTTAATGAAGTTTTTTAAGTTTCCTGAGACTAACAGAATTTTACAAATCTCCAGAACTTTTATTAACACTTTCTCTTCCACTTCCTAAATCTAAAGATCTGTTAATATATTTTCCAAGGGCAGATTTTCTAGAAGAACTAGGAGGACGGTAAGAAGGAGGCCTATTAAATCTAGTTGTGTATCTTTGAGCCATTCGATATTTAAGTGGATTACCTAATAAATTATAATTCTTACTAATTAAACTTTAATTTTAAGTTTTAGGAGACTTTTACAATTAACCAATTTACAATACAGGAGGTAACTTAAGATGTGATTTTTATTTTTAATGTCTAATATATATAATATAAAAATACCTTTATACAGCATAAGTTTATCCTCCTGTAATTGAATAATATGGAGAATCTACTCCAGGTAAACTTGGAACTATAAAAACATATAATTTTAGTATTACCTTTTTTAGGTCCATTTTGCTAACTAGATTTAGATTTTGCACTCTAAATTTATTTAGCTTATTATTGTTAATGAATTTAAGTTCTTAATTATCTAACTTAATCATCTTATATTGTTTCCTAATATCTCCTTCTTTTTTCTTAAATTTGTAGTTCAACATTTTCCTAATAAAATATTGATATAATAATTACAATTTTAAGTTCTCCTTATTTTATAATACCTTACAAATAATTTTTTTGATTTGTATCTTGAATTTATAAAACCTATTTTGAAATATCAACTTTTCTTATATCGTATTCAAGTAATTATTGTTTGAGATCATCTTCACATTATTTGAAAATAGCTTTTTGTGTTTTAGCATTATCTATTTTTTCTAATAATTTCATTTAATCAAACTTATCTTAAGTGCGACCTTTTTAAATTTATAGAAAAGTAATGTTTTATTAATAATGATTTTGTTATTGTTCCAAATCGTATAATTTATTTTTAGCTTCAACAATATCTGAAACATTTTAATTAATAGTAGTTTCTAATTCATTGACCTATTACTTCAAACTTAATTATGGAACAGGAGTAGTTTTTTAATTAATAATAGGTAATTCTATAATATAGATTAAATTAAATACTTGTTTAAGGAGTAAAAGAATTTAATTATTATTGTTGAATCAATAATTTGAGTTCTTCATTTTCTTATCTGAGATTTTATATAAGTAATGCATAATTACTGATATGATTTTATGCAACTAAAACATTTCTATTTGCAACAGTTTTAATATTCTTGGCTCTATTGGCATAGACTAAAGTATTATATGTTTCTTCAAAACTAGAAACAGAAGGTGTAACATTTGAAATCATAACGGTTCTACAATTTCCACCTAAAGAATCTTTTAATAGTCTAGTTAATTTAGAATTTCTAAAAGGAATGAAAGGATTTTTGATTCCTTTTTCATTAGCTTCTGATAATGATTGAATACAATTTCCTAAGACCAATAATGATTTATTAATATTAGCACCCTCTACCATTCTTAAACCTCTATTATTTGTATTTGCTGCTCTTTCACTCCCAGCCAAATCTACTAAACTAAATTTACTTTAAATAATTTATTCTTATAATCCAGCTGCTTTATCCTTACATTCTACCTATATTTGTAATATTGCATGTGATCTTGAAGATTCTTTATTTGCATCTGTTGCTTCTTTAGATCTATTTCTATTTCCAACCTTTAGAAGTGACAATACCTCATTAACGGTTTTAACATCAATTTCAATAACACCTGATATTTATATACCATTATTTTTATCTTCTCTAATTTCTAAATTTTTATCTTCTGATGTTAATAAATCTCTAATATTCTCATTATAGATTTCAACATATGAAACCTTAAATTATGTATCTTTAAATCTGTCTGATTCAGAATAATTAAACAAAGATTACAATGCTCTTGGCATTAAACCTGTTTCTTATTGGGTTCCTATCATTCTAATGTAAATTTTATTATTTATATATACGTAAATGTCTTCCCAGAACCTGTGGCTCCATAACAAAACACTGTTGTATTAAAACCTTCCAATACTCCTTCCAATAAAAACTCAGTTGTATTTTCATAAATTTTTTATTATGGTGTCCATTAATCAAAAACAAAATCAAATGCAAAATTTGTTTCTTTCAACCTATTTTTTCTTAATAACTATTCTATATAATGTAAATACATCATCCTCTCTTTCTGATTCTGGATCCATCAATACTATCATTTTACCATCTAGTATTCTGATTGTTTCAAACTCTGATACACTTCTCTCTTTCTAGTTTAAAGGTCTAACTCTTATTGCTACCTAAAGAATACATATATTTATACTAAAATATTGCTTGATCCATTTTTTAATTCTTCCAAAAATTTCTTTGTTTCATTCTCAAATTAATGCATTTTAGATAATCTAATATATATTAATTAAATAATTAGATAATAAATTATCACCATCAAAAACTTTAAGAAATCATTAACTCTCAATATATAATTTATATTTAATTAATATCAATCAACTTATACAAAAATGGGAAACTGCCAACAATGTAATAATATTGGTCCAGTTAATTAGACATCAGAAATCAGAACAAAATTTACAATATTGAATAAGTCTAAACATGCTCTTAATCTTACAAATAAGTTTACTCCCAAAAATGTATAAGGAGTTATTAAAATACAAGCTGTATTTAAAGGATATATTGCCAGAAAGTATTATTATTTAAAATTTGCAAATAGATAATTTTCTATTCTATCTACATAACAAAAACATAGTTCACCAATTTTAAATGATGAAATTTGTGGGTTTGATACTTTCTGCAATAATAATGATTCTCCCAATCAACCTTAGTCTTTATTAATCAAAAAAAATATGATATAAGATAATTTAGAAGAAGAAGGAGAATAGAAAAGTTAAAATTTAGCAAAAGATAATTAATATTATCAATATGGTAATAAAAAGGATATTCCTGATAATGAAAGTTAGAGTCATGCATCAAGTTTAAAAAAATAATTTTCTTTTGACATGAATAGTCTTTGTTTTATTCCGAAAAGCAAAAACGATCAATTATTGATTTCAACTGAAACATAAATAAAACTACCAATAATCTAAATGATTAATGGAGCTTATTATGAAGGTTAATGGAAAAATGGATAAGCAAATGGTTTTGGTAAATATATTTTGACAGACACTTCATCTTATGTTGGAGAATGGGTTAATAATAAAGCCAATGGTTTTGGTACATTTTAATTAACAGATGGAGAATATTTTAGAGGTTTTTGGATTGAAAATATAGTTGAAGGATAAGGTAAATATACATTTGAAGATGGTACCTTTTATGAAGGTGAATGGAAAAATGATTTACCAAATGGTATTGGAGTTTAAACTTATTCTAATGGTTGGAAATATGAAGGTATAAATATTATATATCTAAGAAAGGAAGCTTTCTAAATGGAATCAAAAATGGATAAGGATTATTACAATTTCCAGATGGATCTATCTATTAAGGGTTATTTGAAAGAGATGTTCCTACAGGAATAGGTACTCTTAAATTCTAAGATGGAAGAAATTATGTTGGAGATTGGAAAAATGGACATAAACATGGAAAAGGAATATTTTAATGGCCAGATGGATCTAAATATGATGGATATTATATTAATGATGAAAGAGAAGGCTATGGAATACTTTTTTGGCCAAATGGCTAAAAATATCTTGGCTTATGGAAATAAGGATTGTTTCATGGAAATGGATAACTTATTAAACCTAATGGTACTATTATCAGAGGAAAATGGATTAAAGGAAAAAGAATACAATCTAAATTAAATACTAATGCATCAGGAAAAACTAAAACCTCTTAAATTGATTGAATGTTTATGTTATTAATTACTCATTTATCAATTTAATTTGTTTACTTCTTTTCTAATTTTTTATTAAATTAAATATTAACAATTTATTTTATATTTTATTAGGGAGTAAGTAAGTAGTTTTATATAAATATTAATTTTCATATATAAGTTTTAATTTTGATGAATTAATAATTCTTTATAAAAAAAAAAATTTCACATTATAATATAAAATCAATTTAACTTCTAATAGCAAAATCATTATTTTATATAATTTTAATTTTCTTCATTAAGTTTCATTTGTGTTATTAGTATCAATTTTAATGTTATTTTAGATGGAATTTTTAATTGAATGTAAAATGAATTTTATCATATTATCTAAACAGAACAATTAATATAATAAAATTTTTAGGAATTATTCAATTTAAATTTTTTAAATTAAAATATGTTTGAACTTTTCTGATGCTTTTTTATTATTCAACAATTGCCAAGCCTAAAATAAGAAACTTGAAAAAATTTTCATTAAATATTTCTTCATTATAGAAAAAAAAGCTTTGTTGTTTTAGGATAAATTATTACTTTTTTATTTTTTATAAAGGTATAACTTCAATTATAAATAATTTTTTCACTTAGACAAACAATAAGATCAATAATCTAATGATTATTTGGGTTTTTTCAGTTTAATAATTGCATATATTCTCAAAAAATTAACTTCATTATTTATTAAAAGTTTTTTCACTTGTAGATTGAGTCTAATATCTATCTCATTTGATATCATTCATAGATTTTTAAATATATTTAAAAGTAAATGAATATGTAGAATAATAATCTTTTTTTAAGAATGATAAAATTAAAAGTTTTCATATTTAATAAATCTAGATAAATTTAAACTTAAATAAGGTTTTATATTTTTTAATTAATAGTTTTATTCATACTAATAATTCATGAATAAATCTTTCAGTTAATGCATTTACTTGAAATCTTGTTTACTTAATTAAATTATCAAGATGCTAGGATGATTCAAAAGGTAAGTCATTTGTGTATTATTTTACTTTTTTAGGTTCCCTGCCCAATATTAAATTATTTAATGGAAAATCTTTTTTATTTAGTACTTTATCAATTATATTATTTTATAGGATTATTAATTCTTATAATTCTAAAATTTAAGCATTCTGCTCAACAAACAAAGTAGTGAAAGTGGAAATTTATGGTAGCATTTATTCTAACTCTTTCATGTCTTTTTCAATATTTTAATATCCAGCTAATTACTTTTCCAAATTAGAAAGCTGTTCTTATTATCTATAATATTCAGGTTTAATCATATCTAATTGACTTTTAAGTGATCTCATGATTTCATCGTTTTCCTTATCTTTGCATTCTATCTGTTTCTAACTCTCTTTTAATTACCCTAAACAAAAATATATAATACTTCGTTAATAATGTAATTTAATCATTCATACTAATTATCTATAAACTTAACTTAGTATTTTAACTTTGTTCAAACCTAAGTTATTCATTTAAATGGTTATTCTAAATTTATAATTACTAATTCAATTTTATCAATGTTCCTTTCTCTCTTTCACTTAGATTAAATCCTTCCATAATGGACTGCATATAATATTGAGAAAATTTAGTACATTTGCTCTTCCTTTTTTTGGAGAACTTTCGCATTTTTTACTTCTAGCTGTTATAGTAGGATTTCTGCTACTATCTGATGAAAATAAGTCAAATAAATTTTGACTGGATGGTTATAAAGATATAAGATTAGGATATGCACTTTTTCTTTCTTTTTTTTCAGTAACCTAAATTAAAAATTAGTCTTAATTAATACAAAATTTTGTAAATCACCCTTCCATCTTTAATTTTCTAATAATTTCTAAACATTCTTTTTTTCTGATATCCTCTCAGTATAATTACCCTTATGTTGATTAATCTTTTTCTTTTTTTACTTCTCTTAATTAAACTGTTATTATCTTAATTAAAGGATTTCTTCTAATTTTTTTAGTAATGCTTAAGGTTTGATTTATTGAAAATTATCTTATTTTTAAGAATATTGATTGACACTTGATGATCTTTGAGTTTTTGAATAAGAAGAAGTTGGATATTTTTGCAATAAGTTTTCATAATCCATTTAACGAATTATATATTATTATTCATTCTTCATAAACTGTATCAATAAAGTCTAGTTATTAATAATTATATATAAAGTATACTAATGTAAAATAATCAACACATTTAACTACAATAAGAAATGACTCCAACTCCAAACGAGTCTTCACTTTCTGAGGGAGTTCATCCATCAATATAGAATTAATAAATCCAAATAGGATATCCAATATAATAAACAATTCCACCATAATAAATAATTCATCAAGTTCCTTATCAATAATAACCTTATTCTTAAAATGAATAACCAATTTACAATCCTTAACCTATTTAATTTAGTAAAAATAAAATTATATTGTAGTTTAACCAATACATACTAAATACCCTAGTATAATAACATGTGTTCACTGTTAAAAATAAGTGTAAACTGTTGTAAATTATGAACCAGGTACTGGAACATATGTAGTTGGAGGATTATTAGCAGCTATAGGACTTTGGTTAGGGTATATCTAAATTTAAATTTAAAAGTTGTTGTCTAATACCATGTTTCATGTAGGATTGTAAAGATGCAGTTCATTTTTGTCCATCCTGTCAAGCCAATGTTGGAAGGAAAAGATTTATTTTCGAATGATTACATTTTAATTATGGAATCTAATCATTCAATTCTTTAATTGTTACTGTTCTTAATCAATTTTTATTTCATTACCTAATATTTAATATTTATGACAATGTTTAAAAGAATAGTAAATAGATAATAAATAGTCTTTCTATTTAATTAGTTATATATTTTTGTATGCTTATTTAAATTAAATTAATATATACAATAGTGAATTTAGGAATTCTTTTTGGAAATTAGCATTTTGTTGATTTAATAAAAAATCTCGAAGAATTTGTTAAGTTCATTAGTAAATTTAAAATATTTGTTTGTTAAACTATTATAATTTGTAAAACAAGACAACCTTAAAATAATTTAATATATATGTAATTTGAATCACCTGGATTCAATTTTGACTTGGAATAAGAACTTAAAGCAGAATAAAATGAAGACTTTGAGTAACAATATTTAGGTTTTTGTTTACGTTCAACCAAAAGGGAGACTTCAATCAATTATCCTCACTTTTATAGTTAAACTTAAAGTGTGAAAAGCATTGAAGGATATGATTAATACAATGTAAGAAAACTTGAGAATATTGCTTTGAAAAAGGCTCAGAAAAGTCCTTAAGAGTAAAGCAGAGCTCCTATAAATGTACCTAACTATAAATAACATTCTACAGGATCAAGTATGATGGCTTTCTTTTTACTTAAAAGGTTTTTAGAGAAACTTCAAATTAAAAGAAGAATGATAGAGACATTAAATTATACACATCTAAATCTAATAGGAGATAAAGCATCTGATATGTAAATATAAGAATTATTATAGTAATGTAGTAATTTAATATTCAAAATCAATTTAACGAGCTGGATTCACACTCTAAGCAATGAAAAAACTATTTGAAATGGAGTCATAAATTGAAGAAAATAAATTGGAAAATTTGAAGCAATTATGCTAGAATATTAAAAAACAGATAATAAAAATATGTTAAACTATAATTAATCTGATTCCATTAATTTAACCTGAATCACTTTTTAAAATATATTGGGATTTATTTGCAGTGATTTTTAGAATTATTTTAGTTATATTAATACCTTTAGAAGTGTCATTTCATACTTAAATAATGTTTATGAACAGTAGACCTCTTACAATTTTAATATGTATAGTATTAATAATGGATTTTTTTATAAGAATTAATACATAACACTATCTAAATGGTTAAGCAATTAGAGATAGATGGAAATTGATAGTTTTACAAATTAAAAAATCATTTTTAATTGATTTTATGTCTATAATAGTATTAATGATATTTTTATTAAAAATACCTGATGATACTCATTATGATTTATTTACATTAGTAACTTTAACATAGTATTCTTATGTTTATGAGATACTTTCTAAAAGTGAATAATATTCATATTTCACAAGACCTTAAAGAGGAATATTGGGATTATTGAAATTGATGGCAACTCTGTTTTATATTTTGCATTTGTTTAGTTGTTTTTGGTTTTGGATTTCTAGTTTATAAATTGAAGATTCATGGATTGATTTTAAAGACTTAACAAATAAATCATGGTAAGTTCAATATTTGGAAGCTTTGTATTTTGCTATTGTGACTATGTTGACTATAGGATATGGTGATAATGTACCTAAAAATTCAACAGAAAAAATTGTAACAATTATTTTTATTTTGGGTGCTTGTTTATGGTTTTCTTACAGTGTAAATTTTATAGGAGGGATAATGAATGATATTACTTAGAATCAAGTTGAAAGAAATTAAAAAATGAGAGTAATCAATAAATACATGAATAAAAGAAATATTCCCTATGCATTATAACATTAGTAATACTTTTCAATATTCCTATAAGAGTTAAAGAATACCTAACATATCGTTGGAAGGAAGATGATGAAGTAGATTTGGAAATAGAATAGACATTATTAGATTAATTATCTGATGAATTAAAGGAGGAATTGGATAGACAAGCTCATAAGGTTTTTATTGAAAAATCTATATTACTACAAAAGTTCTTTAGTTAAGAATTTAGAAATGCTTTATTTAAAAGTATTAAGAGGAAAAGTATTAATTTAATTAAATATATAAGTCATACCTCCTGAAAATACTTTCTATATTGATTTTAATGGATAGCATCATTTATGTTTTATTGAATAGGGACATTTATTATATTAGCATAAAGATCAAAAGTAAAGATCGAAAATGAATACAATATTAGGTTTAGGAGAATTTTTATGTGTTAAAGAATTTATAGTAGAAGATCCAGATATGGAATTATTTAAAGCTGTAGGGTATGTAAGTTTGTTAGTGTTATCAAAATAAGATTTCTTATTAACTCTTAAGGATTATCCTGATGACTTTTAAAAATACTGTTAGTTAAAAGATTCTATTGTTATGAATGTTGATTAAGAAATTCTACAAAAAAGTGTATATTGTCCTGCATGTCAATAGTTTGGACATACATTAACCTTCTGTCCCTTCATTTAACATAAACCAAATTATGAAGTAACTATTAAAAAACATTAACTATCTAAAAATTAATAGAGATCTTAATTTTAAAGAAAAAGAAAGAAAAATGTATTTCTTGCATTATATGAAAAAGATCTACTAGCAGAATTTGCAAAAGCTTATTCTTATGATAATCAATAGTCAATTACTCAATAACTTAAAATATTCTATTATAATGAATAAGATTAAACTGATTACAATATGATGATTGATCCTTCAGCATCAGTGGATATATTTAAAGTTTCTTCTTTACTTCCTTAATATCCTCCTGAAACTTAAACTAAATAAATCGATTTATTAAGTAGTGTTAGAATGGATCAAAAACCTATTAAGGAATCTGAAGTTGATATTAAAGGAGAATTAAGATAATAATTAAATCAAGGTAGATTAATAAGAAAAACAACTATGTTTCCACCAAATAATAATAAATAAATTAGAAAAAGTCCAACTAATACTTTTACTATTAAGTAGGTACAAGATGAAGATTGGGAAGAAAACTTTTAAATATAAGGATTTCTAAATAATCATAATGACAACATTGTTCATGTTTATAATAAATTAAATAAATAAGATATTGAAGATCCTATTATAAAAAAGGCAATTTTATAAATTGAACCATTATTTTGGAAATTAAATCAAAAAGTCCTTGATGATTTTGAAGCGATAAGAAACTATGACTATTATTATTAATAATATAATGCTGAAAAAATTATAGATTAAGCTAATAAAAATATCCATCATTGGTAGAAAGATATCATAGATAAAATGCAAAAGTTTATGCTTTTCCCATTTAATTATATTCTTAAATATTTAAAATTGAGAAGAAACAGAATGAACTAAGCCATCATTGAAAAAGGAAATAAATTTAAAAGAATTAAAAATAAATTAAGAATGATGCAATTGAGAAGTCAAATTTAATAGAAAAAAATTTCAACTTCATCTAATAAGATAATAAGATTTGGTTAAATCGTGCCTTAAAAAATTCTGTCTCAAGACTCAATAATTATTTGAACATATTAATTTATGATAAAAACATTTTATAATCTATATAAAATTATATACATCTTGAAATTCATAATAAAAATTAATTATTATGAAATTTAATAAAAAAATAAGACTAAATAGAATAAATATACAATAAATCAAAAATATAAAAACAACAAGTAGAATCTAAATAAAATCATTCATCCTTTAAAGAATAATTTAATAAAAATCTTAAATCTTTATTGTTTAAAGTACTCCATTCTTAAGATGTTGATTAGGCCATCCATATTTTATCAAGCATCTAAATATAGAAATAAATTATTACTTCAGAAAATAGAATAAATTATTTATAAACTTTTTTTTATATACATTTCTTAAATTCTTTATTTTCTTCCAAAATATATTTTTCAGGTTAATTTAAATTTACTTGTCCATTCAATGCTCTTTCTATTTATTCGGTAAATCCTTTTTCTTTCTCAACTTTCTAATGAGAGTTTAAAATATAATTACAATCTAGACCTCTTGAATAATCTCCTCTTTTGGAATTAAAATTTCTAAACCAAAAATAGAGTTTACTATAATATCCACTAATGCTGAATACTCTCCAATTTATAAACCTGTACGTTTCCAAATAAAAGAATGCATATTTTTCAAATTGATTTATTCAATTATAAATGGTTTTAGAAACAACTTAATTTCATTAAGTTCATTTTCAGTATATTTAATATATTTTTTTGTTTCTTAATCCAATACTGGATGAAGAGATATTTATTTAGCAATTTTAACAGAAAGTTAATCTAAAAGAAGTTTTGAATTTTTATCATCACATTAATATTTGGCATTAAAATTATTGAAAAAAGGTTGCAAATTTGTATTAATATCTCTTTCTGGTTATTTTATAGTAGTTACAATACGATGTTAATATTCCTCAAGAATATATTTTTCTATTTCTCTAGCAACCAGAAGTTATAATTCATCATTTGTTAACTAAAAATATTTTAAACAATAACTTTATGATAATTATAGATTATTTTTTTCTATATATTATCTCCTCCAACTTTCCAAGCTAAACACCCTGAACGATAAGGAACTCTTCCGCAACAATAAACAAACTATAAAAATAAGTTTAAATTAATACTGTCATCATGAAACAATCATAAATTGAACGGATAGCATATTTTAAAATACCATATAAAAATATTAGTATAGCAAAAAAAGGAAAAATTACCAAACATAGTAAACAAACGATTATTTCAGCCATTCCTATCATAATATCTAAAATAGCTCTAAATAATGGCATACAAAAATGAATATAATCTAATTCATTAAATTCAATTCTTGCTATTACTTCATAATCATGAAATAGTAGGCATATCATCCATCTAGATTATTATATTCATAAATTTTACTTAATAGTAGCTACAAACCCAGCCCACATAAAAGAAGTAATGAAAACAAAAAACAATGAAATTGAGAAAAAAATTATTAGCATAGGTTTTAAAATTAAAGTACAAAATACTCCAACAAATAAGAATCGAAAAATATAGACTTCGATTAAATTACAAATTCTTAAACAGCCTTTACCAAACATACCAGAATCTTCAGAATTCTCAAATTCCTGTCTTGACTTTCTCATACCTTTATATACTAATTTTAAAGTAGAACAAACTGTTTAAATGAGTTCATCATTTATTATTTCTCCAGTTTATTCATTAATTACTTAATCACAATAAAATGGTTCAACTAAAAATAAAGCACTTAACCCATAAGGCCCCATTATTCCAAATTAATAAAACACATAATAACTATTAGCAATTAATGTAAAATATAGTAAACAAAAACTAGTGAATTTCCAAAAATAATATTTAGATGTTACCAAATAATTTATTTCCTTTAAAAATACAAATCTATTTCCTTCTTAAATTATTGGATAAGGAGGAGCAATCATCCGAGTTCTTAAAATTATTATATATGAATAAAATTTACAATTATATCGTAATATTAGGATTTTTAAATTTCTCTTTTGCCATTTTCTTTATGTCTTTTACTCTATTTTTATATTTGATCTTATTTTCCATAAATTCTACATAAATATTTCTATCAATAATATTTTTTTAGGTTAATTCTTAAATCATCTAGCTGTAATATTATTATTTTAAGTTCTTCTTTTTCTTTTTAAGAGCAGCTTTAATATTTTTAGTTCGATGATTTTGTTTACTTAAAAAGAAAAATTCCTTTTCATATTGTTCAATGACTTCATTTTCGTAATTTGCTAATTCATTCTATCATTACAATAAAATATACTTTTAATAAATCTTAATAATATCTTTGTAATTTATAACATTCTATAATGTCTAAAATATGTTTAATTACATCTTATGGTACATCTAAATTAACCTTTTGAAAAAATGTTTATTAAGCATTATAAAGCTATTCACTTGTGAGTTCATCTATATCTTTATTTTAATCGTAAAATATATTGTATTTTTCTTAAAGGTTTGTAAATTCATAATTATGTAAATGATTTGGATTTAAATGAATATCACTTAATAAAGAGGCTATTTTCCAACAGTCTTATTCAAAAGTTTTCAATTGATTTTTAATATAATCAACTCTCATTTTTGTAGCAGATTAAGTTTCTTGAGTATGAAAAAGATATTTATATATTGAAAAATTTAAATTCTTTTTTCTTAATAATTATTATCTTTCTCTTTCTACTGCAATCTAAGCTGACTTAGTAGATATATTACCTGTGACTTCTCTGTATCCAATAAAAACAGATGGAATCAATATAGTTTTCTAATTTAATGATACAGTTTACTTTATAAATTACATATAATCCATGTACGATTGAAAAGTTCCATAAACTATCAAATTTATCTTCATTAAAAATAAAATCTCCTAAACCAGTTAAACAATCTTCAACCTTTAACATATCTTTATAAAAAGAATTTCTAATATTTTTGGTTCCTTTTACTATCCATCTTGAAATAATCCATTTGTATTTTTTATTTCTATTATTCTTTGACCAAACATCAAAAGAGCCATCTTTCCTTATTTAATTTAGTTGATTATCATCGAATTATACATATGGATCAAAATCATATTAATTGATTTCCTTTTTCAGTTGATGTTGATCATTATTTCTTTATATTAAAATTTTTTTTTTAAAATAAGATGGTGGTATATTAAAATTAAATGCTTGTTTTGAAATTATCCAACTTTATCTAATATTTATTGTTTTTTCAACAAGTTCATTTGCAATAAATTTTAATGGTTATTAGATATTATCATTTTATGATAATTCCTAATATTATACAAAATAATTACTTCTGCTTGTGCATAACCTTTAAAATTAATTTCCCCTTTTGTTGGTAAAACATAAAAATTGTCATCATCTATATTAAAATTGAGATTAGTTGTGAATTTTTCACTAATACCCTTTAACATTCAAAATGAAAATATTATTTATTGTATTTTTAATAATTCAAAAGATTGTCAACATTCAGTGCTTTCTTTTTCTGATATCCTATAATTTTTTACTTCTCAATTATCTTTTTTATATTGGAGCAACCTTAGCGACGGATTTTTATTTCTTTAAATTTGCACTTTCTTTTTTTTCTTTTTTTCCCTTTGTCTTAGTTATTTTCTCTTTTTATTTTTTTTATATATTTTTTTTTGATATTTTTTTGTTGATTTTTATAGGAGTTTTTATTTTAGAATTCTTTCTTGTTTCTCTTATTTAAGTTTCCTTCTAAATGGATTTTTAAATATTTTTTTAATATTTATTTTAAACGTTAATGTTTTATTTTACATTTTCAACTTAGATTTTATTTGCTTGCTATTTTGTTTGTTATTATACTTTTTTCAATTATTAACTTTATTATAAATTTTTAGGAGATGACTTTTTTGAACTTTTACTCTTCTCAATAATATTTTTAGAACTTCTAATTTGTAAAGTATTATTTTTTTCCCCTTTAATATTTATATTTTTTTCCACTTACACTGTTCGAGACCGTTTTATAATTTTAGTTTATTATTTTTTATTTTCATTATCTGAAATTTGTTATATTGATTAAGAACTTTTACTTCTAGTTTTAGGTAATTTTGATTCTTGATTTTTTTTATCAATTTTTGTATTAATTTTTTATAAGCTAAGTTATTTTTAATTTTAACTTTTAATAGATTAATTTTATTATTATAAAATTATTTATTTTTATTTTGCAGATACTTTTTTTTCCTTATTTTCTTATTTTTAATTTTTTTAATTATTGTTAGGGATTGATAATTATGGTGCTAAAAAGCTTTAAACATCTCTGCTTCTTCCTTATCTTTTATTAATATTTTATACTTTGTTTTGTTTATTAATTTATCTAGGTGATTGATTTTTTTATTTGATTGATTTTGATTCTTTAACTGTAGATTATTGAGGTGTTCTTAACTTTGATTTTACAGGTGATATTTCATTTAATTATTATTTAACTCTTTTATTAACTGATTATAATGCTAAAGAATCTAAATTTGATATTTTGCTTAAACTTTTTGGCTTATCATTTTTATCTTTCTTGATATTATCTTTTTGTTTTTTAACTTCTTTATTCACTTTAATAGATATATCGAGCTTAGATTTGTTTGATGTGTTGAGTGATGCTTACTTACCTTTAGGTTTTTCATCATTTTAAGTTTAATTTTTTTATTATTTTTAGTTTTTTATTTTATCTTATTATTTATTCGGTTATTCTTAAATTAAATCATCTTTCTTTTTTGGAGTAGAAATTAATATATTGTTTATTATATTACTTCTTCTTCTAGATTAATATGTATGTTATTCTTCTATTTAAGTGTTTATTTTTTATTTAACTTTTTAAGGAGTGACAGATTTTTATTAGTTTCCATTTTTTTATTATTTTTTAATTTAATTTTTTTATAATGATTATGCTTTTGGTTTTACTTTTTATTTCACTTTCTATTCTTCTTATTCTTTCTCTTCTTCTATATCTTCTATTTTATTTTCTTCTTCTTTATCTTATTATTATTGAATCTATTATTTATCTTCTAATTGATCTTCTTAAATAATAATTTCTTCAGCAGGAGTTGAATCAAAACCACTACTTGATTCATAATCTTAAAATGATTATTTAAAATATGTATCTTCAAATTCCTTAACTATTTCTTTCACCTTTCTTAATTTCTTTTTCGGAAACCATTTTGCATCTTTTCCAGTTTTACCTTTAAAACGTACCAAATATTCTTTTTTTCCATTTGTACGCTTTATACCAATAATAATATCTATTTAATCTATTTCATCTTATTCTTCTTCTATTTTTTATACAAATTATAAATCTCGCGGTCTTTCATTTTATTGATTTAAATAATTTTAATATTCTGTTATATATTCTTCTATTTAAACCTAAAGTCAATATATAGAATACTTTTATAGTTTCTTCAAAATTTTATTTTGCTCTTTAACCATATATTTACTTTTCCTCAACACTTAATTCATCCCATAATTATTAAAGATTAGTTAATCCCTTATCTACTCCTTTTTCTTAAAAAAACAATACAGATCCATCTGCTTTCTTTTTTTTAATGAGACTAGATATGGAATGATATTAACGGAGCAATTTATCATAAAGTTCTTCTTCTTACTTTGATAATCGATAATATTCTAACATCTAATATAATCTTACCATCTTTTAATTCCTTTTCTAAGTTTTCCCATTCTTTTTTTGCTAAGTCAGAATTATGATTTAGATTTTTATCTTAACATGCTTGTTCATAATTTCCAGTAAACCTTTCATATGCACCCAATGGTTTTTTAGGAGGTTAGACACATTATGATTCTCGAAATAGCTTAAAAAGCTCTTATACATAGCCATCTTCCATCTTTATTAAAAATTGAATTTTATTGGTTAATTAATATTAAATCAGAATTTTATATTTCGATATATTTTGGAAAATTATTTGAATAATTTTTAGTTACTTTTATCTTTGATTATTAATTGTGTTAATTCTCAAACTTAATCAAATATTTCTTACATCTTTAAAAATTAATTATATATATTAACTATTATTCATCTTTATTCTTTTCAATGAGTAAAGAATTTGTCAACCTCAGAGCCAATTCTGCTCAATTAAAAATGGATTTACCAATTGAATAATTTAGATATTTTACTAATATTATTCAAAATAATATCATTAATGAATGGATAATCACAAAAAAGATTGACAAAATTAGTATTAATAAAAATATATATTTTAGAGGAAAAACTTCAATAATTTATAAGTAATACATACTAATAGGATTACATAATAATTATAGCTATTAAACCTGCTTATAATTTATCGCATAAAAAAAATAGATATCTTATGATTAAAATTGAAGATATTACATTTTTCATCTATTAAGCTAAACCTGTAGATTATTTTTAATTCAGTTAAATTAAATAAATATAGACAAAATTATAAGGAATAGCAAAAGAAAACAATTTTACAGAACCAATATTAATCTCTTAAAAGAATATATCAGAAGAAGAATTATAAAGTTTGGAAAAAGTAAGATAATGTTTAACTGAAATTATTATATTCGATTATGATAATTGGGAAACTGATTTAGTGATTGCAGTAAAAAGTAAATTGCACCAATTATTTTAAACTGGATTTTGGCATATTTTTTGTGCCAAAAAAATAAACACTTTGGTGGAATTAAATACTAACGAAAGATATTTGGAATACTAATTTGATAAAAAGAATTCATAGTATAAATTAATAGCATTCCAGAAAAAAGGTCCTAACTTCAATTTATTAGAGTAATTTATCATTAAATTAATTTAGAAAAGTTAAACTAAAAATAAGAGAAATTATAAGTTTTACAATTCTATTTATATTTTTTGTGACTCTCACAGGCTGTAAAGATGAAACAACTGGAAAACCATATAAATATTAGATTTAAGAACAGTTTTGTTCACATCGATAGGAAGTCTTAGGATTTTGTGCAATAATATTATTTGGTCTAGTTGCTTAAAGAATGATTAGTAAAAAAAATTAGAAGAAAAATAAAAAATAATGAATTTGTATTTAAAATTGATTGATTTCTTATCATTATTTGCATTAATAATAATTTCAGACTCTTAGAAATATAAAATTCAATCATCTTCTAGTCTCTATTATAATAGTCCTTCTAATAATCTTTTATCAATAAGCTTCGTTAAAGCATCATCAAATCCTTGTTTAATTAATTCTTGTTTTTTTTGTTCAGTAAAGTCACTATCAATTGCTGCAATGAATTATTTAGGAACTGAATATTTTTCTTCCATTTGCCTAATTTATTATAGTATCTAAATTAATTGAAATAATAACCTCTAAACCATTTTTTTGTGTAAAATTAATTTTCACTAAAATTATATGATATATTTTTTTTTCTTAAAACATTTTTTCTAATCGTTTAAATCCAGCATCTATTTATCTATCATATTCAACTTTAGCTTTAAAATCAAATTTCATAAATGATAAAGCATTTATTTATTAAGAAGAATCATCCAATAAAAATATAGTGGCAATTGGAAGATAGAAAGCTTTTCTATTTTAAGGTTATTTTTATAGAACAGGTATGTCTTTGAATGAAGAAATTTTTTCAGGTAATTATAATTAATCAAGATCTTTATGAACTTTATTTATTTTTTCTTATTAATCCAAATTTGAATTTTTCAATATTGGTTTCCAAAGAATAACAGGAACAGGATTTAAACGACTTTAAATCAATTACTCTAAATATTCTGTCTTTAAAGGTTTTTCTTAAACTTCATCAAATCCAGCTTATAGACAAGATTGTTTAAGATTTTCTGATATATTTGTTTCCACACCAACAATATATTATTTCGGTAAACTGTGTTAATTTTCAAGTTATCTAATTTCTTTAATAAACTTATAATATTATAATAGTATACTTAAATTCCATTTTTTTATGGTAGATTAATTCTAACAATAATGAAATGATAAATTTTATTCTATTCAAATATTTACTTAATTTTTTTAGTAGCATCAGTACATCTAATACTTTAATCAAATTGATGTATTTGTTTAACTTTGAAATCTAAGAAATCTGTTGAATCATCTACTATTAAATAAGTTAGTTTTTCTTTATAAAATTGTTTTACATCTACAGTTTCTTATTATTTAATTTCTTCAGGTTAACTTTCAATTTCATTTATAGTAACTTATTTTTAGACTTTAAAACAAGGAGATTTTTCAGATCCTTAAGTTTAAACAGGTTAAGCAATTACTCCAAGCGAAGTTTAGGAATGAGAAGATTTTTATATTTAAGGTTCCTCTAATGCAGAAGGAATGAATTTTACAGAGTTTTTAAGATCATCATTATTATCTTCTGGTTTAAATTGATTAAATTAATCACTTTATTCTAAATGTTAAACTTTGGAATCATTTTCTCTAAGATTTCTTAATAATTAAGTTCCTTAATTTTTTTTAGTTTATTATACAGGATTAATTTACTAAGATGAAGTAGATGCTCCACCAAAATTTGATGATGCTTACATTGGTATTTGTTGTACAGCATTTTATCTAAATAAAGATTAATTTGGATGTTATTATATTTATTGTTATTATTATTATTATTATTAATGAACATTAGTTTCTCTTTATTCAGGAATAGTAGTTCTAAATTATTGCAAATTAGGCACACTTGTATTTCTTTGATTTTATTATTAAACTGAAGAATCTACAAATAAATTTAATAATTACTGCTTGGTGAAGTTTCAAATGATTTCTACTTATGTTTAGAATTTCGAAAATGTACATTGATTCTTTTTCCTTTAAAAGTCATAATTTCTGACAATACTTGTTCTAAGACTTTAGAAACAGCTTTTTCTACAGAATGCATTTATGTATTAATTCTATCTTCAATATCAAAAGTAGCAACATCTGCTTATTTAATAGTTGATGGTTTATTAATAGGTGATAGATTAGGACTTACAATTTTATTAGATTCTAATTTTTCCTCTTCACTAATTACATTAGGACGATAAGTAAATTCAATACATTTACAAATTTAAAATGGTTTTTATTCACTTAAAGATGTTTAGACTTTTACTGCCTCATCATTAACCCTAGGAGCAGGCTAAGGAGCTATTCTTTAAGTAGATGTTATTTAAGTAGTAGACTTGACTCTAAAAGTTTAATATCTTTCATTAATTATTGAATAAATTTTAGATTAAGTATCTAATTTACCCATACTTATATAATGATCTAAAAGAACTGATTAATAATCATTTGTTACTCTTAAAGGAATATTTACTTAAATCTTAATATTATCTAATCTTTCACATAGTTCTATCTTTCCTTCAATTTAGTATATCTAATGTAAAATATGAACAAATGATGTATAAGATAAATCCTCCTCTTATAATTATTACATTCTTATATCATAGTTTTTTAATCCTTCAAAGTCAAATTTTTAAAATAACAATTCTAATTCTTAAATTTAATTAAGATAATCAATTTAAATTGTTACTTACAAATCATCCCCTTTTGATATTGTAAACGAAATTAGAGAAAAATTATTCACTTCCTTTTAAATTTACCTCTCACTCTATTGAATCAATTATTTTTATGAAGAAAATCCCTACATCATCTACTTTCTATGATGTTCCTAATAAATATAAGATATTAATTATGTTAAAATACTATGCATTTTTACAATATCTATAAAAGCCTAATCAGGAACATCATTCTCTATTCTAACATTTGGATTTGTTTTATAGATTATCTATAAACAATCAGCAAAAAATTTAAAATAGTTTTTCAAATTACAAACTATTTAATCCGATTTTTAGTAATCTGTCTTACTCAACATTGGAAATAATGCCTATAACAATTATTGCTTAATTCTTTCAGGTTATTTTGATAAAATCTCAGATAATTATTATATCTTCATTATCTATAAACTTTATGATATTCTTTCATAAATTAAAGCTTAATCATCAGACTTCTCTATAAAAATAGCTTCCACAATTATATTCTTATTGAACACCTACTTTCTTAAATGACAAGTAATTGGTATTGGATGTCCAGAAAATGCAAATGATATTATAATTGGATCTGTAGATTCCAAAGTTTCCTCAAAAACCTTTTAAAATTTGACTTTGTCTCCTTCTGACAGTAATAAATCACTATACTTCTATATTGCATTCACCTAATACTATTTTATTACTATATCAACTGATTTTGGCAAATATTAGTATGAAATTGAATTCTAAAATTATACTTCACCATTTGAATTAAATAAGATAATTCCGACTGGCAATTCATAAAGAAGTTTTTCAATCATTTGATTATTCTTTTTCATTCTTTCATTATTAATCCAAATATTTTTATAAGCATAAGAGTAGGCAGTTACAATCAATAGTTAAATTATTTAATAAAATATTAAAAAAGCCATCAACACAATGATTTTAAAAATACTAAAATAATATTTTAAAAAAATTACTTATAATCTTTTATTAAATACCATTTAATGATTGTTATTGATGAAATTTTTAAGATATTTTAAAATATCATACTATATTGATCATATTAAAATATCATTGATTTTGAAGTTTATATCCCTATTTGTAAAGCAAGCCTTATTATAAATTCATTATCATTTTCTCTACTAAAGTTTAATATAGAAATCAAAACTAATACATCTAAAAGATGATTTAGCAAATTTTAAACTTTACGAAGTTTCTATTTCAAGTTTAATAACAAATGTGTTATCACTAAAATAAGACAGAAAGTTAGTAATTTGTTTTCATTACTTTTTTATGTGAATCTAATTATTATTATTGATAAGGCATTAATAAAGTCATAATAATAGTCTTTAATTTTGTTATGCTTTAAAAGATGTTTGTTAAAAAATTGAGCTATCTTCTAGTCTATAAATTAACACCACTTATTAAGTTTGTATTATTCATCTCCAAAATTATTATACATTTAATATTTATATTTATATATAAATCAGATAAAATGGAATCCATGTTATTAAATTAAAAAAGCTTCCTACATCTATAAAAAATAACCTTATATTTTTACTTGAGTTAGCATAAAATTGAACCAAAATTAATTTGTCTTAAGAAATGCAAATTTTCTATATTTATTAAGATTTTTATTATGATTTTTTTTTAATTAATAAATCCAATTATAAATAGCAATGTTTACAGAATTAGCATATAATGCTTCTAAAAGAATAAACTAAATATAGACCGATTTATAAACAAGAGAAAAACTGAAATAATCTAGTAAATCAACAGGGCTTATTGATGCAGAAATCAACTCAACTTTAAAATATTTAGGTAAATATAGCTTTTGATTAAGATAATGAATTGGATTAATTGGATCATGAAATTAAAGGATACACAACTAATTAGAATTGCAATTTGTTAGCTAAAGAAATTTAAAAAAGAAGAAATCTATATAATGAATTAGCTCAAAAACGATAAGAGATTAAAAAACGAATTGAATAAAATCACATGCTTTATTTATAACAATAGATAATTTAAAATAAATGTATTATTTTAGTATGTTCTATATTAGAAAACAAAAAAAATTATGAAAGCTTTGGATAGATGGATGCACTAAAATTGCATGGAGAAATAACCGATAGATAGGATGAATATTTATCTAAGATTAATGATAAAGTGCTTAACATTAAAAATTCATCATAAAATTTAAGTAAATAAATAAAAGAATAAAATGGAATTATAGATTAATTACATGAAGATGTATTTTAAAAATTTAAGATTAGACTGATTTCGCAAATTAAGCTATGAATAGATTAAAAAGCAAAATGATATCTTTTTTGGACTAATCTAGTTCTTGGAAACTATTCACATTTTTAATTTTTGAAATATTATTGTTTATTTTTTTAGTTGTTTCCTGATTAATATGTGTATAAGTTATAATACAATCTTTTACAGAATACTTCATTTATGTGGTGATATATGCTTCGAATAAACATAGGATTGTTCTTCTTCAGGTCTGGCTTCTTTGATATATTATTATTAGAGACTTTGTAATTAATTATTATAAATTTGATTATGATAGATTTATGGTTGTTATTTAATATCTCTTTCATTTTTTGAAGTAGATCTCTATCTTAATCTACTGTTGATTCTTTATTATTAATCATTTATTTCATTATATATGAGCTGAATTAGAATTATCACAATATACTTTTTATAACTTCAAATGATTTTATTTATCCTATTGAATATTTGTAATTAGTTATTGAACTTAGTTTTTCTCATCTGGTTCTATTTTTTACAGTAATTTCTCTTGAATAGATGGATAATGCATTTCTACTTTTTTTTATTTTTCTTATAATAAATTGGGATGACTCATCAACCAATGTAATTTATATTTAAAATATTCTTATTTTCTATCTTGTAATGATTCATAATACTCAACTCCTTTCTATTAAGCATTCAAAATATGTTTACCATATATAATTACACTAAGTGATTCAAAGCATCTAGATTAGTAAAATTGCTCAATACAAAATTTATATCATGTTACAAAATCTACTCAGCAAAGCCTTAAGGTAGATCTTTTTCTGAAGTAGAAGAATCAGAAAACTAAATACTATTTATTTATACTAATTTGCTGATTAAACGAGACATGTGTAAATAAATATAAATTAATTAATTACAATATAGACAAGAAGAAAAAAGAAAATTAAATAGCTATTAATATATATATAATAAATTTAAGTATTCAATGACGATAACAAATATTTTAGCATTAATTATTCTCATATTTGAAAAAATCAGCTGCTAGCTAATACTTCAATAAATAAATACTTTGATTAGTTTTGTATTTTTCAGAACACTCTGACAGAACTCTTCCAAATTCATAATCTTAAAGTCATTTTTTTGAAAATGTAATCTAAGCTCAACTATAAGTTAATAATTAAATTTCTCATATGGAATATTTCGTGCATCAACTAAATTATTTGATTCAATCATTGTGAATAATTTAGCTACTGTTTTTTCATCTGAATCTTTTGTTACTTGATATAATTAATTATCCTCTTGGGCTGAAGTATAAGGGCTATCGTTTTTAAACTAACTCTCTTCAGAAAATGATACATTTGGAGAATCTTATGTTTTAGGTAACTAAGTAACACTCTCTTCATTTTCCAAAATAGAAATTTTAACCTCTTTTTTAGGAATCAAGAACTCAAATGATTTATTTTAATATAATTAATTGAGTCTAGGACTTTTTAATTACACTTGCTTTTACTAATTAGTTGATATATAAAATTAATTTTGATTCTATTGAGGACTCTTACTTTTATTAGTAGAATAATTGTTATTAATTTTAGGTTTAAATGTAAGATTTGGATCTTTTTGCTTTTATTATTATTCATTTTCTTTTTTCTATTATTTGATATTATTATTCTATTTAGCTTATTAATATAGTCTTTCATGAATGTTCATATCTTCAGTTTAAAACCTTTTATTTCTAGATATATTTCTCTCAGATTTTAAATTAGTTTGTAAATTCCTTTCTGGAGTACATCGTTTTGTCTAAAAATTTCGAGTTGGTGTTTATTATTGATTTTCTTTATTCTATTGTTATTTTTTAACAGTTTCCCATTAGGAAAGAGGTTGTTTATCTCTTTCTTATTTCTATAATTAAAAGAAGAAGTTACTTTCATTTAATCGTACATTAACATTTGTTAAATGATATTCTATTTGAGTGGTTCAACATAAGCTATGCTTAAATAATTGTCTGTAACAAAGTTAGATGCTAATATTTCTGGATTAGAATCTTCATAGATATTGATTTGACTATATTTATTTTCATCCAGTTCAATAGTCAAAGTTATTAAAGGTTCACAGTGTATTTTTGTTTCTGATGCCTATTTTTATATATATTTCTTCATAAAGGTGAATTAGCTCATTAACGAATATTTTTTATTTACTAAAAATTATTATGTAAAGCTTTAAATTAATTACTAATAAAGAAGAATCTTAACATTCATAACTTTAATTATTTGTAACAAATAATTTAGAAGAATTTCAGGATTATTTAGTAACTTATGGTACTCTCAGATCTTAATCTAATAAATTTAATAATCTGAATGAAATTAAACATTTCATATTAAAAATAAGTCATATCCATTAATTTATCAAATGATACAATAATAGGTGTTATCCTAATAATTAATATTGAAAAAAAAATATCTATTGAATATTTTTATTAATTATATATTTATATAAGTATTTAGCATCCTCATTTAATTGGAAATGTAGAACTTTAATAATGTGATTGATTATCTAAAGGGAGAAGTATTAATCGAGAAGAGGAATGGAAAAAGGAAAGACAAGAATATCAAGTAATTATTTTTTTTATGAAACAGACTGCGATAATTGAATTGAAAGGATAATTAGAAGAATAAAGAAATATGAACAAATAACTTATAGAAAGGCTAGAAAAATTGGAATAATTTAAGGTTTCTTTAAAACCAATCGCAGATAATATAAAGCTGCAAACAAAAAAAAAATTTCATCACAGAGTTAAGAGTGATAATGGAACATTTTTAAAAAACGAGATGAACGAACAAAAGTTAGTGACTCAACCAAACATCGAGAAAATATTGTAGAAGGATAAAAAACCTCTTTTATAAAAGTAATGAATTAAATAATTTTAGCTTTCTTAAAGAGTTAAAAAGTGAAGATTCTCAAGAAGATTAAGTTTAAAATTAAATATAATTTCATTCTCCAATAAATTTGTAGTTACTTTAAAGTGCAAAAATAAATTAAATTTTGATAAATCAAAATACTTATAATACTTGTTCATCGAGACAAAAGCATCATCATCAAAGAAGTAACAGCAATGGAGCTTCAGAATTGCTTAATTTTGCATTATAAAGAAAAAAGTAAACTCTAGAGACTAGTCAAAATGAGTTAAATAGTATGAGTATGACAGAGAGAGAAATAATCGTTGGAAAAGAAATCTTCTCAACAAAAGGATAATTGAGAAGTCATTTAGATGGAGTAAGATCTATATTATTTCAAAATAATTATATAGTGACAGGTTCTGAAGATTGTACAATAAAATTATGGAATCTAAATGATGTGTAATAAATGAATGCTTAAACACATTTAGAACCTGTTTAAACAATTAGATGTAATAAAATGATAAATGATAAATAGAACATGATAGACCAATATTTACAATGACATCATACTTTAAGTCTCCTCAAATACATTTGTATTCTGCAGGAGTAGATGGAACAATAAGAACATATATAGTGACAACAAATCAATATTTTTCATGGCGTGCTCATACAGATGTAATTTGGTCTTTGAAACATCATCCTCATGATTAAAGATTACTATCTTCTTCTGCAGATGGATCTGTGAAAATGTGGAAATCCCTTGGAGTTTGTTATCAACATGATCTAATAAAAAAAGGAAATCTAAATTTAGAAATGTTATAAAATCCTCTGGCCAATTTCACATTTAAAAAATCAATGACAGGACTATCTATACCTACAGCAATTGAATGGATTTGCAAGGGCTTTAATGAAAGTATCATTTGTGGATATAGTGACACTTTAACATTTATTGTTTATGATGTGACTACTGTTAAAGCTATTTAATAAATTAGATTTGATCTTGATAATTAATTTAACACTTTTGCTTAACCAAATAGAATTCTATTCAATAATGAACTTAAATACATAGTATCTGGTCATGATGATCATAAAATTCGATTTTTTGATTTGAATTCAAGCAAAGTTTGTAAGACTCTAATAGGACATACAGATGCTGTCACTGATTTATGTTTATTCTCAAAGAATATTTATCAATTGGCAAGTGTGAGTCATGACGGAAGTATGAGGACATGGGATATTCGTAAATTCTAATGTTTACATGAAATTCCAGTAATTTATTTATCAATCAATTTAGGCACACAAATAAAAGTATGACGAAGGTATATATACAATTGCTAGTAATAATTAATATGTAGCAACAGGAGGAGCAGATGGGATAGTTAAAATATTTAATTATCAAGATGTCATATGACTTTCATAACTGTAAATGATATTTATCATTTTTTTATTTTTATCAGCTTTTATTTATTTTAATTTGGATTTTTTCTTATATCAATTAAAAAGACCATTTACATTATTACTTAATATAATCTTGTATTTTAATTAAAATAAAGATCAAGAATGGACTTATCAAATTTTCGAATTCGAACCTAAATTATTGCTTTTTTTATTATTATTGTCATCATTGTTATGGCAATTGTAATAATCAGCAATGTCACTTTATTTAATTATATGAAAGATGCTTTTCTCTCTAATTCAATGAATGTACTAATCAAAGAAACTAACAACTAATTAACAAGTCAACTTACTTTATATGATCAGAGATTGAAAACAATAATAAATTAGAGTATATTATTAGAAATACTTTTTAGTTTTTAGAAAACAAAGAATGTTCTAAAACATTTATTTATTTGTTGATGTAAATGAAAACATTATTCAAACCTAAATTCCCTTTTATTGTCCTCCAAATATTACATAAGCAGAATCTAAATCTTTCTTTTGCCTTATGGCATATTAACATGATTAATCTAATTATACTAAACTATCAACAACAATCAAGAAGTAATTTAAGGTCATTTCAATTTTTCATGAAACCATATTGATGTTTGATACATCTTAATTTATTGTTACTGGCATAGCTTATACATCAAATGATGAAATTCCTATTTTAGGTACTTGGCCAGCCTTAAATTCAACATTATCTTATAATGCTCATAAACGTTCTTGGTATCTAAGCCATACTAAATAAATGGGAAATGGACATTAATATTTATATAGTGATTTATTCACAACCATCATAGGTTCCTACACTATTGCAATATCATAAAATTTAACTGATAAAAATAATAAGTATGCAGGAATTGTTTTTGATTTAATGGATTTTGGGGTCTTTAAAAAAAATTTTAAAGCTGATTATATTTTAGCTAATAACAATGGTTAAATTATTATAGGTTAGTTCAATTATCCTGAAAATACTACTAAACCGATCTTCTTTTTTAATGAGTCAATTACAGGTTTTAATTAAGTTGATTGGGATTCCATTTCAATCATCATTAATTCTAAAGTCTAATAATAAGATATATAATCTCTAAGCAATTGCTCCTAAGATGTATCAAACTACTTATGCAGGTACAATTCCTTATACAAATAAGAAGTTCTTTTAATAGCTAAATAGCTTGAATACCCTCCATATCCTCCCCATATTGTAATAATGTAATCAATTCTAATATTAAAAAGATTTAAAAATATGACTGAACTTTATCAATAAGTAGATAGACTCAATTAAGATATATATTATTTGTTTGCCCAAGAATTTTCAAAAGACATATAAATTTTGAGTTTAGCTGCTATAGGAATTATTTTAATATTTTTAGTAATATTAAATTAAATAACCAAATCTTTAAACCTATTAATTAAATATTCTAAATTTTAGTAGAATAATCTTATCTATTTAAAAGAACAATAAGAAATGAATCAATAAATTGAAACCATAACTAATTTATATAATTTTAGGAAAAACTTAAACTTGATCAAATAATCTGAGAATGCATTAGATTAATTAACGTTGCAGTATTTTTGTAATCATTGTTATTATTAAATAGAATTGCTATCAATTTTGAAAGGACAGCAAGGTGAATATAAAAAATCTGAAGAATGCCTTTAATTGGAATCTACGTAGTATCCAAAAACTAGATTCTACTTAAAATTCGCTAAACGATACTACTTGTATGATTACCAAACTAGTATAGATGGAAAAACTGTTAATCAATTTTTATATTATTTTTTAAATAAAAAATAGAAATATTGATTATTTTATTTATTTCAATGGGTAATTTAGAAAATGGTTGTCTTTCTCGATCTTAATAAATAAATAATATTAACAATAAGGAGAGACCTTCTTAATTAAAACGTTAATATGTATCAGAAAAGATTAGAAATTCGTTTCTATACCCAATTCCTTTAAAAGAAACATAGATTTATGCAAAAAAAATAGGAATTAAAAATTACAATCCATATAGTAAAAAAATAACAAAACAAATAATCGAAGTCTCAAATCTTAATTAAAACTTAGAATTAAGTTTATGTAGATTTTTATTGGTAAGTTTATAATCTAATCTAACTTAAATAAATGAAATCTTAATACAAAATTAATAATTCAGATAAAGTATAAGACCAATAGAAAATGAATTTTTAAGAGAAGCAATAAGAGTTGTAGGAGTTGATTTTGAAATGGGATTAGTATTGAGTATTAAATTAGATAAAATCAATATTGAATTTGTTTAGCAATACCTCCTATTTTTTTTAGAATATCTATTTTATGAGATTTGCAAAAATAACAAATTAAATAATCACATTATTGTAATTTATGATTTACAGCAGGAAGCAGTTAATTAAATATTTCTTAACTTTTTAATAAATATGACATTTAAGCATTATTTCCTCAACATTAGAAAAGTGATTCTGGTAAATTTAAATGTTGAAAAAATTTCATCTGAAGTGATAGGAATGCTTAATTCAATCTAATACTCATATTTATTATTACCCTTAGCCGATATTGCTTATTTATCTAGGTATGTTAAAAAATCTGAGCTATTAAACGAGTATGGAGGGGTCTTTGCAAGATAAAGAAATCCAATACCTTTAACAACAAGCGAGGCAACTAAATATAAACTTTGACTTTTTAATTATCTTTAAATATTTATATCCTGATAGTCAGATAATATATATAAATTACAAATCTTTTTAATATAATTTAATAAAGAAATTAATTTAGTATTTTATAATACAATAAATTAGTTTGAAATAAAATATCTAAATAAATTTAAAATCTTTGTTATTATATATGCTATTAATTAGTTCGATCTACATCAATTCTGTTCAAGAAAAAGTGCCATTGTCTAAGAAATGTGATTATAAGCTTCCTGAAAACCATGTAAAGTCAATATCTAATCAGATTAGAAAATAGAATAAAACTTTAACGTAGAATAAGCATTAAGTTTTCTACCACAAATACCTGATGCTATATCTTTCACTCATAGTTTTGAATTTCTAGATAAAAGCTTTGAAAAATGGGAGGAATCTATTTTTACAATAGAATCTTTAGGTGAATTTAGATTAGGAGGACATGTGAAGGAAAAATGTTGCCAAAATGCTCAATGTAATTGTAATTGTCGAAATTGTTATTATGGCTGTTGTTCATGTAATTTTAGCTGTTTAACCTGTTTTATGTGCTGTGATTGTGTTTGCTGTTGTAGCAATTATGAAGTAGTTCATGAATATCAAGGGCCTATATATATATTATAGAATTAGCTAATTAGATTCGAACACTATGGTTAAATATCTAAGTTGTATGTTAAAGACACCTTAGTTTTGGAATTTTATCATTCATTCAAAAATTTGGCTGATGTTTTATATGGTGGATGTAAATCGAATTATCCTCATATTGTATTTTAATAACCTTTAGGAAAAGCTAATGAAAAAGTATATTTTGAAGCACTTGGAAATAATTGCCCAGAAAGTTGTTGGAGTTGTTTTCCATATTTAATGATGTGTTCTTGGTGTGGGATAGGATAATTAGAGAGAAAAATTAGAGTTTCAAATAGTCAATAATACTTGGGAAATATTACAGCCAAAAGAGACAAAAAAAAGGCATGTTTAACATAATGTGGTTGTAATAATCATTGTATGTAATTTATTGACTATCCTGATTTCACAATCGATTTTAAAAATACTTGTTAATTGGATAAATTAGGTATTATTATGTCTACAATTCATTTTACATTATATGATAGATGGAGAAGATTTGATTGGAATGGATTACTAAAAATGAATCATCCTGTTCTATTTTATGATAATTTAAAATGATATAAATAAAATGGATATTGAAGATTAGAATATTTATAATTTTCGATGTAATTTTAAAATTAATTTAAAAATATATCTTATTGAATATGGATCCAAATTAGAATAATAATAGAGATGTAGATATAAATCCATTTGTTTAAATACCTCTTACAGAACAGCCAGAAGAAAACTTAAATGAAGTTCATGAATAAACTTAATTAAGATAAAACATTGAGAATGTCAGAGAAAATTAAACTCCAGTTTAGAATGAATAATAAATAGGGGTTGATGGTTAATAAATTTAAATTATTAATGGAAATAATGGAAATGAACAATAACCTCAGTAGGATATAATTGTTGCTTAATAGATTGACTTTAAAGTGGAAAGAAAATAAGGTATTATAGTACCTATGAGATTGGACTCAACAGAAGCTTTAATGTTATTAAAACCTATTCCAGACATATTATAATTTTAACATAGATTGAAATCTATATCTCCTTGTTGTGGAAATTATTGGGGTGGTCAATATTTTGAAGAATCTTTTTTTGATATTCCAATTTTGGGATAATTATCATGGAAAGTAGAATTTGAAATGCCTAAATTAGCTTTTATTAGAAGATTCCCAGTGACGATGTTTTACTATTTAGCTAGTTTAATACCTCAAAAAGCAGTAACTAATGAGGAGAATTATGAAAAATGTTTATGTTGTGACAATATACATTACTTTCCTAAAACTAATTATAAATTAACAAACGAATTAATTGAATTGAGTTTTCAATATGGATTTGGAAAATTATATATTTAAGGAATTCTAATATTAGAATTTTAAGAATCTAATCCTCATTTTGCTGATGTGTATTATGCATCTTAAGAATCCACTATGCCATAAATGATTGTCTACTAACCAGATTATATAGGGAATAGATTAATTAGAGTTAAAGCCTAAAAAAATAAATGTCCAGAACATCCATATTCTATAAAAGGATATTAATCTATACTTAATTGTTGTTATAGAGAAAGAGGTTTTGAAATAGCAGGTTTAACATAAGGAACTTGTTAAATTAAAAATACAAGAAACAAAACTTAAGCTTGTTATAAAACATTTGGTTGCAAAGATGTATGTAAATGTGATTGTTGCAGATTCTCTGATTACCCAAATTTTGAAATAGTATTTTAAGATGTGACTTAAATTGATAAATTAGCTATTCTAATATGTTTAATTCATTTCAATATGTATAATGAATGGGAATGGACTGGTTATAAAGGAATTAATTTGCTTGAATAACTAGCAAGAATATTGAAAATAATGAACAGAGCAGAAGGTGGATGGAGACCATGAATTTATATTATAATAAAAATATAATGAAAAAAATTTTAATTTAAATGAATTTGAAGATCTAAATTAATTTGTTTGTAATTTAAAATAAATTAAGTGTGACTCTTTCTCACTCTAAGTAAAAAAAATAAAAACTACTAATATAGTATAAAATATTAAATTAATAAAATTTAATCTTATAATATAATTATGTAGATTAGACCTCAAGATTAAAATTTGCATTTCGACTAAGTTGGTATTATGCAGAATGAAAATCAGATGTTGCAATAATAACAGGTAAATACATAACTCAATTTAATTTTAAGAGAGCGGAATACAAATTATCAGTTGAGGAAGCCATAGCTACACTACCTCCAATTCCAGATGAAATCAAGTTCAACCACGATTTTAGATTTTTGGATAAATGTTATGAAAAATAGGAGGAGTCTATATTTAATATAGAATCAATAGGAGAACTAAGATTAGGAGGGCATATTGAAACCACATGTAAAAATGGAAAAAGCCGACCATGCAGTTGTAAGGATTGTTTATAGTGTTGTAATAAAATTCCTTGTTGTACTTGTCAATGTTGCAGCTGCTGTAATGAGTTTGAAGCAATGCATTATTACTTAATTCCTTGTTATATTCTTCAAAATGATAAGCTAAGATTTGAAAATTATGACTCATTTTCAAAATTATATATTCAAGACACATTGATTCTTGAATTTATTCATTCACATAGAAATTGGGCTGATTCTTATTGTGGTAGCTGTAAATCAAATTACCCTCATATATATTTTACAAATCCTATTCATGAAAAAAATAAAAAAATTCTATTTGAACCTTTAGGTAATAAATGTCCAAAAAATACAAAGTCTGCTATAGGTTGTTGTTGTATATGTTCTTGGTGTGGAATTAATCAGTTAGAAAGAAATATAGTGGCAAAAGTTGAAGATTATGGATCTGCTAAAATAATTGCAAGAAGATCATATAAAAATGCTTGTCTTTCTTAATGTGATTGTTAAGATTATTGTTGTCATTTTATTGATTATCCAGATTTTGAGATGAAATTTTAAAATTTATCTAATCTAGATAAATTAGGTTTAATAATGGCTACGATAAGTTATACAATATATAATAGATGGGCAAAGTATTCTTACAGAGGATTATTTGGTTTGAATACATCATATATTAATTTTTGAATATTATCCAAATATTGAGAAAGATAAATTAAAAAAGATTTAATTTTAATTATTATTTTTTTTAAAATAAAATTAAGAAGATTAGATAAGGAGCATGGATAAATTATAAACAGAACAATAATAGTAATATGTAGGTCCGAATACAATACAACCGACTCAAAGTCAATAATTAAGTTGGAATGAAGCTTTGGCGTTGTTACCTCCTCTACCAGATAGAATGACAATTTTGCATACATTATAAACTGAATCTCCTTGTTTTTAATTATGCGGAGGAAGATTCTATGAAGAATCAATCATTGATATATTAGCTATAGGTAAACTATCTTGGAAGATTGACTTTCAAATGCCTTCATGTTGTTGTGCTAATAATGGTGCTTCATTATTAAAAGGTTTGTTAAATTTATTCCCCACAAGAAAACCACCATCTTTCTAGCTTGAATAAGGTTAACCTGTTTTCTAATGTTGTTGTAGATGTGATAATTATCATTAATTTTCAGGAACTTCCTATTATTTAGAGAATGAATTGATTAATTTTGAATTTAAAAATTATGGTAGATTATATATATAAGGGGTTTTGATGTTAGAATTTCAACAATGTCAAAAAGCTTTTGAAGATGTATTCTATGCATCTGAAAATTCAACCATGCCTTAAATGTTGGTATACTAACCATACCATAGATCAAATTATTAGATACGTTTTAAAGCTGAAAAAAATAAATGTCCTCAACATCCTTATTCATTTAGAGGCTATTGGTCCTGTTGCGATTGTAGTAGATTGGAAAGAAAATTTGAAATTTCTGGCCTATCTTAAGGAACTTGTGAAATTATAAATACAAGAACATCAAAATAAGCATGCTATAAAGCATGTGGTTGCAAAGATGTTTATAGATGTGATTCTTGTAGATATGCTGATTATCCATTTTTCGATATAACTTTTAACAATGTCACTTAAATAGATAGATTAGCTATAATTATGTGTTTAATTCATTTTATTATGTATAATGAATGGGAATGGACTAATTATTATGGAATATAATTGAGTACTCAAATTGATAGGGCTTTAAGATTGGCAGTATAATAAGAGAAGGAAAAATCTTCATGTTCCATTTTTTGATTATTTGGATCAATAAATCATTAATATTAATTATTTTACTATAAAATTATATTTATTTCTTGTATTTACATTCCTAAAGAGAATCTGTTAAATTAAGATTATTTTTAACATAATTTATTTATTTATTTTATATTATTTATATAATTTATGATTTATCCAAAAAATAAACTATAATCAGCAGGGTAAGCTACTTTGTCTCGTAAGAATTACACATCAGAATAAAGAGAAGAAATTAAAAGACAAATTGCTGATAGATTATCAAAGAAGTATGGTTTAGATTTGACAGAATAAATCAATGCGAAAGTAAATAGCTATCTTAATCAAAATTAAACTATAACTGCTGAAGGGTATTTGAGTTTAGAATATATGTAGGATATAAAATTTAGAATAAGAAATCAGTCGTTAAAAGGCATTACCTTAATTATAATAATAACAATCAACAAATCAAGTCAAGTAAAAAGATGAAGATGATTAAAAATCAGTTGTTTCAAAAATGTCAGGTGCATCCAATTTTGATATGGTCGATTAATATACACATAAAACTGAAAAAAACACAGAAGAAAAGAAGAGCTAAAAGATGACAGGTTTACATACTAAGAAAATTGAAAATGACTTAGCATTTCTTAATGAAGAAAATTAATGGGGTGCTATTTATAAATATAATAAATACCTTTATGATAAGGAAACTGATATTAAAAAATAAAGAGAAGTAGAAAGAAAGAAGAAAATTAAAGAAGAACTAGATTAATAAGTTGTTGAAAAATAATCAAAAAAAGTATTAAGTAAAAAGGAAGAAAATGCATTCTATGAAAATTAGATGTATTAATGTACACTGTTTGATTAAAAAGAATAGGAAAAAGCAGATAGAGTAAATTTAATTACAATAATTAGGCTAAACAAATTAAGATGATTGAGAAATAAGCAAGAGATTAATAAGTTAAGGAAATTAAAAAAAATAGAAGAATAGAAGATAAATAAGAAAAGGCGTTGGATAGTTATATGATCCAAAAAGTAAGAGAAGAATTAGATGATGAATAAAAGTTTTTATAATTCAAAAAAGAACATCAATATTAGGTTATGTAAAAGCTTATGGCAGAAAATGAGGAAAAGAAAAGAGTATAAGAAAAGGAAAAAGAAGATGAAAGGTAAGAGAACATTAGATTGATGGATGCTTATTGCAAATTATTAGATAAATAAGAAGAAGAAAGATAAAAAGCAATAAAGGAGAGAGATGAAAAGATAAAATAATATCAGGAAAAGGCTATGGAAATGTAAGAGAAGGAATTAGAAAGTATAAAAAATATTTTAATAATTAGAAAAAATTGGTTAGCTAGAAAAGAGAGCAGACAAATATGAATAAAGAAAAGAGAGAAGAATACAAGAACTTGAGAAGGAAGCAGAAAGAAAGAAATGGGAAACTAAATTGAAAACACGAGAATACTTAAATAAATAGATGGAAGAGAAGGAAGTATAGAAACAAAGAGAAAAATTAAGGGATTAAGAATAAGTAAGAGAAATATAATAGATTAGGCTACTTTGTGGAAAGAAGATACAACTAATTATTTTCAATTTGAAAAAGAAAGAGATGTTGAGAAAAAAAAAATCTACAAGGAATATCAAGATACATTATTAGAATAAATGAAAGAAAAATCTCAAGCGAAAAAAGGCATAATTGATGAAATGCTGAGACATGAATAAATGCTAAGTAAAAATACATTGTCAGAATTGGATTAAATGAAATAAACAGCGTCATGAATTATTTCATATATAATATAAATTTGGCTGAAATAAGTATTATCAAAATGTTCTTATTTTTTGGATTAGAAAGAGAAAAGAATGATAAAAATAAGTTATAGGGTAGAGAATATATTATAGGATATTGAATGTTATCAGCAGTTTGAATTCATTCAATCTGAAATTAAACTCTTCTTTGCCCTGCATCAAAGGTTGTGTCTTGTTTTCTAAATTTGCTGTATTTTAATTCTTATTTCAATATACTCTTAACAGATTTTTCATCTGCCTAGTTACTCCTCTGACTATCCAACATTCCATCATCTTCAATTGGAGAATGTTCTCTGCTGCTAGCTTTTTGTTCAAAAGTTTGTAATTTTTTGAGGCGATTACTATCTATGGATTTTAATTTATTGGTAGCTTCAAAATTGCAAACAGGAGAATCATTCTTTTTTTTTCCAATTGAACATTATGATTTAAAAGGAGTATCCTGTTTATCTAATTACCCAATTAACTATATTTCTTTTTGTGAATGAGACTGATGTTACTCAGACTTTCTACTCTACTAAGATCTAAGTTCAGCAAATCCTGGTGTTCCTGGTTCATCTGGGCTGCTTTTTCGAGAGGATAATTTAAGTTTGGGTTAAGGATTGCTATAATTAATATGATTAACAAATACTAAATACTCTTATTATGTTCCAGACTATTTGATAGTATTATCCTATTTAATTAGTAATTCAGAGTCTTTTTCTTCTAATTACTATTTGGTGCAACATTAAGCGGCTCCCATATAATTATGATGGTAATTGCTAAAATAATAATAACAAGTATTTTTAAATTAAAAAAACAGATTGGATAATATGATATGAAAATACAATGAAAATACACTCATAATTCTTCAACTCTATCTAAATCAACCCAAGGATGAGATGTGTTTTCTTTTAAAAATGAAATGAATCCAGCTTCATCTCTTCCTCCAGAATAAGAAATAACTTAATCTTTCTATCCATTCTTCCAGAATTTCAAAGTTGGGAAGGATTCAATAGAAACACCTTCAACCTAAATAAAATAAAAATATTTATTTTACTTCATTTGCAGTAGCATCACATTTGGCAATAATAATATTTGGATTGACTTACAATTTCTTAGCTAATCCTTCATATATTGGAATTAATTATTTGCAATGACCACACCAAGGAGCATAAAATTCAACCAAAACATCTTTATCATTATTAATAACTAAATCTTTGAAGTTCTTTCCAACAACAATTTTAACAGGTTCATCATTACTTGATGGAATCTCTTCAGATTTCATATATCTTCCCAATTTGCCATCAAAGAAATCTGTTAAGAAGTTTCTCAATGTATCAACAGTGATACTTTCTTCAAATCTATATTTAGCATTTCCACCTAATTAATCATAAATCATAATATTTGGAACATTTACAGTACTAGCTCCAACATATTCAGCTAATCTATGGAATAATCCTGAACCATCATTTGGTTTAGAAAAGGAGAATTTAATTCTATCTTTGAATGCACCAGCTACTTAAGCAAAAGCATCATAAGCAGCAATACCAGCATCTGAATCATCTGTGAATAAAAGAATAGCATTGTTTCTTTATTAGAAAATAATGTTTATTGCTTTATCATTGAATGGTAATAAAACTGGATTACCATTAGCATTTATAAATTATTCTAAAGTTTCATTTGTAATTGCACCATCAAAATCATTTCTCTTTTCATCAAATGATTTAAATAGAACAATCTTTCCTTAAACATTATATTTTTCTGTAGCTTCAGCATTTACAATATGTGCAAATGTAACTTTGTCATTAGATTATGCCACTGCTTTGAATGTTTAGAAATCATTATCATCTTCTGAATTTCCAAAGAATACAATTATTGGAGTCGACGATACTCTTTCTAAGAATTTCTCCAATTCTTAAACTGAGTTTAATTCATTTGATGGAGGACCTGATTTTTTATTGATCCAAGCTACAATATCGGCTTATGTTCTTCCTCCTTCATAATCTATTGCTTAACCATTAATAAAGAATTTTAATGTTGGATATCCTTAAACATTATATTTTTCAGCAACTGATGATTCAGCTGTGGCATCAACTTTTGCTAATGGCACATAATTATCACCTCCTTACTTTTTCAATTCAGCTGCTGCTGCGGAATATTCAGGTGCTAATTTCTTACTAACATGTTATATATAAATAGCTTATACCAATGTCCACACCATGGTGCATAAAATTCAACCAAAATAAATTTGAATGTGTCTATTGCTTCTTAAAATGTATCTGTTGTTAAAACTAACACATTTTCTTCTTCTTAAAATGCACATAATGATGTTGCCAAGAGTATGCTGATCAATATAAATGATTTCATAAATATGGGAATCTTTTATTTAAAAATTTATCTATGACTTAATTCAAATCAACCAGATTTAAGCAAAATTATTGAATTATTTGTTTCAATACTATTGATTCTTATAACTATGGTTTTTTATTTATTCTTATCATTTAAATCAATATTTCTTTTACTTAGATTTCTTTCATTTACCAATAATTTAAGAATATAGTTTAAATATAAATTCTCCTTGTCTTATTAAAGATATCATACCTTTACAAGAATTAAAATAATTAAAAATAATCAATAAACAAATAAAGGATCAATTTATTTGATATTAGATAATTTAATGTAAGTATTAATTCATGCTTTATAAAACTATCCTGATCCTCTTAAAAGACCTAATGAAATTAAGGTTTAAATTTCAGAAGCTTTGGAGTAAATAAAGTTTTTTGCCGAATTCTTAAGAAGCGAAAAGATAAAATAAAATGCAAGACATTTACTTTTAGAATTTTCTAATTATTTATCTCTTGAAATTTTTAAAAGTGGAGAAATAATTTGTAGAGAAGGTGATAAAGGAGATAAGTAATTCAATTTTAATAAATTAGATTTTATATAATACTTCAAGGTAATGTAGTTGTATATAGGAAAAATATTAATTCGAATTATGAACAGAATTCAACAATGTCAGAATAAATCTTTATGGATTAAAATGTAAAAATAGGTCAACTCAAAGAGGGGGAAACCTTTGGTGAATTAGCTCTCTCTTTAAATAAACCTCGTTTTGCTACAATTAAAGCATAATCTTTCTAAGTTATTCTTTGTAGTCTTAGTAAGGACAATTATGCAAAAATGACTAATGTAATTTATGGATTATATCTTAGTATATGTAAAGAGAATTAAATTTGAAGACAAATGCTTTGGCCACTTTGTTTCCAAAATTATCTTAAAATTCTTTAATCCGTTTAGCTTATCTGTTGTAAATTTAAATCTTTCCAAAAAACCATTGTATTTACAAATAAGGAGAGACAGCTACTGGTTTCTATATACTTTCAGATGGTGAAGTTAAACTTGAGTAGATATGCAAGAATTCTACTTAAATTTATGTGCCAATCATGGTGTTAACTCCTGGTAGTCTTTTTGGAGTATAAAATGTTTTAAAAAATTAACCTTATGATAATTAAGCTATCTGTATAACTTAAAAGGTTACAGTCTATAAATTTACTTGTGAATCTTTTGAGCAACTTGGAGATGATTATAGTAAAAAAGCTTTGTAATCAGCTGAAAGAACTTTTAGAAGAGAACCTAAAATTCAAAGTTTATAATTAATTTGCAAGCCAGAAATAAGTAATTATATTTTTTGATGTATTGAAATTAGCATAAGAGAACTAGATGAATAGAATAAATAAAATCCTAAAAAATAAAGAACAATTAAATCAAATGGAAAACAATAAGAGAAATTTCGAAAACCTAAAACTGATATTGTTTAAAATTAAATAACTTTTAGAAATCCATTTTTTTCTGATTTAGATGCTGAAAAATTCAAATAGATAAAAAAGATATCGATTGAGCAAATCAAATAAGCTGATCTTAAAAAGTATTAAATTACCAATAACTTTAGGTATAATTAATAATTTGCAATTAAGAACTACTTTGAACCTATCGAAATAGCTCCTATGTTAGATTCAATAAAAAAACAGAAAAATGCAAAATGTTTGAGTTTTGCATCAGTCAGAGAAAACACAGCAACTTAAACATCCATGTATTCCTATCCAGCAAGTGGATTTAATACTTAAAGAGTGTTTACATTACCTTCCCCTAGTCATACTAGACACACATCTCATTCAAAGAAAAGTAGATTATGAATTTATATTGTAATATAATCATAACAAAGATATTCTTAACTCATAAAGTTGGTTTAATATTTTGATTAAAATGGCTAGACAATGCAGAGTTTCTTTATCTTGAAGTATTGAATCTTTTTGATTATCTATCTGTTAATCTTTGTTACTCTAAATTTAATGATATTTCTTTAACACTTTGTTATCTTGTAGACTTTTAACTAAGGATTCTCTCTTTATTCAAAGACTAATTTTTTAATACACCTATAACTGTTTAAGATTAATCATTTAATTTCGATTTAACTGGCCTAGACTTTTTCTATTTAGCTTATATAATCTTGAAAGTTTTATCGGATTTCTTATTTGTTAGAATATCCTTCCTCTATTTTATTTGATCCTTACTTAAATTGATAAACTATTTAGATTTTTGGCTATCATACAAAGATCTAATTGTTTATTCTTATGTATCAGATTCAAGAAATTTATCTTGTTAAGGAGTTGTAAAATATTAAACTAATTCTTTACTGCATGATTTCATTGAATTTCTTTCAATTTATAGTTATGCAATTTGCTCTATTCTTTATTTATATCTTTTTATTGCATGTTATACATCAAATTAAATTGACTTAAGTAGATTTCTTTCATCATCTTCAGATGCATTTCTAGATTTTTATTTTTCTAAGTATGAATTCCTTATGAATGAACTTCTTGATCCAATATTATTTTATATTAATTTTCCTAAACAGCAACCAATATATCCTTTTGAGTTAACTTTTGTTAATTATTTTTGAAACTTTTATCTTAATTATTCCAATTTATTACAAGGAGGTTCAGATATGCTATATCTTTATTTCATTGAAAATAGAAATATGTGATCGTTTAAAATAAAATTAACGATTACAATTAATTAAATATACAATAATAAAAATCATAATTCATCAATCTCTGTAACATCTCTTAAATAGACCTTTTTAGTTAAAATAACTTCATTATAAATAACATATTTTGGTTTCTAATTAAATAATACAGATTCTGGATGAATATAAGCTAGTTAATTTGTTTGCTATTAATTATAAATTTTAAATACTTTTAATTTATATGCTTAATCTTAGGGAGAATAAAAGGCATGTTTAAACATTAAAGATTCAGAAAGTACTTACTTAAATTTATCATAGTCTTCTTTTTCAAATTCTTTTTAAGTAATTCTTTTCATATAGTCTTTTAATTGTTATTTAACACTTATAGCTTTTTATAAAGTTTTATGATTAAGACTATTCTCCTTACAAAAGCTTTTTTTATTTTAAGTTTCCTCATATTTTCTAAGAATATTAGCTTTAGTTAAATGATCAGAATTTGAAATTTTGAATTTGCTTAATATTTTTTGTAAATTTTCCTTGGATCCCCTTTGAAAATAAAATAAATTCTCGACTTATAAAATGGAAATAGAATTTAATGCTAAATCATAAATACCGCATTCATATGCTTTAATTAAAAAATGAGAGAATTAAGGTTCTAAAGGTAAACTAGACATATTCTTTCCATGTTATGTCAAATTGAATTCAGAATCTAAAGCTTTCATTTTTACTAATTGATTTAGATTTGCAAGCATCAATTCCATATCAGGCCTGTCAATTAAATCAAAAGTTAAGACATTCTAAATTCCAATAGCTTTCATTTACAGAATAACTGATAACAGATTTACTCTCAAGATCTCCTATATTGATTTTTTTAATTATATACAGGTAACATATATTTTGCTAATCTTTCATATGTTTGTTAAGTGTAAAGACGATAACATTATCCTTATCTTTGTCTTCCTGCTCTTCCTGCCCTTTATTCAGCTTATGCTTTTGAAACTGGTGCCAATAATAATGTATCTATGGCTTTCCCAATTTAAAATGATCTAATTTTAACATAGCCACAATCAACAACATAAACTATTCCATCAATAGTTATTGATGTTTCTGCAATGTTTGTAGCTAACACTACTTTTCTATGCACACATTTTTGAAATGCCTCCATTTATACTTCAGGTGGCAAAGCTGAATATAACATTTTGACTTCTAATTATTTTTCTTAATTGCTTATTTTCATTCTCTCTAAAAGTATTTCTCTCACATCTTCTATGTCTTCTTAACCTGTTAAAAATGCTAGGATATCTCCTTCTGGTTATGTAAAATGTAATTATAAAATTGTATTCACCATAGATTCCTAAATTATTATTTATCATACTACATAATCCTACTATCTTATTGGAACATTGTAAACATCTACTGTATGAGTTCTTGCTTCAATTATGTGAATCTAAAAGCTTAAATAATAGAATAACTGCTTCAGTTTCTAAGTAATTGGCAAATTTCTCAATTTACATTGTGGCAGACATCAAAATGACCTTTAATTGTTTTCTTTTCCTGCATAAATTTTTTAATAGACCCAACAATAAATCTGATTAAACAGTTCTTTCATGAGCCTCATCAATTATAATTATATCATATCGTTTTAATTGTTAATCTTCATAGTTTATTTAATTACCAACAATAAATTCTCTAATCAACATTCCATCAGTTAAAAATGTTATTTATGTGTCTTTGCTTGTACAATCATCAAATCTAACATTATATCCAATCAATTATCCTAATTTTGTTTATTTTTCTAATGAGCATCTTTCTGCTAGAGTCATAGCTGCTACTCTAAAAATAAATTGCCAAATCAAACCTTCTAGGTTGAGTAACTGCAATTCTTAGATTTGAGTCATTTTCATAAATATATTAAGGTATTTGTGTTGTCTTACCACAACCAGTTTCACCTGCTATTATTATTACCTAATCTAATCAATATTATTCATTATTACTTTCTCTTATTGATTTGATAATTTTATCTCTAAATTAGAATATAGGTAACTACATCCTAAATTCATTAAGCATCGCTAATTAAAATAAATTTTCTTAATATAAGAATAATTTAAATAATTCGAAATTAAATATATTTTCGATTCATAATGATAAGTAAATAATAAAAAATAAAGATTTATTGGTTGATTTAATATAAATAAAAAAGTCATATTTATACGAAAAGAAGTAACTAATAAAAGATGTTAGAACATCATTTATAGTGGTGAATTGAATATATTTTATTAAAATTGGTTAAATATAATTTATATTTAAAAAATACGAGACTGCTAATGAATAGATAAATTAAACAACTGATGGTGATTATAATAAATAATAAGTTTACATAATTATTTAAATGGGATCTCATTGTTGCAAAATGGACCATTCTATACGATAAGGTTGTTTTATTTTCTATCTTCAGATGAGTTGGATTTAGATTTAGATGAAATTTCAAACATCACTCCTCTACCACTTTCAAAGGCTTCTATTTCATAGAAGGACACAAAAAAGAGTAAAGCTACTCAACTTCATAGGAGAGAAAAATCAATGTCTCCTTGCTCTTTAGAAAGGAGTAAAACTCATAAAGAGATGGCAGTTTAAGAGGATGTCTTAAATACTGAAGGAGAACATAGGCATAATCTTGAAGTTTTATAAGTCATGTAGTAAATGTCTAAAACAACAGTTGTTGAAAGTAAATTGTTTATGAATTGTTAGTAACATAACCTATTAGAATGAGTAGTCTTAGTTAAATTGGAACAGCAACTAAAATAAAACTTGGAATAGATATTTTTATTCATTTAAAAGAAGGATCAATAAATTCTTACTATAAATTTGACAAAGTATTAGGTTAAGGAGGTTTTGGAAAAGTTTGGAAAGTCACTCATAAAATTACAAATTTAGTTAGAGCAATTAAATAGATTAAAAAGAGTTCAATATTAAAGGAAGAAAAATAAAGAATGTTTTCAGAGATGAATATTTTAAAAAATCTAGATCATCCAAACATTTTAAAATTATTTGAGCTTTATTAAGATTAGAATAATTATTATTTAGTCACTGAGTATCAAAATCATAATATCTTAGATATTTATCTGGAGGAGAGCTTCTGGAAAGAATTAAAATTATGACATGCTTTACTGAAAACGTAGCAGCTAATTATATAAGATAAATATTATTAGCTACATTATATTGTCATGAGAAAAACATAGTCCATCGTGATCTAAAACCAGAAAATGTAATTTTTGTAAACTCAGACCCAAATTCATTATTAAAAGTGATTGATTTTGGAACTTCAAGAAAATTTGATAAAAGCAAATGCATGAGTAAAGATATTGGAACTGTAAAATAAAACCTGATCACTAGCCCTTTTATGTTGCTCCAGAAGTATTAAACCATTAATATAATGAAAAATGTGATTTATGGTCTTGTGGAATCATACTCTATGTATTATTATGTGGATATCCTCCATTTACAGGAAGAACTGTTCATTAAGTATTAGAAAGAGTTAAATAAGGAGTTTTTGTTTTTGAAAGTATTTTATTATTTAATATTTATTTAAATAGGTCGAGATTGGGATGGAATTTCTAAGGAAGCTAAATAATTTATTTCGAAACTTCTAAGAGTTGATCCTAAAAGACGATTATCAGCTAAAGAGGCATTAAATGATCCATGGTTACTCAAATATAATCCTTCTACATAATTAAATTTAAGAGTATTAGAAAATATCAAATAATTCTAAGTAAGTATAATTTTTAAAAAGGCATAAACTCTTTTAAGATAAGCACTTATGTCATATATGATTACATAAATGTCAACATAGAGAGAAATTTAAGAGATTTAAAATGAATTTACTAAATTAGATTTAAATCATGATGGAATACTTTCCAAAGATGAATTAATAAAAGGATATCAATAATTGAAATCCGATTCTAAATTAGTTGAAGATGAAGTTGAAAAAATTATAGATTTGATAGATGTTAATCGATCAGGAATGATTGATTTCTCTGAGTTTTGTATGGCAGCCATGAACTAAGAAAAATTATTTTCAGTATAAAGAATAGAGTAAGCATTTAAGATTTTTGATTAAGTAATAAAGAATATAATAGTACTTAGAATGGAGATAGTTTTATATCTAAATAGGATCTTGAAGCCATTATGGGTCATTTAGAAGATGATGTTTGGAATCAAATTTTACATGAATGCAATGCTAATTAAGAAGGTTAAATTTCATATTAAGAATTTATCACAGTTTTATAATAAAAAACACTTTGATTTTATTTGTTTTTATTCATTAAGATTATTTTCAACCATTTATTCATAATAAGCTATGTTTCTAATTTAATTATTATTTAATTTACAAATAAAATTATTCAATGATTTTTATTTTAATTCTAATATCAATAGATTAATTTTAAGCTATAAGAAATATAGCTATTACATTAGGTCCATTATCATAATAATCTATTACATATGTAATTTATTAAGAAGAATAACTTAATTAATAATTTAGTTCAAATCAAACTCGTTGGAGCAATTGTTCACCTTTAGATTTATTATATATAAAATCAAATTTGAATTAACCAATCGCAACTACTCCTTTAACTATAATTAACACTGGAGATACAAACATAATCATAGATTCATTAAGGCTTAATACTTAAAAGGGTCAGACACTAAAAATTGAATTAAGTAAAATATATTTAATCTAGATAATACTAATAATATTTTAGTGAAAGCAAAGAGTGTTGAGATAATAAATATTTAATATATTTGTGAAAAGATATTAACCAAAAGGAATTATTGGGCTGTTATTGATATTACTTTAATGATATCCAAAGAATCATTAAAATTTTCATACCAGTACATTTGCGATCCTAATTTCCATCCAAAAAGATTTGATTGGAGCTATTTAATTTTAATAGTGATGATGTCAATAATTGTATTAATCCTATCAAGAGAACAATAATTAAGTGCATTTAAAATCACATATTATGATAAATAAAATAATAGAAATATAATAGTGTTTCAAGGATTTCATTTAGGTTTGAAAAGTGCTTTTATTTATAATTTTTTATTTGTTATAGGTTTAATAGCAGCTTATATTTTTTAAAAAACAGTTGAAGATATTGAGGAAATAATTGTTCGATGCTTTTGTTTTCTTTTTGGATTTATTTTAATCAGTGAAGTTTACTTTTTATTTAATTTAGCTTTGCTATAAAATGTAATTCTTAAAAATAAAAATATTTTCCATCCTAAGAGCTTGTGATATTATTGGATTGCTTGTTTCTATTGTAACTTTGCATTTATATATTGAAAATGATGAACCTTGGATGGTATTAAAATAATAGATATTTTAGATTAGTAACATCTTAACAATATTTCTGGTTGGATCTTCAATCAAATTATTTAAGATAACTAGTTTAAGAAATGGTCTATATTTTTTTATTCCATGTATAATAATGGATATACTTTTTTCAATATATGGAAGTTTGTTTGTTCGTTATGAATGGGATAGTTTAATTATGAAATACTTTAATACTCCATTAACAGCTTAATTTCCTTATTTTTATCCTATATATAAAAAGAAATGTGGATGGTTATCAATAACCTCTATATTATTTCCAGCCTTTTTCTTGGCATATGCCCATAGAGTTGATAGATTTAAAGATTCCATAATATATAGATTAATTTCATTCATAGGATTGCTTGTAGGAATAAGTTTATGGTTTACTTTTTCTTCTTTGTATTCCATACCATTACCTGTTTCATCATTTACACTTTTTCCAACTATTGGGATTAGTGCTTTCATAGCTTTTCAAAGAAATGAAATTAAAACAATGTGGAAAGGGGATTTCTATGATCAAGTCTTACTAAATCCTTGGAGACACTAAGTTTAAGTGATCTAATCTATCCATTTACTCAATAAACTTAAAAATGAGGGAATGGAATTGCAAAATCTTGCTGATTAATAATAATAACATTAATAAGTTTAACTCTTAAGAATATAAAGAGGTTAAGTAAGATTAAACGATTCTTTATTTTAAGGTTTATTAGAATGATTTGTTTTGATTAATATACAATTTATACTATTTTATAATTTACTAGTAAATAATCCTTAAAAAAGTAAGTTAAATATTAAAATTATGTAAAACTTAAATAAATCTATAAACATGATAAATAAATATCAACTATTTTTCTCAATTTTTTATAATAAATTAAAAATTTTAAATAATTCATAATTGATATGAATTATAGGAAAAGCCGATTAAAATAGAATCCATTGACTGCATCAAAATTATCACCCTCTTGTTTTCAATAATTGCTTCCAGATTCAAAAAATAAAACAAAAAAATAAAAAATTCAGAATTCAATCGAGAATTATGTTCAAATTTATGAATTATATCTTAAAATGCTTTTTGGATAAGAAATATCATTTCAAGATGAAAAATATATAAATTAAAAGTTTTAATTGTTCTAGCAAGAGGATGATACTATATAAGAACTTGATTTACCAGAGACAGTTGTTAGGTAAGATCAAATTGTAATTACTTATTTTTAAGTCTCCAAAATCCAGATAGAATACCAGATGACTTTGAATATCCACTTAAATAAGTAGAATATTTTGAATAAATTATCAAGTCTTTAAAAATAGATGAAAAATCTATTCATGATAAATTATTCTTAAAAGCAATTGAAAATGTTTTTACTAATCTATCCGATCGTAAAGTCTACTCTTTATTTGAATTGCGAACTAGAGGGATTGAAACACAGCCAAATTAAGGTAGACATACATTAATCGGTTATGGTACAGGGTAATAGTTATTTTAAAGAACTCCAGACAGGAGTCCAAGATCTCTTATATTAGATGATAAGCATCATCATGAAAATAAGACTGAAGTTTTCCCAATATATGAAAAAGAGGATGATATAAGTAAGTTAGTAAGAAAATTTAGAAATTATCTAAAAGAATATGCTAATCAAAATAAAGGAAACTTAACTAATATTATGGATTCAATTTAAATTGATTTTTAAAGCTTACTATATACCTCAAAGAAAGCATATAGTTAGGGAGAGTATTTAAAAACATAAGGAAATACTTGGTATAGAACAAATAATGATACTTAAGATCTTTTAACTTTAATACGCAATATTCTTATCATATAGTTTTCAAGAAAAGGATATAATGTTAAACCTGTTTTATCTAAAGATGGCTCTAAAATTTATCTTTTATTGTATATTCCAGAAAAATCTTTAGAAGTAGCAGCAGAAAACTTTTGTTTATAAAAGAAATTAAGTTTTTGTTTTACTGATTTACTTTCTTTAGAACCTGTAGATAGTGAGTTTAGACCTTTGAGATTAAATGGTAGATTATGGAAACCTGATGAATATGATCTATCCCCTTATTTTAAATATTTAAGACCTTTGATTATAGAGTAAATTAAGAATATTAATTTTAAAAAACTAGCAAGAGAGGTTGGACAAAGTGGGTTAAATGCAGAATTATTTGAATATGAAAAATCTGAAATGTATGGAGATGAAAATGGTCCTTCTGATGAAGAATGGACTGCATATTATAAATATCTAGTACATTTAAATAAAAATGTTTAAGTTTAAAGATAAAAATACTTAATTAATAATGATATTGCTTTAATTTTAAATAAATAAAAAACTGTTGAAGAAATCTATGCAATTAGAAATCATTAATCATTTTCATATTATGCATAATATAATCCTGAAGATTAAGAAAAAATAAATAAAATTTATGATTAAATTAGAGAATTATCCTCTCAAATTTAAAATTTACCTATTTTTTAAAAAATTCCAAAAATAAAAAAAATCAAATTACTCTTATAATAATAATTGGCATATAATTATTTAAACATTTTTAAAGAAGCTTTAAAAGTAGCAAATTGTCCAATATTACATTTGAAATCTTTATGGGATAGAAATTAACAAATTCCTTTAGAAATTTTTATTCCTTTCAAAATACATTTTAATAATTCAACATTAAAATAATAAGCAAAATTTTAATTAAGATGGTGTAGATATATAAAAAATGAAGAAAATTAAATAACTTTATTTCCTACTCATGAAAGATTAAAATTATCTTAATAGCTCATAATTTCATCTGCAAATATGAATACTTTAATTAATCTATAATTAGTAAATGGTGTATTTTGTTTACATGATCATTATGAATTATATGGACATTGTAAAAGCATTTAATAAGCTTTCAGTTAAGATAAAGATTTTTATAAAAAAAAACCATTTGATCTTGCAGGTGAATGGATTCTTGATTTTAAATAACCTTGGACTTTACCTATTGAATAAATATGTTCTTATTTTGGAGAAAAAATTGGACTTTATTTTGAATTCTCTGCTTATTATGTTAAATTTTACTCAATTTTATCTATGATTGCAATTATATATACCATATTAATGTAATCATCAAAACTTTTTAACAAAGAATTGTATAATATATTAATAGCAACTTTTTCAATGCTATTAATCCATTGGAGTTCATTTGTGACAGATTATTGGAATCAAATTTAATTATAATTTAATATTAAGTATGGATAAAATAAAAATGTAAAAGAAAGTATTATAAGAACAGCTTTTAAAGGAAGACATATAAGATCAATAGGAAATGATTAGTTAAATTCGATTGGGATAGTTCAATCATAAATAATATAAAAGATATGCATTTCTGTATCAATTCTGATATTTTTAATTGGATCTGATATAGGAATAATAATTGGCCTTTATTTTTTTAATTTATTTTTAAAAACCTTATTAGATTCAGCTAACAATTAATTCTAATACTTAGAAATAATCATATCAGGATCCTTAAATTATGGAATATAATATTTAATAGATTCTTATTATGAAAAAATAGCAACAGTTCTAACTGATTTTGAAAATTTTTAAACATCATTTCAATATGAAACAAGTTATATCATGAAGAAATACACCTTATATTGGTTTTCTTAATTGTTTCCAATAATGATAGTTTGTTTTCTACACACTCCATTAGACTTATACTGTGAATAAGAAAATTGTAAAGAAGAAGTTAAATACTTGTTTGGAACTACAATTTTTTGGATATTTTGTTTCAAAATAATTAAGTTTCTAAAAATATATCTTTAAGAATAAAAAAATACTGAAAATAAAAAATAATTTTAATTTAGCCTAAGTTTAATAGAATTTATTGAAGAGGAAGAATTAAAGACTCCTTTCCAATAAAGTTAAGAAAAATATGGTATTATAGATGAATATATGGAATTTTTTTTACAATTGACTCTTATTAATCTTTTTGGATGTTTACTCCCACTCACTATTACATTGTTTTGGTTTTGGATTATTATTTAAGTATAAATTTAAAAGTATAGATTATTATATCAAATTCAAAGACCTTGGCCAAAAGGAGATGGTTCAATTGGAATATGGAATGAAGTTAATTAATTAATTAATTTCGTTACACTTTTATGTAATTCTGGCTTAATTTGTATTTACTATCATGAATAATTATAAGATTAGGCGATTTTATTGTTTTTACCTTTATTATTTTATAATTTTTCTGTGAAATATATAACGATGTCTCTTTTTGGTGGTATTCCTACAATTTTAGAATAAATTATTCGAAGAGGCCAATATATATTTAAAAATAATATATAAATTACTACTATAAGTAGAAAACAAACAAAAGATAATAAAAATTAACTGCAAAGATGTCCATTATATAAAATATTTGGTTCAAATGGGATTTAGGTTGCAGAAGATTTTGAAACTATTAGTTCAGATAATGATATTACAGATTATTATTTAAAAAATAGTCATGCAATTTCGAAAAGAATGGTTTAAGAAGAAGAGGATTATTAATAAAGATTAACAGAATTGAGTCAGCAGAATGAACCATAAAATTAACTTTATACACCCTTAAATACTTAAAGAAAAATATAAACAGAAGGATCAGAATAAATGAGCAGAACCATTTTTTCGTTTTATAAGGAAAATGTAAATAAGTAAGAAACTCAAATATAAAAAAAATAAAAAATCAAGATTGAAGAACTAATTAAAAAAATAAAATAGGTCGAAACACTAGATTACGAATTTTTTTTTAATTATTTTTCAAAAAGAGCAACAAATTATGCTTTTGAAATTTAAAATTGTAATGTTACTGATAAATAATTAAAAAGAGATAGAACTAAAATTTGGAGATTTTTTTTTCGTTTAATCCTATTGTCTTCATACAAGTTGTTATGGAGTGATTATAGGTTTTTTGTTAGCTAATCTTTTGTAAAAAGAAAATAGAAAATCTTTTAGAATTTAGATTATAAAAGATATAAAATATTGAGTTAATGTTTTAATAATTAACTTGAATTTTTTAAAAACAAAGCAAATTTAAAATTTAGAAGATAATTTAAATAATTTGGAAAAAAGTTAACATCAGAAGAAGAAAAAGAATATGGAGAAGTTCTTTTAAAATATCATAATTATATAGAAAAGAAATCTTGGTTAAATTGTAGAAAAGTACAAATCTTTAGATATAAAGGGTTATTTTTTAGAGGATTTAGAAAACAAACGACAAAAAAACCCTCCATTAAATTTGCCTTAGATTATTATGAAGCTATGAAGAAACTGGAATAAGTTAAATTTGAATCAGATATTCATAAAAAGTTTAGTACGTTAGTCCAATATTCTTCAATAAATTAATATACATTAGATTCATTTATCGAATTATTTGTAAAGTTGGAATACGAGTAATAATATATTTTAATATTTGACTAGGTAATAAAGAAAATTTGCATTTCCTTCTATTAATGGCACTTTAAAATAAAAATATTACTTTTTACAACCTTTAAAATCTGAAATTTATAAACATGTAATTGATAAATCAAAGGATACATATATTTTTGAACAGTATTCATTAAAATTAGAAGAATATATCTTATAATACTGTCTTGATGAATGGAATTAAATTCCAAACATAAAACTAAAAAAACATCTTCATGATATTTTATGGATTGTCTAAATTGAAGAGTAAGAATATTTGATGTAATTTTTTTAAGTTAGACATGGTTAGAAATTGAATTTTTAAAAATTTCATGATGATAAATATGGAGTATTTTTAGCAGAAAGTAAAAACTATATCAAATTATTAAACATTTTGGATTAAATAGATGATTTTTTTATAAAAGGATATTGTATTTCCCTTTATTAAGGAAAAGATTTTAAAAGCCTATTTTAAGTATTGCAATTTAGAAAGAAATATAATATCTATTATACTAATAATGAAATATAATAATTCTTTTTTGCGAATATAATTCTAATGGTTAAAAAATAAGTTTAAAATGTTTCGATTTATAATTACATTTTAATTTAAAACTAGTATATGATTTTAAACTCAATTCAAGAAAATAACAATTAAATCATTTCATTAATTTAAATGATAATAGAAATGATTCTTCTTAAACCTATTGAAAATTTTTCAGAGGCGATTAAAAATTTCGAGCATCCGTTTCGTTATTTTCTTATGGATATTTTATAAAATGATAAAACTCCTTAGCAAATTTTTGATTAAATGTCATTTTAAAAACCTTTTATAGAAATTGATTTTTAATTGGCTCCAAATTAAAGAGAGATTTCATATTCATAATATATGGAAAATATGAAGCATTAAATAAATTTTCATTTAAGACTAAAATAATTTTAAACGGTCTTAATATTGATAAATGAAGTTGAAGATTACATTAAAATAAATAATTATAAAATTTCTTCTGACTTATTACCTCATTTTATAAACTAATTCTCAAAAAATTTAAATAGTTATATTTTAAAATCAAATGAAATAAAAAAAATACTTGATATTTTGTTAATCTATTATTTTAAAGTTTCCACTTTTTTTGCTTTAAAAAAAGATTTTGAACCAGAAGTATCAAAATTAATTGAAGGATTAAAAAAATGTAGTGTTTAATTGAGAGTAATGTTTAGATAATTAAGTTTAAATATCAAGCTTGAAAATTTATCAGAAATTGAATAACACATTATATTAAAAAGAAGAATTAAAGAAAAAAATGAAGGTAAATCATCAATTAGTTCTTTTGAAAGATTAAATTTAATAAATACTTTGAGAAAAAATAAAGATTATATCTTAATTTTAATATAATATCAAACATAATTGTAAAGATATTAGAATCAATTTTAAGCAATAAAGGCTATATATTAATATTTTAACAAAAATTTTCTTCTTGCTGGTATTCATTATTCAGAAATAATTCAAAATTAAGAGATGCTTATTTCCCGTGATCCAGCACCAACATTTTTAGATATTCCTCTTGATCACAGTCCTGGATTAATTAATTTTGAATAATCATCCCCAACTGATGAAGATAACATAATAAATGAAAATTTAGATACAAAATTAGATTTGACAGAATGTAATAAATTATATCTCACCTAATTAATATATTTTAAATTTTTATAGATGATAAATTTATATGATAGTTAAAATGAACGATTTTAAAACTTTTATAAAGAATTTATAGAAATAGAAGGTGCTCATGAAACAGTTTTTAATTATTATTTAAAACAAATAAAACTTTTGAATAAAGAAAAAATCTCTAAAGAAGATCAAAAATAAGAATTGAAATGTGATGTAGGAAAATATTTAGTTATTATGTAAGTACGATGGAATGATATTAACAGAAAAAAATTTATTAAATTAATATCATCAGATGAAGAAGATTTCTTAAAATTTTAAATTATGATGTTTACAAATTTAAAAATTACATTAGAAAATAGATAAATTATTTAACATTAAATTGATTCTATTAGTAATAAGAATGTTGATACATATTGTTGTATGTATTAAATTAGACTTATTTAACAATTTTTTCATCTTGATAACCTTCAACCTGTTCATCATACTTTACAATATCAAACTAGCTTAAATGTAAGGGACAATAAAAAGTAGTCATAAATTGAATTATTAAAAGAATATCACAAAATTCTTAAAATAAAAAATGAGAGCTGGTTTTTTCACCCAGGTTTAGAGGAACTTTAAGTCTTTTATTATCTTTCAATTTGTTTTGCGTGCTCTCCAAAACATCTCGAAAACCTTTCTTCTTAAAATAATCTTATTTTTGAAAAAGCAGAACTTGGAATCAAACAATTTTAACCCAATCCAAAATTCTATTGTTAAACTTTAAAATTTGCTTAAATTAATAATGAGTTAGTAGATGAATTAATATTTGATGCTTCTTTGGGTAAATTTTAATAATTTTAACTATTTTGTTAGTTTTTAAATTGCAACATCAGATTTTATAAAAGGCTTAGTACAACATATGAAAAAATTTAGGAGAACTTAAGTGATGACTTTCAATCTTCTATATTAGTACTTGGTTTACTACATTCATTTTTATATTGTTAATAAAATGATGTAGTTGATTTAATGTACTAATTAATTTAGAGATTACTTTAATCTTAGGCATTTATTTTTCATAAAATACACAAAGGATTTGAATAAGACTTAATGATAATAGACAGTATTTTTAAGGATAATAGTAATTGTTTGCCTGCTCCATATAAATATCTTTTTGAGTATACTAATAACTTTTTATATTTTGAAGATGTTAAGTTTAATTCTTAATATTTATTATTCAACTTAATGATGAATTAAGATTTTTTTTTAATTTAAGAAATTATATAAGAATCAATTAATACTTTAAAAAGCTAACCTTAATTGATTCGTCTTATGCATATATTTGAATTATTATTAGATGTAGTTAATGCAATGATTGGATATTCAGAGCCATAATAATAATATATGTATAATTTTTATTCATTTATTAAGCTTTAAATTAAATGATTATATAGAAGGCACTTTAATTCATGCTATCCTAGCACATTTATAGTGTAAATATTTTATGAATTTAATTGATTATGAAAATGCTTTGAAATTTTCATAAATAATACTTTAGTATATTAAGACCTTTATGAAATAAGAAAAAACAATAGTTTCTTTGTTTAATGATTAACTTGTATTCTTATTTCATATTTTAGATCTTAGAATTTTAAAGTAATTCTTAATTTGACGAATTGCACATAAAAGATTATGAATTCTTAAAAGAGGAATCTACAGATCAAGATTATGTTCACTTATTTAATTAAGATTTAATTAATGAAGCAATACTTAATCATTTATTAATTTTAATAAACTTAGAATAAAATCTCCCAAAAATTAATTATCTTTTTTCTTTATAATTAAAGTTAGAAAACAAAATCCACATCAATTATTTGTAGATGATATATGCTATGTATTTTAACTATTTTTAAAGAAATCTAAATTCATAATCATAGTTATTGTTAACAGATAATTCTAATTAAATAGAATAAATCAAATTGAAAATTAAAAATGAAGAAACCAAATAAAAAGTATATTTTTCTTTGAAAATGAATATACTATCAGATATTACAATAATTGATCATAAACTAAAGGTGTTAGACTTTTAGTTAAGCATTTTTTAAGGGGCTAAAAATGGAATTAGTTAAAAGTTAATAACAAATTGGACTATTTTATGTGCTTAAAATTCTATTGATGGATACTCTGGAATTTTATCATTAAATAAAAATATAATTCATCCTTATGTTTCACTTATGTATTTAATATAGTGTGAATCATATCGAATTTTAAATTAAATATTGAAAGCTTAAACAATGCTTGATTAAGCCGAAGCAGGTTTGAAAAGCTGGTTTGAATCTAATAAACATCCATTAAAAGGATTATTCTTTTTTCACAAAGGAACTTAAGATAGATGGCTTTATAGTTAATATTTAATATGTATTTAAGAAATCATATGTTTAAGAGAATTTGATAAAATTGAAATTGCTGTTATTGTTTAAGGTTTGATTTATTCGGAAAAATAACTTCTAAAAGCTTTTGACTATTATCACTCAAAATTATTAAAAAATATAACTGCTCATTTAGCCAACTATGTATTTTCACAAATTGGAAAACATGTGAAATAAAGTATTGAATAAAATTTAAAATAATAAGATGCAAAAGTTATTTTAGACAATCAAATTTAATCTAGTTCAATTTAATCATTAAATGGTGTAACACAATATTTAGATGTAATTTAATCTCTATAATAAAGGCTTTAGCAATATTTAATGCTTTTGAAACAGAACATAAATGTATTGATATCATAAGAAAAATAATTGTGGAGGAAGATTAATGATCTTAACCATTCAGTGATCATATTGCAATTCACTTTCTAAAGCTAATCAAATATATCATTATAATAATGTTAATATTATTTTTTATTTATTTATTTCTTTTTAGGTTTTGCCATAAAATATTAATTCATAATTATATTTTATAATTCTTTGACATAAAAATTAGAGCCAATTCTATATTCCTATTTTACTCTAAGTGACTAGTATCTGTTCTTACAATAAATGACATTAATTAACAATATTTTTAGAAACTCTCAACAAAAAGAACAAAAATTGGCAACTTATTTATTTTAATATACCAATAGCCAAAAACAATAAACTAATTAAAAAAATCAGAAATAATGAGTAACACACTAAACAATAAATATTATTTTTTATGAGAGATTTTTCATTCATTTTTAAAGAAATAATTTATTAATTATGAAAAGAATGTTTGAATTTTAATTAAGGAAACAGTAATAAAAATTTTTGGAAGTTTTTATAAAAAAATAAAAATTTTTTTTTGTTTATATAGAATTATTTATATCTTTTATTTGTTTGTTTAAATAGAGAGTAAGTGAATAATGATAGCTAATGAATAATCTCATTAATTGAATATTGAAATATTTATACGATTATACCTCATCAGCTCTTCAAACTATATTATTAAATTATAATATGATTTATTAATATTTTTAAACCATAAATTATTCAAAAAATGTCACCTAAAAATTAACAAACATGATCTTTATTTTTATCAATTCATCATTGGTAGGGGATTTTAAATTTATTTTTATAAATTATTTATTCAATGTTTCAAAAATCGAAATTTTTTAAATAAAAGGTTACATTACAAATCATGCTATTTGTTTATTTTTTTAATATTTAAATATTTAATACATCAACTATTAGATTTTTCAAGTAATATTTTGTCATCCATCTATTTAAACAATAGAGTATTGCAATTATTTTTAATAATGCTTAATTACTGTCTTAAATAAAATATATCAAATAAATACACTGAGTATATTAATAAATAGTTATAAAATGTAAATAGAAATCTTAGGTAAGGTTTATAATTCGGATGAAACGATAAGAGAAAAAATAAAAAAGAAATTTAAAAACTGTATATAATATTCAAACAATTAATCTAATTCTATTAAGTCTTTATTATAGAAAATAATTTTTGGATTAATAAATATCAAATTTTAATTAGTTTACAAAAGGTCTAATAATTATATACGCTATAGAAATATTCAAATTTAATTCATATTAATGAATTAGTTTATGCTTAGTTAAGGCAAAACTTGGAGAATTTTTTTATCATATTTTTTTTTTCGATAGTTCTATAAGTTTAATAGTATTGAAATTTGATTATCTTATATATTATTTATTTATTAAACAGTTTAGCTAAATCTTGAAAAGTATGAAAATATATTTGTAAGACACCCTAAATCTCAATAAAAAATTCATAAGGATGATTATTTTAAGTCAATTAATATTAAGTGTGTCTACTTAGACATTGGTGTACTCAAATTTTTTTGGGGATTTTTCATACTCAAATGGTATCATATTTAATTATAATTTAGATTGGTATATTTATGGTGGTAATGGAGGGGAATATTAACTTTGTGGGTCTACTAAAATTTTTGGAGGCTCTCCATTATTTTACAGAGAAACTCATATTATTAAAACATTCAATTTGTAGCCTCACTATTAAATTCGATTTTCATTTAAATTATGGCAGTAAGATATTTTAATTAAATAAAGTCTTGATAATTGGGGTGGAGAATAATTGATAGTTTATGTAGATAATGTATTGGCACATAGTCAGTCATATAGTTCAGAATATTCTAGACCAAGTATTTGTGGAATTCAAAGTTCAGCTTATGGTGATGGTATAGATGATGTTTCTGAAGTAATGCTTCATTCTAGTTCCACTCTTCAAATAATAATTAATGGTTAAGAAAATTACTGGGGAATATCAGAGTTTTAATTAATGATTGATAAATGTCCTACTGGTTGCGAATTATGTAATTCAAGTTCATGCTTATTATTAAAATTATACATAAAAAAATTAAATCCAATAAACCTTGATAGTTCATATGGTTGGATTTATGATAATCTAAATGAAAATACATACTAAACATGTTTAGGTATTTATATAAATTAATTAAAGACTAAAATTATTTGAAATCCTCATCAAATCAATTAACAAATGCCATTTAATTACCCAGTCATGATAGAGTAGCTATACGAATAAAAGTTATGACTTTTAATTCAGATCCTCATTTTGTGTAGATTTACATTGATGATATACTAGTATAAACTAGTAATTAATCAAAATAAGTATATACTAAAAAAGTAATTTGCGATGTTATGACCTTAAGTTCAATTTAAATTTTAGATTATATACATAGTCATTCTACATTAAAAATCTAAGTAATTGCTACAATGAATAGTAAATATTATTGCGATTCCACTATATATTCAAATTGTTAATAAATATTAGGTATAAATGATTTTGAACTTTTCATTCATCGTTCTATTTAATTTGAACATATATGTACTGATTTCAACATAAACCCATTTGATGGATGTTTTTCAAACATCTATGATTGTGTAGTAGGATGTAAAAATTGCATAAATGGTATATGTATCAAATGCAATAATGGATGGGAATATTAATAATCTATAAAGAAATGTGTTCCAATTTGTGGAGATTCTATAATCACTCATTTAGAAGAATGTGATGATGGAAATATGATTCCTTATGATGGGTGCTATAGATGCAAATTTTCTTGTTAAAAGTTTTGTGGAATATGCAAATTTGGTAAGTGTTTATAATGTTAAACAGAATATAAAATGATTTAAAACGAATGTAGATTTATGAACAATTATTATGAAAGTTCTGAAAATATAGAAAATTTCGAGTTTAATAATTAAATTACAAATTTTATATCAAAAGGATTTTATTAGCATGCTTTATTGAAGGATGAATTTACTATTCATAGGAAAATAAAATAATTAGATTGCAATGTATAATCTTATGGAATATTTGGATATTATTATAATTAATGTAGTATTGAAACAATTAGTAATTGTAAATTGCAATTATTTGATAAATGTTTAAAATGTTAACCATTCTACTATTTATAATCTAATGAAAAAGAATGCCACCCAATATGTGGGGATGGTAAAACAGTTTTTAATGAAATATGTGACGATTAGAATAATTTTTAATTTGATAATTGTTATAAGTGTGAATTAAGTTGTTAATTTGAATGTAAATAATGTAATCAACATGAATGTTTAGAATGCATTGATGGATGGTCATTAATAGATAGAAGATGTCATTAAATATGTGGAGATGGTATTGTAGCATTAAATACATTTGAATAATGTGATGATGGCAATTATGAACCTAATGATGGATGCTATGAATGTAAATTTGAGTGTGATTAAAATTGTTTTTTTTGCACAGGTTTTGGAGTTTGTATGTCTTGCATAGAAAACTTTTAATTGATTAATTAGAGTCATTGTATTCCTATTTGTGGAGATGGAATTATTATTGAAGGCCTTGAAGAATGTGAAGATCAAAATGATACTAAATATGATGGTTGTTATTAATGTTAATTTTAATGTGAAATTAATTGTACAAAATGTTTTTAAGGAATTTGTCAAGATTGTATTGATGGATACGAATTAACACTAAATGGATGCTCTAAAATAATTATCATTTATGAAGATGATACAGATATTGTTGATTAAAGTTTTGTAATTAAAAATCTATGTGGCAATGGATAATTATAAGATAATGAATAATGTGATGATTAGAATTAAGAAAATTTTGATGGTTGTTCAAATAATTGTGAAATTGAAAATAATTGGATTTGCAACCAAGATGAACCAAGTAGATGTTTTTAAATGACATTATTATTGCTATCATATTTAAACTAAACATACGATAATTAATATGTCTAATTATCATTTTCAAATCCTGTTAAATTAAAAATACCATCTCAAATTTTTTAAAAAACAATTATTACACAAATCAATAGTTTAAAATAAGATTAATATAATATTACTATTTATCCTGTAATTAACTTTGATGAAGCTTAATTTACTGCAGTTAAGTTTGAATTAAAAATTACTATTTTTCAATCTATTTAAATCATACCAAATTTATCTGTCACTTTTAATACATCAGTGATTGACTAAAATAATTTATTAGTAGAATAATCACCAACTATATTGATACTTTAATAACCTTAAGTTTTAGATAGTTCTTAAATAAATGCTGCTAATTAATTTTAAGAATTTGGCAATAAAATGATGATGGGGTTAGGAATCATTTCTTTATTAATGCTGTTGTTAGGAAAACCTAATTTAAGCTTAGAAATATTCGATACTTTACAATTTTAATCATATCTAAAATTTGTAAATGTTTAATACCCTTAAAATCTAAAAATATATTTTTAATCTTCTGAATTTGTAACTATAAATCCTGTATTGACTAATTTTAAAATTGCTGGCTTTCTAGATTCAACAATAGGTGCTAATTACATTTAAAGCTATGGAAAGCTTTCCGAATATGAAGTAAATGCTGATTTATTTACAAATATTAAGGGTTAGATCGTATAAATATCAATCATTCTTTTCTTATTTGTTTTTGCAAAGTTGTATCATAAAGTTTTTGTCAATTACTGTTTTACTTCCAGATATTTCTATTGCATTAGATCAACCAATTCAAAATGTTTTGAGTTTTTTGCTCTTAAATACTACTATATGAATAAAAAATTAATAGGCATTAAGAATATATTTAAAATGAGAGGATTTCGATAACTTTTTTATGCAAATAGTTGGGATTTACTTTTTAAAGTAATTTTGTTTTTGACATCTAATCACTAAACAGGATATAGAATAGTCTTATCCTATCTTTTTTGCATATTTTGTTTGATCTTAGTTTTTTATTTTCTCTCTATGCACTTTTAAAGATAATAGGGCAAAATTATTTTATCAAATGTTAGAAATGATTAACATGAAGGAATCATTTTATTTAAAAAATTATTATTTATTGTAATTTTGATTGCATTATAGAATACAGATACTTTTTAATGTTTAATGTTAACAATTTTAACATTCAGTTATATTGGGTTGATTTTGTCAATCAAATTTGTAAATTAAAAATTAGATTTAATTATCACTATTTGGATGGAAGCACCTGTAATGTTATTTACAATTTCAAGTATATTCCATTGTTTTGATTTTTAATAACGTTTAAGTCTTGATTAATAAGTTCTCTTAGGTTTTGGGTAGATTGGAATATTATTACTTGGATTATTTGGACCTATTTTAAGATTTAATTATCTTTTGTATAAATAAATCAGAACTTATTTTTAATTAAGAAAAAACAAGCAGCAAATTAAGATAATAAATTAATCTAATTTATTTGCTGTAGTAGATATTTGAAAATTATAATATACAAATATATCTATATTGCTTATCCTATGATTTTGTTTTTATAATCATTAGAGTATAAATTTCATTATTATATTGATATTTATAAATTAAAATTAATGAACCTTACTAGATATTTCCATATATTCATATATAATTATCTTTAATTTATACATCTAAAATATAGAAATATCGTTTTAGCTGATGGGGATAGATTTATTAATAATATTTTAGATGATTTTATAATATTTATGAAATTGTTCATAAATTCCATTTCTAAGCTGCCAAAATAAATGTCAAAAAATAAATTAATAGTACATATAATACTAATAATATTTTACTCCCAACGTTTAAGCAACTTTTTTAATCTTTTGTTATTGCTAATATAATAATTGTAACAATAAAAATGAAGAGTTGATCATAAAATTAAAATGATATTTGTTTATCGACTTATTTTTTAATATTATACTTCTAAATAGGTATTAAACAACAAAAAATAATGAAAATAACAATTCTTTATTATATTGTTCAATATGTACATTTAAACCATCCCATCAATCATTAAATATTAAGAATAATATTTAAGTATTTAAACTATAGTCATGCAATTATTAGTTGAATATTCATTTATGAATACAGTCATTGATATTAAATAGCCTCCAAATAAAGTACTTATTCCGCATATTAACAATAAACAAAAATTGCATGGATCAACCTCCTCTCTTTCTTCAAAAATTTAGTTTAATTAAACATTTTCTTCTTATTATGGAATAATATTATATTATTGATCATGCTAATAGTTTTCCATTTACTTTTTGAAATTTAATGAAATTTTTATTATTGAGAATTTATTTAACATTGAAGTATTTTAAGAATTGGAGTATTTTTGGTATATTAGAAAATTTTGATTTTGATGATATAGATGATCAAAAAAATTTGTGCAAAGATGTTATATAATAATTTCCTCATCAAATATCATAAGGATTACAATATTTTGATATTTTTACTTCAGTCAAACTAACCTAAATTTATAAAAAGCAAACGAGAAACCTCATCATTTTTTCAAAAAGATGCAAAAAATCAAAATAATATTTAATTTTTTCTATTAAAAATTTTAAAAATGAAGAGGCTGCCTCTAAACTTAAACAGAATTTAATTAAAAAGAATATAATTATGACAAATATAAAACTTTGAATCATAAAATCCATTTTACATAAAAGGAAAGTGATGCTGATTATAATGTCATTATATCAAAGATTTTTAATAAAAATCTTTAATAATTTAATAAAGGCAAAATATTTTAAATATCAATTTAGACAAAAATCTTTCATTTTATTAATTCCATAAAGACTAAATTCCATACTTTCTTCCTGGAAAATATAAAATTTTTGATCTAAAAAACATTTTCATATTGAAATTGATTAATTTTCACAGTTTATTCAAATTATTAGGCCATCCATTAATTCAATCAGCCATTAAGTTATACCTAATGGATTGTATTTTAACAAAATTTTTTATTTATTTTTTGAAATAATACTTATATAGTTATTTTTTGTAAATAGTTTTTATCCTTAATATCATAACTAGGAAAATTAGTAAAAACCAATACCTAAAAGAAAAAAAGGTAAACTCAATTGTCGCTTACTTCTAACTGAATATCAAATGTAAATACAATTAATTCATTATTTTCTCTTAAATAATAATTAATTAATCTAGTCTTTATTTAAATCAAAAATCCAGTTTAAAATTTTTTAATATAATTTTCAATGAATAATTGGATTTTCTTAATTTCTTTTTCTAATTAGATATCATCTAATATGAAAGAGTAAAACTTAAATTAGATTAAACTATAAATTCTGTGCGATTATTTTTTTATTTAAAAATTTCGATAAATGGTTTGAAATTTTTAATTTTTAATCAAAAAATTGATAAGATTATTCCTCAATAATAAAAATTTATTGGAAACTTTTCCTTGAAAGATAAATGATCGATTTTCTATTTAAAAAGGAAATAATTTTGAATGACCGATCTCTCATATTAAATTAATGAACATTTTTTCAGATGATAGAATTAAAAAGTAAAATCATGTAAAATAAAGCCATTTAATTATTTTTTTTATTCATGTTTATTATAATAATTAGTACCATTCAATTAGCCAGATCTTAATGGAAAATAAAAGAAGATTGCTTATGGGATGTTAGAAAGTTTTAATATTCAACATGTTGTGATTGTAGTTGGAGTTATACAGAATATTTTAGATAAGCAACAACATCTAGTACGACAGCAAATTTTATTACTTGTAGTGTGCCTTCAATGAGTTACATCACTTTAGACAATACTTATAAAAGTATTTAAAGAATGACTCAAAATTCATGGACAAAAGGAGATTTCTTATCATTTGATTTATATTTTTAAGGTACGTGGACAAACAATGAGGTAGTATTAGAAATTGGATCCTTTATTTAAAAAAAAAAATATACTGCTCCAACTGAATATCCAATTACAAAAGGATTTTGTGATTCACTTGAAACAGATGTAATGACAATAAATTTAACTTTAACAAATTCAGGTTGGGGTTATTTAAAATTCATAAAATCTGATAATAATAATGGGTAGGTTTCAATCAGAAATATAGGAATATCAGGATATTAATTTTAATGTTTTCCATCTTGTTCTTCATGTACAGGCCCAGAATAAAACTAGTGTTAAGCTTGTTATTATGAAATACCAAAATAAAATATTTGCCCATTATGTCCAGATAACCGATATTATGAGAAATATTTAGGATGTTAATCTAATTGTAGATTTGATAATTATAAATACTTCTAAGGATTTTGCTAGTCTTTTTCATGTAAAATACTATTGTTTTATTATAGACTTAACATTTTAGACATACTCTTATTCCTCATAAGTTGAATAAAATACATGGCAAATCATATATGACCCAATAAAAGTTGACGCAACTCCAAAAGTATTTTATTTTAGAAGTGATCTTTATGGGATTTTTAAATATAATTCTGGAATAGCAAGGTATTTGGTAAATTTTATTACATCACAAAAAGTTTATTTGTATGGAATTAGAATAAAATTGATAATTTTCGGTGGCTTACAACTAGGAAATGGCATAAGATTTATGTTTAACAATACTTATTATAGTTCTATTTATCGTGATTCTGAAGGAATTAAAACTGGAATGATAATTGAAACTTAATCAGAATATGGATCGTACTCTACTTATTCTACCACATCTTATTATGATCTCTTTATGTTTGTCGATATTCCTTAATATCCAATTTATTTCTCAGCTACAAGTAACTTTACGTAAATATAACATTAATTTTAGTAATTCTAATGTAGGATGGGGATTAATATCAATCCAAGTTACATCAGGACTTCATCATATTAATTGCTTAATTCAGGAAGTATCTTATGAATGTAAGAAATGTAATTCAAATTATTATGTCAATAAGTAAGGTAACTGCGATCGATGTTAGAATGATCTTTAAAAGATTGTTGGGGATAAATGTTACGATTTCCAAGATGAAACACCTTGTAATAAAAATAAATTATATCTAGATTCTAAACTTTTGATTAAAGAATATTTTGATAAATCCAATAATCCAGATTAATATTCATAATATAAATTAATTTCCAAAACAGGCGTAAATTTATTAAAAGGTAAGGATATATATTATTCTTATTGGCAATAAATTAGAATATTTGGTGGACCTTATGTTTGGAGTTAGGCTGTTTTTGAGAGGATTCATAAAATAGAGAAAGCACACCATAGCATAAGTATTTCATTTTAAATTGTCTATGGCCCTAGTTTCCCTTCAAATAGTAAATTTATTTATACAATTGAAACAAATTTACCAGTATCTTGTTAAAAAAGTAGTGCAACAGCTAATTATCCTGATGGTTCAAAGTTATAAACAATAAATGAAAAGATTACTCATAAAAGTGATCAATTAACTATTAGATGGGAATGTTAGGGACAAGACAATGAACCAATATTAGCATATTGTGGAATTTATAAATACTATATTATTGTTCATTATTGTTAGCCTTATTGTTTAGAATGTAGTGATTAAAACAATTGTATAAATTGGGATCAATATGATTCAAGTTTGATTAAGGTTTCATAGAGTGAATGTTAAAGTTAGGAGTACTATGATTCATTCTTTTTAAAATGTAAAAGTTGTCCTACTCAATGTTAAAGTTGTAAATCATCAATTGATTGTATTGATTGTAAACCAACTTACACTCTTACTAAATTAGGATGTGTTTGCAAAACAAATGAATATGATTCAGGTTCATTGTGTATTAGTTGCCCAGAATAATGTGAACAATGTCTCAGCTCTTCATTTTGTTTAACATGTTCAATCTAAAAATTTAGAACTTTATTAAATGGATAATGTGTATGCTTTGATGGATATTACTCAATTTCAACAAGTCTTATCTGTCTTAGATGTCATTTATATTGTAAAACATGTTTAGGACCATCTTAAGATAATTGTAAAGAGTGTTAGAATATACAAAATATTGAAAAAGTTGGATCTACATGTAAATGTTAAATGGGTACTGCATTCTTGGATCAACTTAAAATATGCGCTCCTTGTCATTAAACTTGTTTAACTTGCTTTCGAATCACAATTGATGGCTGTTTGAATTGTGATTCTAATTTACATCGAGTTCTCAGAGGGTTAAAATGTGAGTGTTAATCTGGCTATTATGAATTAGATAATATTTGTTAAAGTATATTTATATCATTAATTTAAGATTGTCCTATTGTTGAAGATAGTGATCTAATTCAATGCTATAATTTATGTAATGGCAATTAATTATTGTGGCATACTAATATATGTAATAATTGTGATATAGGATATGAATTAATCTTAAATCGTTGTTAACCCTAATGTGGAGACTCTAGATTATTAAATTCATTTGAAGAATGTGAAGATGGCAATAACAATTTAGATGATTTATGTTATAATTGCAAATTTTAATGTCCTAAACATTGTTTAACCTGTAATTCTACAACTACTCTTCCATGTCCAGATATTTGTGGTGATGGAATAATTACAGGTGATGAAGAATGTGAAGATGGCAATAATATACAATATGATGGATGTTACTAATGTAAATATTAATGTTAAACTTCCTGTACTAAATGTATTATGGGAAATTGTTTAGAATGTTTGACACTTGGATGGGTGGTTGATACATCAACGGAATTATGGACATGCAAAGAATAATGTGGAGATAACTTATTAGTTGGAAACGAGCAATGCGAAGATTTAAATACTTAAGACTTAGATGGCTGCAAAGATTGTAGATATTTTTGTCGAATTGGTTGCTTATCTTGTGATTATTCTATCAATAAATGTTTAAGTTGTGAAGAAACAGGATATATTCCTGAAAAGTTTTATTGTAGAAATGATTGTGGAGATGGAAAAATATTAAATGGTTTTTATAGAATATTGTCATGATAGTGATTCTTCAGCTTGTGCTTACGGATATTATTAATGATTGAATTAAAAATGTGAGTGGAGATAAAATTATGTAATTGATGAAATATGTGAATCAGGAAATATCTTACCTAAAAGGGGATGTCAGAATTGTTTAGCAAGATGTTATGAATCTTGCACAACTTGTGATACAATATTTATAATACAATTAATTATATGTGATGATGATAATCTTATTTATGATGGTTGCCATTTCTATAAGTCTAGTTATTAATAGACTTGTATTAGTTGTATCAAAGAAGTATGTTATTTGTTACAAGATGAGCAAGATTATGCCTTAGGGAAATATCTATCAATTATAGGATTAAATATGAACATAACACAAAATATATGCAATTCTAAACATATTACCTTTGCTTAAAAGGACATGGATTAACTACAAATAAGCAAGAGTCAAGACAATTAAGAATATGCTTATTATGACATAAATGAAAATAGATTTAAACTACCCTCCTATTATTTTAAATAAAATAAAAATGTGCTTAAGGATATTATTTGAATAATAGCTTTAAATGTATATTTTAATTTGGTGATCGAATTCTTGTTAATGATGAAGAATGTGAAGCAAATGATGAAAATTGCATCAATTGTTAATAAAAGAATCTTAGTCTTGAATATGAAGTTGGATATTATATATGACATACAAAAAAAATCATGTGAAATCAATCTAGAATAAAATTAATTTAATCAAAAAGTTATAGCAAGAGTTACAATTATTTTTTTGGTCAAAAGAATGATTTTTCATTCTTAAAAAAAAGAAATTTGATTTATAAAATTATGCTTTAAACCCCTTTACTTGAATAATGTCAAAGAATATAAAGAGATTAATGAAGAATATGCAATTTTTTAATTTAAAAATGATTTGGATCTAATAAAAAATGTGTGCAATTAATATATCAATATTGTTAATTGTGTAAAAATAAATAATGCATTCATGTAAGTTTGAGTATTAAGGTAAAAATTGCTAACTTAAACAATGTAATTTTAAAAATTTCAAAATTAAAATAATATTATTCTACAATAGATATTTATTTTGAAGATCAATCATGCGATTCAGATTGTTAAGTTTGTTTTTAAGGATAATGTATTTTTGTCAGAAAGGAAGCTATTTATTTAAAAATGAATGAATAAAGGAAAATCATGTTGAATATACTAGAATTGAATAAGCGATATATGGAGATAAAATTTTTAAAGTAGAATTTTGTGATGATGGAAATGATATTCAATATGATGGATTCTTTAAATACCATTATAGTTGTGATCTCTATTGTTTATAATGTGTATTTGGCTTCTGTTATTTATGTAAAGAAGGATTTATAATAAATGAAGATTCATAAACTTGATAACCTTATTGTGAAGAGGGTAAAGTAATCCCTCTTACTTAAGGAGAATGTGATGATAGGAATTAAGATCCAAAAGATGGATTTGATTAATGCAAATTTGCATGTCTACCTCATTGCTTAACTTGTCATAGTATATTTTGAAAATAATAATCAATTTACTATAACATACTGTTTTCAATGTGAAATAGGGTTTGAAAATCAAGAGGAAATATGTGTTTCAATTTGTGGAGATGGTATTTTAATATAAGAATGAGATGATGTGAATTTAATTTATTATGGTGGTTGTTTTGATTGTAAATATCAATGCAGTCAAGATTGTTTAGTTTGTTAAAAAGGAATATCTCTAAAAAACTGTTCAAAAATATGATTGTTTTCGAGAATTAATGTAAGTCAATATGCGCATAAATGATGGTTGATTATGAAATAGAATGTGATGATAATAATAATATAGAATATCATGGATGTTTTAATTGTAAATTTAATGTGCACTTTGTTGTTAAGTATCTTATTGTGAAAAAGGTATTGGTCATAAATTCATTTCAGAATCTATCTAATAAAACTAATAATCTTTAATTCATGATTTTGAAGGTACTCTAAAAAATATGTTAAATAAATAAAAAAATAGTTGGATTTGTAATGAATCAGAATGTAAATATTCGGAAAGTCCTTAGTTAATAATCAAT